GTCACTTGGGATCTTTTTGTGACTCTTGGGGCACTCCATGCCAGATTTTAAGCCTCCTTACAACAAAACCTTCCTATAACAACAGTTTTTTTGGTTGTTTGTTCCATCAAAAAATTATTTTTTTTTTTTCAATTTTATCAAATTAAAAAATTCTCACCCCTCACAAGTATAATAGCTACGATGATATATTCAGCTGAGCGTTTTACGACCACACTTTTCTTTTTTTATGGTCTTTATCAATTTTTAATCTTCTGCTCTCAACATTCCTCAACTTTTTTTGTTCCGGTTCAACTACTCTCTTTAGAGTATTTTATTTTTGAAATTTTCATTTACGTACCCTTTTTTGGGCAGAGTAATTTTCTGAACTTTCCGCGGAAGTAAACGCGTTAGCTTGTGTTTTGGGTTTCATTTTTTTTTGAAAATATAAAAAAAATTTTGAGATTTTTTTGAATTTTCGATTTTTTTCAATTGGTATATTAATTTTTTTCTGCTCTAGTTTATTATGTCTTACACAAATAAAAAGATTTTTTTGATTTTTTGGATTTTTTGATTTTTCAAAAATTTTATTTTTTTCACCCCTGACTACTACTCACTGCCTTTACTCCTTAATCCCTCTAAAATCCCCTAATTTTCCTTTAAAATCGCTCTAAAATTGCTCATTTTCTCTTGACCCTCTTCATTTCCCATTCTCTCTCGCTTTTTTTCTCTGACCTCTCTCTCATTCCCCCCATCTCTCTCGCTCGATTCTCTTTTTTATTTTCAATTGAATTGGGCCGGACCAACATTCTGGCCAAGGCTAAAAACCGCCGGCCTCCGAAATAGCCGCTGTTTTGGAGAGATTCCAGAGAAACCCGCGGAAATATCGCGCGAAACGGGGAGAGCGGCCGAGAAGCGGCCCAAAAAGCCGTTTGGCACCCTTTCGGCGGTCCGGCCGGGAGTTTGGGTAAACCCCGGAGGCGTTTCGCACTCACTGCTGCATTTTCCCCCTCCAGGCCCTCAGGCAGCGGAGCTTTTTGGCCTGCGGTTTGGGCCGGAAAACCAGTCTCTCTCTCCGGCTTTTCCTTCTTTTTTTGACTAAAAAAGCGTTTTTTCTTCATTTTTCCCCCGACTTTTTTGGCCATAGAAAAAGGCCGGAGACTCTGGGCCCTCCGGGGAATTCGCTGCAGATCCAGAGAATCGAATTGGAGCCGAGAGAGTGGAGAAAATTGGGAGAGGACGAGAGAAACGGGAAAATTTAGAGAGTGGGCTAGAGAAACGAGAGAATTCGAAGAAAAGGGAGAGCGCCAGAGATATAAGGCGATGGGAGCCAAGGAGTATTGGAGTTGTAGAAAAAGTTGAAATACTTTTGGCCGTTCGTAGAGTTTGTGGTATCTTGTTATAGGCGGTTTAATTTACCGCTCACCCTATTTTGTCCGTTTTTTGGTGGATCTTGGCGAAAATATCATTCTAATTGTGACCATTTTGACGAAACCGTATTTCAAACATAACTGGAATTTGTCAATTACCATACAAAGCGTAAACCACATCAAACTCGAGCTCTACATTGTCATTAGAACAGGAAAATTTCGATTTCTTCTTGAGAATCACCGTTTTTTGGACTAAAGGTTAAAGTGCGAGGTTCTCCAAGCCAGAGCGCAAATAAGGACTGTTCCCGCTGTGGGACCCAACACGGCGGGTCTCTCTCGCTAAAAAATAAAAAAATTATTTTTTTATTGTTTGAAATGGTACAAAGAAGGTGAAAGATGAGTGAAGATCACTGAAAAAAGGTATGTTTTTTGTGTTTTCTGATTTAGGGCAGCTCGGCAAAAATTTTTACGACAGCTGATCCAAGATTTTTGTGTTTTGGGCGAATGAAGGTAATTTTGGGCATTCCTAAGCATGAAAATGGGTGTAGCTTTCCAAAGAACCATCCAGGAGTGATGTTGATCGAGTTTTTGCCAAGTTAGAGCCAATCCCTTCAGCAAACTACCTAGTATAATATAATTTTTTCCAGGATTTTGTATTGGAATGCAGCCAGACGGCTAAATTTCACCTCAAGGACTCGCTGAAGCCAGAAGAGGAGACGACACCATTCAAATTCCATGTGGATGGCTTTTTCCGAAGCTGATGTCAACGTCGAAAAGGTGAGTTTTTCTTGGTTTTCACATTTTAGGTCGGGAAATCCATTGCTTCTTGAGCAAGGCAATGGGTTTAGCTTCCCAAACATGCTATCTGGAATGCGGTTGCTTCATCCTGCGCCACATCCGGCCCACTGTTGTTTTTAGTGTAATATAATTTTTACAGGAAAACCGGCCCATTCGCCTCCCATGCCCGCCAGCCTTATCTAAAGAGCTCAGTAAAGACAGGTTCAGCAATATCCAGATCAACGGTATAATATTTTATGATTAATACATTTGGTGTGTTTTTACAATAATAAATTGTTTCGGTTCTCCTCAGTGTTTGCCATCGATGAGACCTTTATCGCCCATATACTGTCCCAGACGTTTCGCATCGTCGAAGCTTCGCGGTCGGGGAGCGTTTTCACCTGGAAAAATTATATTACACTAGAAACAACAGTGGGCCGGATGTGGCGCAAGATGAAGCAACCGCATACCAGATAGCATGTTTGGGAAGCTACACCCATTGCCTTGCTCAAGAAGCAATGGATTTCCCGACCTAAAATGTGCAAACCAAGAAAAACTCACCTTTTCGACGTTGACATCAGCTTCGGAAAAAGCCATCCACATGGAATTTGAATGGTGTCGTCTCCTCTTCTGGCTTCAGCGAGTCCTTGAGGTGAAATTTAGCCGTCTGGCTGCATTCCAATACAAAATCCTGGAAAAAAATTATATTATACTAGGTAGTTTGCTGAAGGGATTGGCTCTAACTTGGCAAAAACTCGATCAACATCACTCCTGGATGGTTCTTTGGAAAGCTACACCCATTTTCATGCTTAGGAATGCCCAAAATTACCTTCATTCGCCCAAAACACAAAAAATCTTGGATCAGCTGTCGTAAAAATTTTTGCCGAGCTGCCCTAAATCAGAAAACACAAAAAACATACCTTTTTTCAGTGATCTTCACTCATCTTTCACCTTCTTTGTACCATTTCAAACAATAAAAAAATAATTTTTTTATTTTTTAGCGAGAGAGACCCGCCGTGTTGGGTCCCACAGCGGGAACAGTCCTTATTTGCGCTCTGGCTTGGAGAACCTCGCACTTTAAATTTGTGGTGACATATAGCTAAATTTTTATGTAAAGGTCTTTATGTTGTACTACGGCCCTTTGAAGATGCTTTTCTCCTCAGTTGAGACCAAGTGTAATATAGATTTATATTGAAAATTGAGGAAAATCACCGAAAGATGATGAATTTTGATAATTTTTGATTAAATAAAGCAATTTGATGAGTTTTCAACGGATCCGAGGTTATAAGTATCGTATTTTACCCATATTCCCCTCTATTCTTCCTCATTTTATTCAATTTCAATTCTTGTTAATCCCGTATATCTCCTTCTTGCTTACTTACTTCCCCAGTAAACAACCGAATCCCCACAGCAAAGCGCCAAGAAAGGCTGTGTGGCGGAGAGCCGCAGAAGAGCAGAGAAAAATAAAAAGAGCGAAAATCTCTCGAATTCCCCCATTTTTCGCTGTGTCCTCGCGGCCCTCAAGGCCTGTTGACCGCCCGGTTTTGCGGCAGAATTTTTTGTGCCACAGGGCTTTTGCGCACGCCGAAAAGCGCACGGGCAGGGTTGGAGGGGAAAAAGCGGCCGAAAAATTTTTTTATGGATGCGGTTGGATTTTGCTTTTTTAACTTTTTTTGAATGGGGAGTGAGGGAGTAAAGGTTACTGGGATAAGTTGAATTTTTTAGAAGTTGAAGTATTTGGGGGCTGTTTTATGAATAATATATGTATATTATAAAACACATAATTTTACTAACAAGGGAAGTACTTGAAGTGTGACGCTCAGATTTTGATGAAACTTGGCACAAATTTAAAGCAATTTTTTCTAAGATATATGCGAGAATCCTAGCTCGCGCTTTGCAGAAACAACCGAGATTTTTAGATCGAAAGTCGGCGAAAATTTGGGACTTTTTGCCGAATTTCGGCACGAAAAGTTTCATGCCTATTTCAACCGTAAAGAACAATGTTTCTACAAAAAATCAAATTTTTCCGCACGAAACTGCCAAAGTTATGGCCAAAAAGCGCTTTTCTCTCTGACCGCTCTCCACGTTGAGCGTGCTCTCTCGGCGGCAAAAATCGTTCAATATCTCGGCGGCGCCCGCAAAGCGCGAGCTAAAAAAAGTGCATACATTAAAATCGCAATTTTTTAAAGCTTCTGGCTATCTGTTTTACTAGCAATTTTCGAAAAACATTGGAACTTCTGGAGCAAAAATGTTAGTAAAATTGGAATTTTTTGCGCCTCCAAAAACTAAAAATTTTGTTGATCTATTTAAAGTATATTTCCTAATTTCTTCTGTCAAGAATTATTTTTTTCCACCAACATGAAAGTTTTCGGAAGGGTTCTTTTCAAGTTTTTTTTTCGTATTTTGATTTTACCATTACATAAGTCTCTTTTTCCTCCTTACTATACTCCTCTTTCCATGAAAAGTGCAGCTTTAAAGTACACCGTCTAAATTTTTTTATCGCTTGAGAACCCCTTTATTTGTTACATTTTTTATTTAATTTTTTATTTTTTTCAATTCAAACATTTCATTTGGAATTCCTTTCTATTATATTATTCTCAAAAAATCCTCGTGCCGGCTCCATAATTGCTCTATCTAAATTTCCTGGCCCCTCAGTAATTACCGTTTTTACTTCGCTTCAAAATATCGTTACTAAATTCCCAACCCGATCCTTTGTTTCTTCATTTTTCCATCCTTTTCTCTGCTTTTTACCTTGTTGACCCTTTGACTGTTTCCGCATTTCCCAAAACGAAAAAGTGTCGAGGCGCAGACGACGCTTTTTTGGCCATAAAAGTGCCTGAGACGAGGAAAAAAAGAGTGCCCAAGGCGGTGGGTCAAATGCGCGCACCGCTGCGTTCGGCCGCCACGGCGGACGGGCGAGGAATTTTCGTGTGGGGGAAGGGGTGTCTGGGCTTCGCTCTTTCTCCCGTCTCCGTCTTCCCCCGCTCTCTGGCCGGCTTCGCGGCACGATGGCGGCCGAAGAGCGGCCGTCTGCGCCGGCCTCGAATTCTTCTGGGTCAGAATGTTGTGCGAGTGAACTTGCGAGGCGCGGCCCAACCATTTCTGGGGGCACAGAATGCTGTCGGACCCAAAATGCTGTACGTGCTGTGGAGAGAGAAGTGGGGGGACGCCGGCGGGCCGGAGGGGAGAAGAAGAAGAAGACGGCCTCAAGAAAACGCATCGTCGGCCCAAAAGAAGAAGGAAGAAGAGACTTTTTGGTTACGTTTTTTCGCTTCACTCCTCCGGCCCAACCGCCTTCAGGATTCCAGATGATCATGATGGGGTTTCAGGGCTTCGCTGGGTGCAGATTACTTTTCAACCGGGTTTCAAAGCATGTAGTCGATGGATTTTTGAGGATTTTGCGTTGTTACTGTGTTTCAGGCTCTTTAGGAGTTGTAGCAATAAAGTAGTTATTGATTTTAAGTAGCGTAGTAAAAGGCTATTCTAGGAATTTATTCGACAGTTAACTTTTTTACGGCTTTTTCTGCAATTCTTCCCATTAATCCCTAGTACAATATAAATTTGCTCACAGAATTATGGTTTCAGACCTATTGATATACTTTAGTCTCTATGATATTGTTGGATATGCTATTTCTCAAGATTGTAACATTTTCTGCATCTCTTACCACTACATTCAGCATAACATTGACATAAAATATTTCAAAGCCTCTAAAAATGCCATCTTGAAGTTTATCGTATAACATGTCACCTTTTCAACCAATTCCAAACATTTTTGACCACTGACTTTTACCTTGCTTCAACTGTTTTTCAAATCGCAAATTCCTAACCAGTTTTACATACCACCTGCATTCTCCACCCTCCAACCTATACCCCTTAATATTTGATGGCCATGTATAATATCATTTTTTAACCTACTGTACACCCTTTTAAATTCCAGAAAAACAACTTTCCCAAAACCTTGAGGCTCTTAGAATGTCTCCATAAAATCTGAAACATTTAAAAACTCCGCTTGTTTAAGATATCGCCCAATCTAATTAGTGGTTTATTTATACAAGATAAACATTGCCGCTTGCCGCGAGACCCAAAAATTTGCAAAAGATAATTTTGTTTGACGAAAGAACAATTACATTGGAACGTGACCGCCATTTTTATGTGATTTTTTGGTTGTATTTTATGAGCGGCCGGCCCAGCAGCAGCCGCTTCCCGGAACAGCCCGGTTCTTGAGCTTTGGGGAGTGGAAGATTTTGAGGAGTTTTTGAGGTCAGAAATTGGTTTGCTATAATCAAACATGAGGCTTGTGGTGGAAGGGTGAAACTGGTGCTCTCACCAGGTTACGTATTTTACCAAGTATGCGTATAATAACATATCAATGTTTCGACCTTTCGAAGCCAAAAAAAGTTTAAAAATCTGGCTTCTAAATTCGTTAAAAATTTTAAAATGACGTTGAAATGTATAATAGAAGCTTTGGAATACCTGAAATTTCAAAAAATTACCTTTTTGATGACTTTCCCTGATTTTCAGGGATTTCGTGGTGGGACCCAAAATTTACCCTATAATTGTCGCATTTTTGACCTGAATTTTTTTACAAAGCATAGTAAAGCTTATAAATTCCATAGTGCGGCAAAAAACACTCCATTTCCCCAAGTTTTCGCGCCGGGACCCAAATCTTTTATTCATTTCACATTTTTATTTTACCCTCTAATGTTGCTCACGTATTCAGAATGTGCGGAACGCCGCGTGCATCTAATTGCATCCAAAACAAGGCCATTACAATTCTGTTTTCCCCGCTTCCAACAATTTATAAATATACTTTCTTCCTCTGTTTTTAACCCACTTTTCTCTCGCGGGCACTTTACACCGTACCCGCGCTTATTTACCCATTTTCCCACAACATTTGCAGCAGGTTTGTCATGACAACCGCTGATCTTGATGTAGTTTTGTAGCGGCCACCGTATAGATTTCCGAGGAAATGATGTGAGAGAATTGGAATTTTTTAGGAATAAGGGGCCGTATTTTAGGCTTAATGACAAATCTTTGGTATTTGAACATCGTATATGACTTTGAAAGGTCATAACCGTAGCTAGTGATAAACTATTTGGGATAACAAAAGTGTTTTTGGCTATTTTCGACAATTTTTAGATCAGATGTCTAGTGCAATATAATTCATTGCATTAAATACCTCTAATCTGCTTTATACTTGTCATGTGTTCTTGAAAGACCATGATAAACATATTAAAAGTCAAAATTCAAGTCAGCATTGCTTTATACTGTCACTATTACTTTGTCAACATTAGATATCTAGTACAATATAATTTGTCTTTCTTTGCCCCTTTTTCTCTGATAACGCGAATTCTTCACACATCGTTTGCATTCTCACATAATCAGTGTTTCATTCCTAATATTTCTTTCTTGCAGAATCGCCTCAGGGCAGGTGCAATTCCTGACACTTCGAGAACAGTAGCATTCCGGAAATTTAATATTACACAAGGACAATTAACCGGCTGAATTTTCATTATGAGAGTCGGCTGGCTCATGACTATTCGTCTACAGTACCTTGATAGCGAAATTCAACACAAATCATGATGGCGAGCTGCGCCCGAGACATTTCCGGAATCCGCGAGCTGCGCCCCAGACTTGCCCTCAAAATTGTTTATTCATCCCGCTTGGTGGGGGAAATTTGTTTTCCGACACTCTCGAAGGACTACAAAGTATACTTTTTCATGTCCCTTTGTGGCCATGTCATCCCAAATGGCCATGAGTTTCTCCAATGATTCAGCCCGAATTTTTCTCGTTTTTCGGATTTCTTTTCAATTTTCGGCCTCAAAATTGATGAGAAAACATTTTCTGGCTGTTGCAAATTATTTTTGAGAGGTTTCAGATTCTTGGCCGAACAAAATTTTTACGTCTTGGCCAAATTTGTAAAAACTTTTTTGTGTTAAAATCCGAAATTATTAGCCAACTGAAAATCTCTTATGCCATTATTGCATGTGTCGTATTTTAAACACTCAATTTTTCAGTCAAAAAATCTCATTTTACAATATTACCCAAAAGTCGCCCCTTGCCTCACCCGGAGACCCTCAAACCCCCACCTTCACAAACATTGCCCATTTTTACTATGCCCTTTTTGCCTACAATTTATCCCATCCTCAAATTAGTACACATCCTCCAATATTACAATTTTTCGTCCAAAAATTCATTATTACGATTTCCGTTGCTGCGTCTTTGGAAATTATCGGATTTGGGGACGCAAATCTCTGTCAGCCAATGTGGCGCTGAATAAGGATATTAATTTTCGGGGCGGTCTTTTGACTCGCGATTACTCGCTTTCACGCCAGGTAATCCGGGAGGGCCTAATCCCTGGGCCGGGGGGCGCTTTTCGTCCGGCGAGAATGTCGACTTCATTGACGCCGACTTCAGCGGGTAATAGGGGTATTAGGGCGAATGACTGGGTGTTTGAAGTTGTAGTGGTGTCGGAGAGAAAGTATGTGGTAGGTAACTGGAGGTATTTTACGAGTTTTTGGAGGAAATTTGGGAGGTTCTTTTGAGCCTCACAACCAAAGCTCTTGTGGAAGAAAAAATGGATTTTTCGCCCAAAAAATCAGCGGGTAGAAAAAGATTAGTGATTAGAATAGAAACTGCAGGACCTATAGAGTGTACCTAAAGCAAAAAAACATTCAAAAATATTCGTATTTTAGGCCAATTTCAGTCTCCATTCAGCACATTCGATTTTCAGACAGATTTGAAAAAATTGTAAATTTAGTAACAATTTTCAACAGCGTATTTTGCCCCTCTCCCACGTCTATATCTTCCGACAATGCCGCTTGTTCTCCATCATGCCCTAAGGCGCAGCCCGCAAATCCTCTCCGGAACGAGCTGTTTTTTCATAGCGTCATTCATCCGCCCGGGGGCCCGGTGGGATTTTCGGTCCGTTCTTTTTACCTACACGAATTTTCTCACCCACACCTTCAAATTGGTTATTTTGTCACCTCCTTTCTTTCCTCACTCCTCGCTATTCTACATTTTGTTGTTCCGTTTCCGCGGGCCCTCCCAAACTTTGGTCCGAGCGGCCGCCGTGCTGGCCGAGCGCACTTTGTTTGGTGTTTATGCTGAGGCGCTGTTTATTTATAGTCTGTATGTAGGGTAGAGGCTGAAACAAAGGCGTTTGTGTAGGTAAGGTGTTTTATTAAATTGAAATTGAAAAAAGGCGAATTTTTGGTTTTTCAAAAAGTCTCGTTTTTTTGTAACTATGGCGCAAGTGACCAAGATGATTTTTCTCCGTTATTGAAGTGTTTGTTGTATGTAGGGAAGTTTATTTTGGGATACGATGAGCCCTTGGGACCTCTGAAATTTTGTTGTAAACTTGTTATGACCTTATCGCCCGGGTAGTAAAATATCTTTCTGTCGGGAAAATAATGACCACTCTGTTGCATCAAAAATCTGATCGCCGCTGAGAAAATGAATTGTGTCGCGGCAAAATCAAAATTTTTCCCCTTCAACGCCGCGCTCAGCAAAGCAAAATTGTCCTCATTATTTTCCCGACAGACCGATAATAACCCTTTTTCTCACCCAAAATACACACCTCGTACGTTGCAACAAGTGTCAAGCCTATTTTTATCGATTTCTCCAACAATTTCAAACCATCCTCCCCGCAAAAATACCCTTCATTAGTGGCGGTGGGCCATTAGCCCTGTTTCAGGCCCCATTCTCATCTATCACATGCAAATTCACCGTCTTCGCCGCAGGTATTTTTGGGCCGACTAATCAGGTCCCCACAGAGTCGGGGCGATTAGCATTACCCGTGCATTACGTCGCATCTTCATTGCGTCGCATGACGCTGTTTTCGTATTTTGGTTGGTGTTTGCTGACGTTGAGAGCCGATGTTTGTGGTAAATATTTTTAGGTATCGGTTGCAGCGGTTTGTTGATGGGAAGGTGGGGCACGAATAACAGTTTAGTTGACCTGTAGTATTGCCTATTCTACGCTATCAAAAACATCCTCTTGGTCACTTGTACCTTCATCTTGTACCCTTGTTGAGGCAGAGCCGTTAACACGTGTGTTTGCATAGTTTCCTTTCCCTGGAAATACAAGTGTTTGTACTGATATTCCATGTGTCCCTTCGCCGAATCTAATCCGTGTTTGTTACTGGGACGGCATATGATGGGTGGCGGATGATAATTTACGCCACACGATTAACGTAAACCCTTTGTATTTGGCTATAATTTGTTGTTTTTGGCTGTTAAGTACTTGGTCTTTCGGAATACCGTATACTTTCGCGTACACCAGTCTTTTCGGACCGCGGAATTCGAGTTGTTATAATCGCGGCGTGTTCAAGGCCATCACTTGGCCGACTCGTTGGTCGGCAGACCTGAATCCCACCCCGCCACCCATGATCATCCCTTCTCGGTTTCAGTTTATTCGGTCCAACCAGGCCAACTCTCTCCCACTGCTGGACACGCCGCCGCCGCCGCCGAAGAGAAGGGCCAGAGAAGCGGAGCGCCACGATCCCTGCACTCGTCTCTCTTTCTCTCCGACCTTCTCGTCGCGCCGCTGAACCGGCGAAGGGCCGCACACACCGCAACCGAACGGACCAGCCGCACCGCCGCCGCCGGGCCGCGCCGCACACCTCGCTCGCGCCGTCTGCCGCCGTCTTCGTCGAGGCCGCCGAGCGAGACCGACCCCGAAGCGGCGCAACGCTCACGGAGCCGCAGCGAAAAAGGCCGCATTCTCCCACCCCGCGTCGGGCCCCTCTCCGCCGCCGGCACCCACTCTCGCCGCACCCCGCCGACCCCTCTCTTCTTCTTCTTCGGGCCCCCGTTTGCCCCCCACTCCGCAGGCCCCACACCGACGACGCCCCAACTAACACAGTGAGCGGCGCCCCCCACAACCAGCTCCCCAACCAGCCCGACGGACGCAGAGAATTCTCGTCTTTTTTTGCCCCGGGGGCCGGTCGAGAGCAACAACGACCCAACTGAACAACCGCCAACGGTCGCATCACGGACGCCGCGTCGCATAATCCGCCACGGCCCAAAGGTGAGGCGGGTCGCCGGGATCCGGTTTTGGGGACGGGGCCGAGGACCCCAGGGCTGAGAGATATTTTTGGGCCGTTTTCGGCCGAAATTTTGTTTCGTGGGATTTGGTTAAAATTTGGGTTGAAAAGTCGTGTAAATGACATTTTAGAGGTTTTGAAGTAATTTTAATGTCATTTTTGCCACCTACCAGGGATTTGTATATAATTTTTTTTTCAATTATCAAAATTTCATAAAACTTTTTTTTGGCCATGCGAGTTTTTTTGGGCCATTTTGGACGACTTTTTGGCCATGAAAAAGATAGAATGCCAAATTTTTTGATATCATGCCCTTAGGCAATTTTTAGGACAACCTGAAAAATTCACCGAGTTTAGTTCGAAAAATTTATTTTTTAGTGTTTAGATAGACAGTTTGTTGAAATTTCCCAAATTTTTCAACAAATTCAACTCCTAAAAAGCCTTTTTTGTCGTCTTTTTTCCTCCCTTCTAATCCCCGCATTTCCTCCAGGATCCAGCCCAATTCGGCCCGTCAACGTACAGCAGCAGGAGCAGCCCACGCAGGACCCGACCAGCCGGTCCCACCACCGCCGACGAACCGCCGCTCGTTGCTCATCAGTCAGCCGCCGGTTTCGCACCTCCACTGCCCTGGCCCGAAACGACGACGAAGAAACGCAGACCCGGAATCCCGACGCGAAAACATTTCACGCACACCGAACCGTTTTTGAATCGCCGCTGTTCGCAACAACACTGCCCTTAATTATTCATTGAAACCACACCCGTTTGTTTGTTTGTTGTTTTCAATCGACGGAAGAAGGAAAAAAAATCGTCCGTTTTCTCTCTCACTCACTCTCTCTCTCTCCCACACTCTCCTCAACGCCCAGCATCCCTCTACTCTTCTCTCACGCACACCGTCCACAACGAAGTTTTAGAAGATGAGTGAACTGGACCAGCTTCGACAAGAGGCCGAACAGCTCAAAAGTCAAATCAGAGTGAGTTTTATTTTCGGGATTTTTTGATTATTTTACAGTTTTAAAAGACCCAAAATCATAGTAGTTTTAATAGTTAATGCTCTCAGAAGTTAACATGAGATCTAGACAACATACTAGTCCCTCAGCATAGTCGCTAGAGCTTTTTCTTCGCCTTGCCCAGCGCAAAAAAGACAACGGCCCAAAAAGCCCATTGCACTGTGCAAAAAGCAAAAATTTGCACTGTGCACGATGCCATTTTGTTTTCTCACAGTACATGTCGCAAAAATCACTCCAGCGACCTTGCACACCCACTAGTATCCATAAAATCCCATTGTCTTTCTCCCCGTGGACTTCGCAATCCGCCCGGCTTAACCGCTAATTTGTCGGGGCCGTCGCCGAAAAAACAAACAAATTATGAATGGAATGAATATTTTTAGTCACTTTTCACGCCTAAATTTAGCCTCCGTTTTTGCATCCCGCGTCGCCCGGCAAAGACGTCCACCTCACCTGCACGGGAATGTGACGTTTTGGGGGGGGCCAATTTGGGGACCGAAAGGCGAAACGCCGAATATTTTGGGAACACATTTTTCCACTGTTTTCCTATAGCTCCGGGACATAAAAGGGCAAAAGGTCAAGCACTTGAGAGGCGGCTGAGAAATCAGCGGGCTGAAAATTGGGGTGAAAATTGGGATGATTGTAGACATTTATTTTTGAGATCTTTCGAAGATTTGGCCACAAGCAAAGACTTGATTTTGCAAGAAAATTTTGAGTGATACCTCCATAATCACACTGAAAATACCTTGAGTAATTTTTTCACCTAAAATTTGCATGATTTTCGGTAAAAAAGCGAAATTTTTAACTTGATCTGATTAATACATAGCATTGACTTTGATGAGAGATGAAATTTGAGCCACATTTTTTCGATAAAGTACAACTTCCAGGCTATTTTATTTCCAAATTTGCGCGTTTCATGTGTTTCTGCAAGCCCTCTCTCGCTGTTCCTCCTGCAATTATTGCGCAATCGAGTGTCGGTGTAAAGAGACGAAAAATGACGTACATGTGGCACTCGTCGTCGTTCCTACGATTCTGATGTCAAGCGAGAATGGCCGCAAAGATAAGGGGGAAAGGACGGGGCCCGAAAAGTGAGCAAAGCGGCCGAAACCCCATTTTTCGGAGAAGCGAAAAGAGCGAAGCCGCCCCGGGGAGTTCGAGGCGGTGGTGGCGGGGAAGAGCGGCGGCGCAGAGAGAACGGCCGCCGCGGGCACAGTGAGTCGTTTAGAGAGGAAAAGAGATGGCCCCTGTTGACGTCACGGGTCGATATCGGGTCCCCATTCGGCCGCGAATGTCTTCGGCTTTCCCCTCCCGAAGACATCGCCGCCGACCGCCGCCGCAAGCCGGAGAGCGCAGACGGACGGGTTGGAGGAGGAAAACCCCCTCGTAGAGAGACCGCACAGAGACGCAAAGACGGCCGAATTTATGGCCAAAAGTGTGTTTCATCGGGGCGACGGCGGCCGGCCCCACCATATAAGGCGCGCTGTATTACTGAAGTAAATTTTTGGTGCGAATCCCCAAAGGAAACGAGTTCGGGGCGCCGCAAGCGGGCGCGCACAGAGCGCGCGTAATGGGGAGAGCGCGAGATTAGCGGAGATTACGTCACACAAAATGGAATTTCGGGCCCGAAAATAATAATTATAAAGCGGCCGCAAGCGCCGAGAGCGTGCAGTTACAATAGCAGGAATGAAGTTAAAAGGGCGTGTAAACAGAACAATGATATAACTAGAATAAGTAATAAGAACTTAGCGAAAAATGCAAGGGAGTACAAGCAGTATAAATGCTTGTAAATCCCTCATATAACTTCCTTATTCTCAAATTTCAAGACCTTTAATCAACGCCGGATTTTTTCATACTGTACAAGACAAATTTCATGTAGTAACTTGGTATTTTGCCCTCGCATGCAAGCCATTACAGCTTCTGGAATACACTTTTAAGGCAGTAAAGTAAAGGTTCGCGTGTGAGTGGGAAAATGGCATTACAGGAACTCGGGCGTACGGTAGATTGAACAGGTGAACAAACTAAGTGGAGATTACATCCCAGGCGCTATTATCGTACACTTAATTCAATTGCAAAAACATGTTTATATATAGAAACATCAAAAAACTGATATTTTTTTTATTTTAGGCCACCATTTTTTAAAACACACATGATACCAGTTCGTATTTTACCCCGTCATTACCTTCAAAATTTTCAGGAAGCCCGCAAAAATGCGAACGACACCACGCTGGCGTCGGTGGCCGCCAACCTCGACCCCATCGGCCGCATCCAGATGCGCACCCGGCGAACATTGCGCGGCCATCTCGCCAAGATCTACGCCATGCACTGGGCGTCGGACTCGCGGAATCTGGTGTCCGCCTCGCAGGACGGCAAGCTGATCGTGTGGGACTCGTACACGACGAACAAGGTGCACGCCATTCCGCTGCGCTCGTCGTGGGTGATGACCTGCGCGTACGCGCCGTCGGGCTCGTTCGTCGCGTGCGGCGGGCTGGACAACATTTGCTCCATCTACTCGCTGAAGACGCGCGAAGGCAACGTGCGCGTGAGCCGAGAGCTGCCCGGCCACACCGGCTACCTGTCTTGTTGTCGGTTCCTGGATGACAACCAGATCGTCACTTCGTCTGGTGATATGACTTGGTAAGCGACATTATCAGTTTTTGAGTTCTTAGAGATACTTTGAAAAAAACTTCTGGCTTCTTTTGCCAAGGTCTTACCATAGTAAATTACCATCAGAAACTCACCCCTACCCCCATCTTTTCAGTGCGCTATGGGACATTGAAACCGGGCAACAGGTGACCGCCTTCACCGGCCACACCGGCGACGTCATGTCGCTGTCGTTGTCGCCGGACATGCGGACCTTCATCTCCGGCGCCTGCGACGCCAGTGCCAAACTATGGGACATTCGCGACGGGATGTGCAAACAGACCTTCCCCGGCCACGAATCAGATATCAACGCCGTCGCGTTCTTCCCGTCCGGCCAGGCGTTCGCCACCGGCTCGGACGACGCCACTTGCCGACTCTTCGATATTCGCGCCGATCAGGAACTTGCCATGTACTCTCACGATAACATTATTTGCGGTGAGTCGGGCGGTGATATCCTCAGCCAAAAAGAAGCCCGTCATTTGCGGTGATGAGCTGTTTTTTTGGCTGTAAATTAATATTGTATCAACATGTTCTGATTCTTTGTTTTTCAGGTATTACTAGTGTTGCATTCTCCAAATCGGGTCGTCTCCTGTTCGCCGGTTACGACGATTTCAACTGCAATGTCTGGGACTCAATGCGACAGGAACGAGCAGGTAAGGCCTCATTTTTAACTTGTCCAGGCCAAGTCCTTGATCTTCAAAGAACTTTATCAGAACGATCCAAGAATACGTACATATATTACTGTGCTAACTTCCAACTTTTCTCAAAGTGGTAGAGCATAATATGGCGGATATAAGCATGGTTTTCGACACCCATTTTATTAACGAAGTAGAGATGATTATTTTTACAAAAAAAAATTAACAAAACCCGACTCTAAACTAACAAAAAACGCGCCAATAAAATCGCCGGATAATTATGCATTAACCTAATACATATATGAACGCTAGCTATTCCCCCATCTTTGCAGGTGTTCTCGCCGGCCACGACAACCGCGTCTCCTGCCTAGGCGTCACCGAGGACGGTATGGCAGTGTGCACGGGCTCATGGGATTCGTTCCTCAAGATTTGGAACTGAGAAGCCGTCAAAGCAAAAAAAAAGAAAGAAAGAAGAATTCGACGATCTATTGATATTCACCTTCTTATTATATGTACTGTCACTGTGTTTTTGTTTCTCTCTCTCTCTCTCTCTTTATCGACAATCAGCCTGTTCTAGTCCGTTTTTTGTGTATCCGATTTTTGCGCCAATTTTTTGAACTTTAATTTTAGGAGGTTTCAGGGCCGTTGGGACTAGTTTCCGATCTTCAGCGGAAAAGAGATCGTTGTTTACGGAGATAAAATACGAATGTATTACGAATATATCCAAAAATGCGGTCCCAGCCGGCCCCAACTCCTCCTTGGTACCATTTCTTACCACTTTTACGATACCATCTCTCTCTCTATGTCGTGTATTCAACCAATGTCATCATATTTATCAACCCCCCTTTGACTTCTTAAGTTTATTGGCACCGCAACGGAAGGGCCGGAGCGCGCGGTGAATGGGGCCCTCTAGAGTTTCGTCACCCCCGTAGCAAGTAGTTTTGCGCGCGTAGTCGTGGGTGTACTGTAATTTTCAGCTTCAAGAAATTAAGTTAACCTTTCTCATTCGCCCTCCCTCCGTAGTGTGTACTGTAAGTCGCGAAACAGGCTGTAGAACAGTCGTGGTACCGCTGCCAATCGCCCACCCCCTTCATGCCCCGAAGGGATCTCATACTTAAGACCCCCGAAGACGGTCCGATTTCCCCTTCCACGCCAAAAATCTTGAACCCCCCACTCTACCGTGTGCGGCTCGCAAATTCCCCCCAGACATTAGATTCGTAACACTGTGTCCCCCTCCCTGTTTGAGTATTGTAAAATGTTTTTCTTGCTGCTATTTTTTCAACGTTTGAATCGATAATCTTGCACTAACACCCCGTTTTCTAAACAATTCTTCGTATTTTATTATTTGCATGTGTTTCTAAATAAATTTATAAACTAGTCAACGCTGAATAAATACATGTTTGAGGTTGTGGGTTGTGAAATTCAGAGTGGAAAAAGTAGAAATTCGTGCATGAGGTATGATGATGTTCAATATCAGTCTGTCGGGAAAATAATGAGCACTCTGTCGCTTTGAAAATCGCATCGCCGCCGAAGAAATGAATTGTGTCGCAGAAAAATCGAACTTTTTTCACAGTCAATCGGCGTTGCGGAATTTTGCTCATTATTTTCCCGACACACTGATATAAGGATTATTTACAATGAGCGGTAGACAAATAGAGATGACACAGAAAAACAAGTTTACAATGCGAAGCTCGGATCTTGAAATAAGATACGTTTTTAAGACATAAGACATACGCGTAGTTTCGTGCTTGTGCTTTGTAGAAGCCGCCACGATTTTGTTCGAAAGTTAGAGCAAATTCGACAGTTTTTTAGAATTTGATGTACGAAAAGTTTTTAGCTTTATTTCAAGCAACACTTCGACAAAAAATAATTTTTCCCGAGCGAAATTGGCAGAGATATGAAAAGGTCCTTCCACTAGATTCTCTGGTTGTGAGTGTTCTTCACATATCCTCTGCAAAGCGCGAGCTAAACGTTTAGGAACGGACTTGTGCTATGTGCAATGTTTGCCAAATTTTAACAAAATTGATAAGTCGATTTTTTTGGATTACTTTTTTATTCAAAATATAAGAATGAAGAAATAAGACAGATTTTGAGATTTTGAAGAAGACGCTAAATTTGCTTTCTCGAGCTTTCCTTCTCATGTCGGCCTCATTTTTTCCATTCTGTTTTTTCAAAAAAGGTTAGGAAAGCGTTTTTAACGTTTTGCTTTCGGAACGGTACGATCTTATTTTTCACTCTTATATCTCTGTCAGAAAAATAATGACGACTCTGTCGCATCGAAAATCGAATCGCTGTCGAGAAATTATTATAATCTGTGTCGCGGCAAAATCAAATTGCTTTTCACTTCAGCGAAGCGATTGGCGCAGCAAATCGCTTCTATTGCGCTCACTATTTTCCTGACAAACTGATAGCTTGACGTTTCATAAAGACGAATATTTGCAAAGCCATAAAATTTTGCTTTTCTGGTGCATGACTTCAGGCAATATAAATTGACCAAAGGCATAAAAAATGTAACATGTTACATTCATTATATGTATTATACCACGAATTTCACCACACATCGTGTCGTACTTTGCCCACAGGTGCAATGTCGTAACCGTTTGCAAGCTACCAAAAATACTCCCAAAAATACATCATCGCCAGGCCTTATCGAACATTTCGAAATAGATTTCGCGCTCTTGAAGTTTTCCATCCTCCACTTTTCGCTTTATATTAATGTAAACGGTTACTGTGGCTTGGGGCTCCGGCGTTTGGAGTCGGCCGAAGATAGAGCCGATTCGTAGTGTTCGGCCGAGTGAAGCCAACAATGACATTGTTTTACGATGCCAAACCGGGATAATCGAGATTTGAAGAAAGGAGGCTGGCAGGAACATCATCGATACCCATAAGGGGCCAGTGGCATTGGTGAAAATTGTGAATTCCTGGAAAAAGTCAATTTTTATATTAGAAATAAAACCGATACGATGCTTGGATTTCGATAAATTTGCCGGAACTTAAGGCTAAGTATTTCTTAAAAATAGTATGTATCTGCAGAAACGGCGTAGATCCCTAGGGTAAGATTTACAAGTGAAATCTCCCAGGTGCGACGCTCGTAATCTTTCCAGAATTTTTAATAGATAGACTTCCCAAAATCAACGACTGATGGAATGGACGCCGCCCCACAAACGACCACTTGGACGCCCCAGACTCAGATGGACCGACGATTTTCGAAAGTACCATGGCCTGAGATGGAGAGACCTTATACTGACCAGACAATGGAATCCCGACTGATACACTCCATGATTTTACATGTGATTAGTGTGAATAAATTGAATTGAAGACTTCCCAAAAAACGTCGTATTTTAAACAAATTTTCGGTCTAAAAATATCGATTGTTTCTGTCAATCGCGAGCTAGAAATATCGCATAGGGTTTAATACGAAATTTCTATAATATGTGGATCGATTAAATTTAGAACTGTTTTGTAAAATCAAAATTTATCAGTCTGTCGGGAAAATAATGAGCACACTCGCGTCGATGAAATAAAAAGCAATTTGATTTTGTCGCGATAAGATTTATTTTCTCGGATTCGATGCGAAAGAGTGCCCATTATATTCCCGACAGACAGATATGGCAAGAGTATCATCGAAATCTGAGCTATGAACTTTTTTCCCAACACTGTCACATACCGGAACTTCCTCCGCCAGCGCTATGGATGTCAAGACTTGGATCAGAACAGCCAGTCCACCCAGTGCTGATAAAAACCCAGATTTCAAGATCATCGCGACAGATCGCACATTTTCACTCAACTGAAACCGCTGACTCAGCGTGTACGTTCGGACATGTATTTTTGATCGTGTGAACCGCATTTTGTTCCATTGATGTGTTCGGTAAAGCACCTAAGAGGTCGGTATGAAGAATAAGATGGAGCTTACCACAAACAGAACAAAAAAAATTATCATCGTAATGGCAAAAATAATTGCTGAGGTTTTAATTGCTAAAATTAGAGCGAAAAATTAAGAGTATCATATAGCAAGCTATCCATATGACATCAGAAAACCTACAGATTCGATTATCCACCATAAAATAGCCTAGAAAAAGGGTACCGATCCATGTTATAATCGAGGCGAGCTCCACAAAACACGAATTCCTCTGCTTCTCGTAGGAGCGCAAATAAATGGACGCATATATCCGCTCAACGCACGTTAACATGGCATGAAATACGAATGAAAATCCGCCCCACAAAAATAAAACAAACCCCACGTGGAAAGTGGGGGGAAGTTCCAGGAAATGGGTGATCCCTGTGCCTGAAACTATCGTATTTTTATATTCAATGTCTTATTACAACTTTTGTATTGCAGTTTTTCTATATCACCCACGATAAAATGTAATAAAAATGTAATCGAGGCTAGCTATGTGTAGAGATACAAAAGGCAGAGAACTTGGGGAAAGTGAAAGAAAATAACAGCTTTATCAGGCTGTCGGGAAAATAATGACCACACTGTCGCATCGAAAATCTGCCTAGAAAGTGAATTGTGTCGCGGCAAAATCAAGTTGCTTTTCACCTCAGCGACGCGATCAACACAGCGAGAATGCGCTCATTATTTTCCCGACAGACTGATAGTCCGCCCGGAAAATCAAGGGATTGATTTTGGGCGTTTCCACTGTACGAAAAAACTATCAATCTGTCAGGAAACGAAAGATCACTTGTTTTCTCCCTTGTCCAATTGGCGTGTAATCTAGCTAGATTATGCTCGCAAAATCTTGAACAATACCTTTTACTAGTCGTTCCAGAAAGTGAGTGCACTTTTTTTCGCGGCGCACAGTGCATTTTTCTTGTTTTTGCACTGTGCAATTGTTGTCGCGCGCCCAAAATGCGCGGCGACAGAGTTGAAAAAAGCTTATGTCGCTGCGATTTTTGAATTGCACGGTGCAAAAGGTCAAATGCACAGTGCGGAAAATTTGCGACGAAAGGTGCACGCACTTTCTGGAACGCCTAGTATCAGTCTGTCGGGTAAATAATGAGTACAATTTTGCTGCGCCGATCGTGTCGCTGAGGTGAAAAGCAATTTGGTTTTGCCGCGACACAATTCATTTTCTCGGCGGCGAAGCGATTTTCTATGCGGCAGAGTGCTCATTATTTTCCCGACAAATTGATATTACAAGCAAATTTATCACTATTCCATTTCACTATTCAAAAAAAGGCCTTTGAATTTGCTCTTCTCGTAGCCCATTACCTCAAACACTCAACTTACGTTGATAAACCGGATCATTAATTGCACAGAGATCAATAAAAATGATTCCACAAAAAATGAATCCAAACGCCACCAACGTGTTAGCCAGAAGCATCCGCATATGCGAATGAAACACCTTGAAAGACCATAGTAAATAAGTAAAATATCCGATCATGCAAAGATCAAGCACAGAGAGGACAGCGGAAGTCGCGTAGATGGCGTCAAGCCATCTGTTTGGCGCAGTGGTGTTCATAATACATCAACAATGACATTAACAATATTTCTAGCGACCTTGACAATATTTATGGCCGGAAAATAATGGCTTAAGCCATCTATAACATAGTTTGAAGTCGTCGGGAAGATTGTAGAACAATGTTAACAGCAAGTTATGGGCACAGTAAAATTAGCAGCCAGTATTTTGGTCAATTAATTCCTTCGTTTATGAAAAAGTTTCAGGCTCACAGGTGAAATTCGATACCACTCATACTGGCGCTGCGGGCTCCGCAAACTTAATTTTTTATGTCCTGAAAATCTCAGTGAGCTTGACGGTTCGTACAGTGAATTCCAGCGTAATTGTGTTTATAGAAAGGAAAAGAGATGGAAAATTGAAAAGGTTATGGCATTAAAATAAGGTCCAATTTGTTCAAGGAGAAAGGAACAGAAAAATATTTGTAAATACGTAAATTCTAACTTTCTTAAAATTTTGAAGACGCATGGTGCCTAAGCCAGGTATAAATTTTTTAAAATGTTCACTAGCGCGCTTCCGAGGACGCTCGGAACTCAATGATCTTTGCCGATGGGACAGTAGCAGAGAGAAGGCCTTCTGGACCCAATATACGAAACCGGGCAAAAGGTCATCTTTGACATGTTAGGACGGTTCACCGTCGCGCGAAGAACGTGTCGCACGGCGATGAGTAAAGTTCGCGGTCACGATCAGTGCAAAATCATTTCGTTTGGAAAGGATGATAAAGCGGACGTTTTGGCCTTTTTCACGTTGTAATAATCTTCTTCCAAGTGCGATCAAAGAACCTAGGATTCCTGGTTGCTAGAAAACATTACTCTAAACTTGTGTCAGGCTGCACTACTAAAATCGTACATTCGTCTCAAAACTTTTCATAACAGAATGCGGTATGACCGTTATTCTACAATTATCGTTTTGCTATCATTTCATTGCCAGAAAAAGTACTTTAAAAACACACGGTAAAGGAAACAACACAGCAAAGTGAGCTATAATACAATAATATCTAAATTCTTACTGTTTTGTCATTTGTACAAACTAAGCTACAAGTCAAGTTTTAAAAGATTCTGTCGGCAATGATGATCTTTGGGTACTTTCAAGTAGTCGAAACGGATTCTTCAAGAAGGCGAACTCACTGAGTAACGACCGATTGTGGTTGGCAACTTATTCTGTATTTTCAGTCAGGACATGTGAATCTACCCCTTCAGTATCTCATTTGCGCAAAAATACTGATGAAATGTGGCATTTGAAAGGGATTGCAACTTCTTGCCCGCAAATGTCGGAATCTGCCTTCAAGTAAATAGACATGGCTCCCAAGCCAAACCAAGTTTGAAGCTGGGCCGGCCCGGAAAATTACGCTTTATTCCATATTTGCGAACAAAATCATTTTTTTGCAAAAAAAACAGAAACAAAACTTGTATTCGTTTTACATGTCTTGTCATCCTACTACCTGCAAAAATGCAAAACGTACTCTGACCAAAAAAATTAGGTTAACTCCTTGTCCTTTGCGCTGTTTATTTATATTGCAGAGTGCTGAACCACATGATCCTGGCATGCATAACCGCGGCTGTAAACTTCAGTTACTGTAATAACAATGTAAGGATTAACGAAAGTTCTAACGCTCAGTAAAGAACACTACAAATTGCTCCCTTGCCTTCTGTGAGGTGTTAGAAAATACAATTAACGCAAGTTGTTGCCAACATTTTTAACCAAAGTAAATTTTAAGGCTATTTATTCATAATTTAACAAATTTAAAGCCAGGGGCCTGTCCCACTAACAAAGCGTAGCGCGAATCACGAATTGGAAGCGCGAAAAACCATGCAAAAGCGAGAGAGGTGAGAGAAAAAGCGGGCTCTCTCGGAAATCCGCGCTACGGTTTTTTTGTGCAAAATACCGAAATTTTTTTACTTTTTTTGCCGTAACTCCTTTCAATCATGTCCGATTTACATGATTTTAAAAACCGTGAATAGAGGAGACCCACAGCTTCTAGAAAATGTAAATTTTGTTTGCTTTAATGCGGATTAAGGCTCCCCGCCAAGACGAATTACAATTTCCTTAAAAAATTTCGGTATTTTGCACAAAAAAACCGTAGCGCGGATTTCCGAGAGAGCCCGCTTTTTCTCTCGCCTCTCTCGCTTTTGCATGATTTTTCGCGCTTCCAATTCGTGGTTCGCGCTACGCTTTGTTAGTGGGACAGGCCCCAGATTTTGTACAACAAGTGAGGTATTCCGTAAATTAAAAAGTTCAAGCATTTCAAAATAAATATTTCCAACTAGACAGTTGTCATTAACTACAATTATTGCCATGCGGATTTGAACATTTCAAAGTAGAGCTCTTGCTCGTGTACCCGTCTCTCGTCCAATTTTCGTTTCACAATACAAACATCCATTATTCGCTCTTCTTTAGTTTTCACTGTGTCCAGAACTTTACCGATTCCACGGATTCTGCTGAGGCTATTCAGCAGCTGAATGGTCCGTTGCTTCCAGGCAGGAATTACGAGGATCTGAGAAACTGCGGCAGGCAAAAAGATTAGAGAAATTCCAAGAGGTTGCGTTACATTCAGGATGGGGAGGAGAAACTGAAACGCAATTTTTGTAACTTGGAAAGAGATGGTTGTCAAATATAGGGAAAAGGCTGTAAAAAGGCGGGAATTGCCCGACGTTTATGTCAGTCCGTCGGGAAAATAATGAGCACCCTGTCGTTTCGAAAATCGCATCGCCGCCGAGGAAATTAATTGTGTAGCGGCAAAATCGATTGCTTTTCACTTCAGCGACGCGATCGGCACAGCAAATTGTGCTCATTATTTACCCGACAGACAGATAAGATGTATTGTTCAAATCTTTGCTATCTAGCTAGGTTACAAGAGAAGCATCTCAAGTGCGTCGTCGATTTTTCCAGGAAATCTTAGCGCGCGCTGTTCAGAACCAGCTGAGATATTCAGCAATGCTGTTGGTCGAGAGAGTGCGCAAAATTCAGAGAGAGGTCAGAGAGAAAAACGCTTTTTGGCCGTATCTCTGTCACTCTTCTTAGAAACGTGGCCCATGTACAAGGCGTTTCTTGGATGGACTCGCAAAATAATATTGAATTATCACCGACTTTCAAAACAAAAATTTCCCTGTTTTCGCCAAACCGTGTACTAGGGATACCGCATGTAAAAAACCCTCTACCATAAAAACCCTCAATCCTAAAGCTAAGCGTCGCTCTGTGAAAATTTTGCAGAAGTTAGGTACTCCATTTAACAGGGGAAGTACTCCAAGTGCGACGCTCAGATTTTGATGAAACTTGGCACAGATTTAGAATAATTTTTATAAAAATACACGCGAGAATCCTAGTTCGCGCTTTGCGGAAACAACCGAGATTTTTAGATTGAAAGTCGGTGAAAAGTTGACACTTTTTCCTGAATTTCGGCACGAAAAGTTTCATGTCTATTTCTACCAGAGAGGGAAATGTTTTCACAAAAAATCAATTTTCTCCCCGCGAAACTAGCGAAGTTATGGCCAATAAGCGCGTTTCTCTCTGACCGCTCTCCACGTTTAGCGTGCTGTCTCGGCGGCAAAAATCGTTCGATATCTCGGCGGCGCCCGGAAAGCGCGAGCTAAAACTTTCAGGAATTGATCTTTAGTTGATGCCCGACGTGTGCAAAATTTAAAGAAAATCTGGGCGTCGCACTTGGAGTACTTCCTTTGTCAATATTATAACAAACATCAATAAGGACGCACCGTCATTACCTGCGAGTTCTTCGAAAAAGCCAACATCAAGAAAATCTGAGCAGCGGTTATTCCACCGCCAACCGCCGCATACATAGCCGAGTTGAGAATTAGGCTGACTGTTCTCACATTTTCACTCAACTGAAACCGCTGACTCAAAGTGTAGGTCTTGATGTGTATTTTCGACCGAAAAAATCGCTGTTTATTCCATAAATGGGCGCGAAAAAGGCACTAAAAGTATTTTTATACATTCAAAATTTTATCACCATTACAACAAAAATACGTAGGCCGACGTCACAGCTTACCCCGTACAGTACCACATATGACAACATGACGATTGATAAGATTATTGCCGACACCATTATGGCTAAAATTAGGCTACCGTATCATTGTTTCGCGGCTCACTTACGAATCCATAAATTAGTGATGCACATGGCGAAGCCAAAGGTCCCAACGAATATAACAACATCACATGATATCATGGACAGAAAATAAGTCTGATACTCGTACGCTCGTAGATGAAATGACGCATAAATTCGTTCGAGAAACAATGCCATTGATAGGAATGCGAACGAAAATCCACCCCAAAGAAAGATGAAGAAGAACTTGTCGAAGGGTGAGGGTAGAGAGAACAGGCGCAACTCTACATCTTAAAGTGTTAGATCGGGAAAGTATAGCAAAATAGAAAAACTTCTTAAGACAAGAATTAGTAGTTACAAACCATCTGGCGAGTTGTTAAAACTCGCTATATACTGCTCCACAAAATGATAGACGCACCCTCTTTTTACCGATTATCTTCCTTATACTAAATGATATCCAAAAATGTTCAACAGATGAAATGTGGCTAATTAACCGAGAAATCATGTCCCATAACGATTTTGGAACAAAATTTTGTCTTGACTGAAATTTTGAAATTTTTTGATTTTTAGGCTCCACAAAATGATAGACGCACTTGAATAATTTTTGATTTTTTAACAAGGAAAGTACTTCTATGGGGTATGGAGTTACAGGTCGAGTCATATATCAAAAAATTCGCAAGATTTTTCTTATTCAGAATATGTAAAAATTAGCTGCCTAATTTTGGTTTGTAAGGGTGAAAAAATCCTCAGAACTTTTCTCGCAACACCATGAAAATGTGCCTTTTTTACATTGGAAGTACTTACAAGGTGTCGTATAAATTAAATTTGATATTTTAAGGCTTGTAAAGATACCAGAGTTTATTTTAACCCAAAAACAAGCTTTAGATTTGGTAAAGCTTGGTCAAAAAGGCATTTTCGTGGTGTTTCGAGAAAAGTTCCGAGGGTTTTTTCACCGTTACAAACCAAAATTAGGCAGCTAGTTTTTGCATATTCTGAATCAGAAAAATTTTGCGAATTTTTTTGATATATGGCTTGACCTGCAACTCCATACCCCATAGAAGTACTTTCCTTGTAAAATAAATTTTGAGTCAACCCGCTCTTGTCGCACTTCCCCGTGTTCTTTGTAGTGTTAAGAAGGCTATTACATTCATATCCGCCGTACTTAATCGAGGCAATGGCCTCATGGGCCATCTGCGACCTTGTACATGAGGTAAGCATTAGTTTTTAAAAAAATGCCGGTTGGGCTGTTTTCTTGAGCGAGAAACTAGCTAATGCTATTACATTATGCGGGAGGATTTCATTAATGCAAAAAAAATCAGCTTGCTCAAAGATCTCGCGTATTTTCTTGGCATATCATCTTCAACAAGTAGCTACCGTAATACTTTACACCCCGAAATACCAAGACGAATAGACGAGAATCATAAAATTTGATATGCAAATTCGAACTCAGCATGCCTGAAAACATAATGCTTCAATCATCAGCCGTTACAAAATAAATCGGGTCTGTAAAGTTCGTTCTACAAAAAAGTTCACAAAAATAGGCCAAAATAGGCTTACTTTTACGCATTTATCTTTGAACTAACTACCTGCGGCAGATAGCACCTTTAAGCAAGCAATAAGTTGCAGTTATAGGTTTTTTAGCATGCTGAGTTTGATTTTCTAAGCAAAAAGTTGCCATGGATAGTAATTTTCTGTGCTTTTAGGGCCTTTGAAGGTTACTGTAGAAGGTATACGGTAACTTATTGGTCGATTAAAGTACGCGCGTCCCGAAGCCTAGGAATACACTTGGCCATATAAAAACTTTGTCGCGTCGGGACTATAAAACTTTGAATTACCCGCGAAAAAGAAATTTTTTCGCGGAATATTATTTTTTAGGTTGGAGCCGAAAAAAGGTGTTGATTTTGTGGTTTTTGATGTAATTTTTATGTTTTTTTCGTGAAAACGTTGTTCTTTGTCGTAAATGCGTTTTCGTTTTGTTGTCGGACTGTTTTTTAGCCCGAGTATCACCTCTGACGATTTATTTTTCTTGTAATTTGACTTTTTTTATAGTTTTGAGGTTGATTCGCTTTTCGGTCAGAATTCGAATGGATTCCTCAGCTACGAACGAGATGTTTCCAGAGACCACATCCAAGAAGCCACAGAAATAAGACTAAAGACGGCTCCATGGTATTGGGAACGAATCCGGAACAATTACTGGTAGGTGGAGAGTTTTGAATGTTTTTACTTATGTTTCTTTCGTTGAATGAGGGAAATGCTTCAGGTACCGCCTTAAAAACGGCAGGATTGAGATGGACCAGTGTGCACCCATGAGACAGCCCGTTTGTTCCTGTTGTTGGAAAGGTGTGCATCAAGGCGATTTGATTTTTGAATTAGAGTTACGACAAATGGGCGGGACAAGGAGAATGTTGCAATGACAAATAAATACATGTGGATAGTGGCCTAAACCCCCCAAGTGTTGGCCGATTTTCCACGACATGATCAGTACCAGAAGTTTTCACATTGGCTCTTGTCCCCACAATATTCGAGAGTTTGTTATACTTTTTCTTTATTGTCGTTTTCCAACAAGTAAAAATAAAGAAGTTATGTACACATCGAGAATGAATTTATCGTTCTTCAATCAGTTTCTAGGAAAGAATTCAAGCGATATCGAGGTTGGGAAGTTGATTGACGTATTCCACGCTTCCTGGCCGCCTCCATTCTCGTGTTTCTATAACCTCGAGCCGGCTGTGGGCCACCTCCTTCAAGTCGGTACTAAACAAACATTTATGAATAATTGGCTTACATGACCATGTTCAACCTCCAGTAATTGTTCCAGATTCGTTTAAAATCCCATGGAGCCGGCTTTAGTTCTTCGTTTCTGAGGATTCTGGGATTTGGGACCTCTGGAAACATCTCGTTCGTATCTCAACAATCTATTCCGATTTTCTCTCCAAAGGTATTAACCGGCCTAAAAACCTCACCATCGTGTTACCTAAAAATACAGCTGTCAGAAAGATCTTCGGGCCTAAAAAGGTACAACATCGAAACTAAAACACATTTATAACAAAAAACAACTTTTTCACGAAAAGAACGTAAAAATTACATCAAAAACCACTAAATCAACACCTGTTTTCGGCTCCAGCCTAAAAAAATAATATTCCGCGAAAAAATTTCTTTTTCGCGGGTAATTCAAAGTTTTATAGTCCCGACGCGACAAAGTTTTTATATGGCCAAGTGTAATCCTAGGCTTCGGGACGCGCGTACTTTAAATGAATTCAAACGAATCGGTGTTGATTTATTTTACAACTTGTAGTTACTACAAGTAATTTAAGATGTTTCTTGGCGAAAATAAATCGTTAATCGGGGGGTTTTTTCAAAACTAATGTTTACCTCATGTACAAGGTCGTGTAGTGGTCGACTTAGGTAATATAGATAGCGTTTATTAGAGAATAATTACAAGAGAATTACAAGAGCATTAAGAGAGTGGAAGCTTCCCCGAATGATTTCGAGGGCGGCTTATATAGTAGATTAGGTTGTTGTAGTTTGGGTTGCACACATTCCAAACTTGGTTTTTATGAACTCAGTTTCTGCTGAGTCACTTTGTGTCCTCATCCGGTTTCGCAATCCGGAAGCCATCGATCATTATTTCTCCATTGTTTGACGCACGTAATGCGCGTGGTCATTAATCTCGACCTCCTTGGGCGTGGTCCCCTTTGACCACTCCATTCGTAGTGTAGCGGCGGTTTCCACGTGCTTTCCGCACGGCTTCCATTATTTGATTATTACAATATCACGGCCAAGAGATGAACGCGTCTCTGCGTTCCGACTTTATCCGTAGGATATTCTTCAATGTTGTCTTCTGGGGTCTGGTTTGTTCTTGTTGTGTTGGTTCCAGTAATGGGGCCAAATGCTGTCGATGAAGTCATTCTTGTTCCAGCGGAGGATCAAGAATCGGCGTGTGGGGGACTCTTACGATGTCCTCTGGATTGTGTCTGCTATCGGCCGATGCGGTGTTTGTTGATTTGGGGCTAAGGTAGTACAGCCCCCCAGTCCAGTTTAGCCCCCCATGACCCAGTACAACCCCCCTCGTCCATTCTGAACCCCAAAATTTATTTCAAAGAATTAATCCAAGTTGTATGGTCCAGCACAAGCCCCCTACGTTTTAGATGAAGCCCCCTACGTTTTAGATCGAGCCCCTTACGTTTTAGATGAAGCCCCCTACGTTTTAGATCAAGCCCCCTACGTTTTAGGTCAAGCCCCCAACGTAGTAGATCAAACCCCCACTTACATTTTTTGTATTATTCTAATTTGTTCATTATGTGGGGTGTGAAACGGGCAAAACAGTGGGGGTTTGAACTACCTTTCGTGGGGGGCTGAACTACCGAAGCCCCGTTGATTTTAGTCGTGATTCCTGTTGTAGTTTCTTGACACCACGGTTGTGCTTTCACCAATCTTATTACAGTCGCAGATGGCCCATGAGGCCATTGCGTCAATTAAGTACGGCGGATATGAATGTAATAGCCTTCTTAACACTACAGAAAACACGGGGAAGTGCGACAAGAGCAGCTTGACTCAAAATTTGTTTTAAAAAATCAAAAATTATTCAAGTGCGTCTATCATTTTGTGGAGCCTAAAAATCAAAAAATTTCAAAATTTCAGTCAAGACAAAATTTTGTTCCAAAATCGTTATGGGACATGATTTCTCGGTTAATTAGCCACATTTCATCTGTTGAACATTTTTGGATATCATTTAGTATAACGAAGATAATCGGTAAAAAAAGGGTGCGTCTATCATTTTGTGGAGCAGTATAGTATCAGCAATTCAAAAAGGTTTGTTGCAGTGACAACCTTGTGACCGGATATCCGCTTGTCGGAAAAGTAATAAGGACACTGTCGTTGCGCCAATCGCGTCGCTGAGGTGAAAAGTAATTTGATTTTGCCGCGGCACAATTCGTTTCCTCGGCGGCGACGCGATTTTAGATGCGACCGTGTGCTCATTATTTTCCCGGCAGACTGATAACAGGTTATTTTGTCAAGAGCCTGTAAAATAATGTGTCAAACCCGTTGGAGATTAGATTTTTGGGATCTCTAGGGAGCTCATTTTTCGGCCAGGTAAACCTTTTTATTACGATATCCTCAGGCATTTGTTTAAAACTATTTTTACAGATTTCAGTGACAACAAAGTCTACCAGTGGATGAACCTATTTTCTTAGTTCTCTCTATGCAAATTTTTACACAATTTCATAAACGGATCTTTGGCTGAACTTCACAGTCATTCAAGGAATAATGCTCTCAAACAACGTTTTCCAACCTAATAAAGACCGTCGACCAAAGACCGCCGAGATTTCTCAATAAAACAAACGCCACGAATTTCCGATTTCCCAATCTCTCCTACCCCTGAATGGCAATTGCCAGCGACAATTCACTAAAAAATACCACACTGATTTTCAGAAAATGAAGCAAAAATCATGCTTACGCTGATAATCGGCGTCGCCGATAGCCATAACCACCGTACAAGTTACCGCAATAAACATCAAGCAGGAGGATATTGTAATCCCGGTCATCAAAATCCTCAGATTCGTGTGAAACACGTGCGATGACAATACGAGATACATAATGTAAAACGAGAACAACAAGTCGAAAATGGCGATAATACTGGTTAAAAAGTAGGTAGCATCCAGCCAGATACTCGTCTCCATTACAATTCTAGCCCATTCTAACAAACCGAAGAGTAATGAGGAAAAAAACGGAAACATAGTCAGTAAAATGTAGCAGGTGGAATGAAATCACGTTAGCGAGAAGGGGTTTTGTGTTTATCGGACCAAAAAACAAAATTATTGGAAATTAGTCAAAAGTTGGCACGGTCATTGCTATTTAGTGTTAGTGTTCATTTAAAAAAGGGTAAACTAAATTTTTGGACTATTTACATCACCTCTCAAAGCACTGTAAATAAACAAGGAAAGTGTTTGAAGTACAGCGCTCAGATTTTCTTGAAATTTTGCGTACGCGTCGAGCATGACTCACATATCAATCCCTGAAAGTACTTGATTGCGCTTTGCCGACGTGTCCGAGATATTCAACAACCTTTGCGACAAAGACATTACGCGAAAGGCGGAGTGTGGTCCGAGATAAAAACACTTTTTGGCCGTATCTTTGCCAGTTTCGCTTGGAAAAAAAATCATTTTTTTTGGTGTGCCACTTTCCGTGCCGAACTTTGCCAAAAATTTCGGTCGTTTCTGCAAAGCGCGAGCTAGGATTAACCCGTATTTTTTAGAAAAAGATCTCTAAATTTGTGTCAAGTTTCATCAAAATCTGAGCGTCGCGATTGGAGTACTTTCCCTGTAAGTCCGGGCCCAACACTCTCCAGATTTCTATCGCATAGTAATTACTGTTCTAAAAACCCATTTTCAAAAAAGATTTCGCATAATAAAAGGGTTTTCCGACATATAAAAAGTTGTGAACAATTTATGACACAGTCTGACCCTCCACGCGTAATACCTTCTATCAATTGGGTCGACAGACAGTACAATTATCTTGTAGTGATTGTAGCAAAACTGTGTTTGAAATCGAGAATTACTTCACTCTACAATTATACATGGATTAATCTGAACAAAAAATATCATAAGCGTGCTAAAAACAGCCCTACCGTACAAATGCACTTGTTAACAAGTTAAATTGACGAAAACCTCGTTCAAGTGACTTTCTAAGCACATTACGCTTGTTCAATTACACTAGCGAAGTTTATTCTCAAGAAAATAAAATTAATTCGGGAAATGGGGATTTAGCAGCAAAACCCGGCCGATGGATGGCCAGGCCTTTTAACAACGACGCGGTCTTGTTGCGTCGCTGAGTGTGACGGGGAGCAGCAGCAGTGGGATCAGCTTCGCGATGGATGCGAAGCGTGAAGATGGTGGTGTTGATGGTGTGTCGCGGACATCAGTAAAACGAAGAAGATGAATTGTGAGATGTTCTCCAACTTGTTCAGCATGGGCGGATTTAGTATCCTGGAGGGGTACGTGGGGGTGGGCAGTGTTCGCAAGAACCCTTCTCTCCGTCCTCTCCGGATGGACCGGCTGGGCCGGGAGGTCCGGGGCGACCCTCGCGTCCGGCCTTTCCTGGCTCTCCGGGGAGACCGGGTGGTCCTTGGAAGGACTGTCCGTCGGGTCCGGGTTGTCCCTTTGGTCCTTGTTCTCCGGCTGGTCCGGGAGGTCCAGCTGGTCCTTGTGGGCCGGGAACGGGGATGAGACGACCGGGCTGTCCGGGGGCTCCACGTGGTCCTTCGCGTCCTGGACGTCCGACTGGACCAGGCTGGCCTTGCATTCCTTGTTCGCCGGGAACTCCGTCCTTGGGTGGCTCTCCGGGAGATCCCTTTGGTCCGGGTGGTCCCTTGGGTCCGGGTGGTCCTTGGGGTCCAGCTGGTCCGGGTGGGCAGATGATGCAAACTTCGGTGGCTTCAGCGGGGTGGAGCTGAGCGTCCTTTCCGTCTTGTCCGTCCTTTCCGTTCTCTCCATCAGTTCCGTCCTGTCCGGCGGGTCCTTCAGGTCCAGCTGGGCCAGGAGCGCCCTGGTGGCAGGTGCAGCAGGTGGGGGCGGGCTCGGCGTTGACGGCTGGGCCTCCGTATCCACCGCTGGGGGCTCCGGATGGTCCTCCGTAGCCGCCAGATGATGGTCCGCTGCCACCGCTTGGGCCTTGTCCACCGTGACCTCCGGTTGGAGCGCCACCAGATGGGGCTCCACCGGATGAGGAACCTCCTTCATATCCGTTTCCTTCTGGCACCCACTGGCCGAAGAGCCATCCTCTCTTGACACGGTTGTAGTGTCCCTTTCCGACTTGAAGGGCGGTCATCTCCAACCACATGTCGCGAGAGCGAGCCTAGAAAATTAGCGGTAATTTGTGATAAAATCAACGTTTTTCTCGACTTTTCTTTATCATCAAAATCAGCCAAGCTTACTTTGCAGTAGTCGGTCTCGACGAGGAGGTGCGACTGGAAGGATTGAACGTAGCTGTAGAGCATGGGCAACGTAACCACGGTGGCGATAACGGCGACCGTGGAAACGGCAACTGCGGCAAAGGCGATGCGGCGCATCTGCCTATGGGCGTCTGTCTCCGTCTTGAGCGACGCCTTCGACTGATCCATGCTGACTGCTTGGGTGTCCGTGACGAACCCCTCGTCTTCTCGGGTTTATATAGGCTTCGCGGAACCCGGATGTCGCCCAATGACTTTCTTCGAGTTTCGTCAACGCCCTGATTTATCTCCATCAACGCAAAAAAAGCGCTGTGGGATTTACTCGCGGAGAAATCAAAAGGAAAACTGCTTCTTTGGTCTTTCGGTGGTTCCTCTAATAATGTTAGCGATCAAACAAATGTTACGATTTCAGAATATTGTATCGACTTAAAAAATAGAACGCTAATTCTCTGGTATTACTGATGATGTCATTTATTGCTTCAAATTTTAAATTACGCAAGGATTTAGGCAACTTGACGAGCACGTTGACGCATAGCACGAGCGCGCTTGGCAGCACGGCGACGGTATTGGCTAGCAGCAGCGGGAGCTGGTGTAACTGGTGCAGCTGGTACCTCAACAGGAGCAGCTGGGGGTGGAACGGTTCCTGGGGCACTTCCTCCTTGGTAAGCTCCGGATTGGCCTCCGGAAATTGCAGCAGATGGTGGAGCACCACCGCGAGGAGGGCAAGGACAGTAAGCGGCGTCGCCTCCTGGGACACCAGGTCCTCCTGGAGCACCTGGTTGTCCATCGCTTCCTGGTTGACCGGGCTGTCCTGGAGCTCCGGCTGGTCCTGGTGGGCCGGGTTGTGGGGCTGGTCCAGCACCTCCGTTCTCTCCTGGCTGACCTGGTGGGCCGGCTGGTCCTTGAGGTCCGGCTGGGCCTGGGATGGGGGTAGAGCGTTGACCGTCTTGACCCTTCTCTCCTGGTTGTCCTGGAGCGCCTGGCTGTCCATCGGATCCCGCGTCTCCGGCTGGGCCTTCAGTTCCTGGGTTTCCGGGCTGTCCGTCGTTTCCGGGTTGTCCTGGTTGTCCGCTTGGTCCGGCTTCTCCTGGTGGTCCGTCTGGGCCGGGTGGGCCAGCTGGTCCGGCGGGGCATGGGAAGCAGCCACCCTTTCCTCCAAAGTCACCGATTTGAGCGGCTCCAGCCAATCCGGACTTTCCGGCGTCTCCTGGGGCTCCGTCAGTTCCTGGTTGGCCGGGCTGTCCTGGTGGTCCGGGTGGGCCTGGAGGGCAGTTGTTGACGCTGCGAGCGCAGGCACCGCATCCGCCCGATCCTCCTTGGCTGGCTCCGCCACCAGTAGAAGCGGCGTCGTATTGACGTTTGGCACGACCGACGAGTTGTTGGAATGTTGGTTGGAACTGTCTTCTGGCCATGATCATCTTGCTCCAGGCGCCATCAGCGTGAGTTTTGAACTCGACCATGTCGTCCATGATCTCATCATACAACGAGTTGATGTCGTTGAAGATGTAGATGGCGGAGATGATACTGAAGAGGACCATTGAGGCCGAGATGGCCGCGGTTATTTGGACACAGAGCTTTCCCATGGCTAGAAATTGGGATTTTTAGGTGATTTAAGGTTTTTCGATTTCCTAAAAAACTGTGAAACGTCTTCTGAAGTCAAAAGAACACTTAATTTTCCCTCGAAAAAGCCTAAATTAGAAAACAAACCTTACTTTAGGATTGAACCGAAGCACTGGATGATGAGAATTGGTCATACCGGGCCTTATATACCTCACTGGGTGCCATATTGTAAACATAAAAAATAGCGACAGGTTTCTTTGTCGTCCCTTTTTTGTTACAATTTACTGCGTTTTCAGTAGTCCTCACTTTCTCGAGGCCGCTTTTTAATTTATTTTCTTTTCGCTTCAGGCGTTTTTCCGCCTCTCTCACCGCGAATTGGGTCATTTGCGCGGCGGCGAAAGTGATTTTTTTCAATTTTCGGTTTAAATTTCGATATCACTTTCAGCAAAAAAATATCAAGGAGTAAAAAATCAAGTGTAAATGTCGTAATAAGTATAAATTGCGCCGAAATTTTTATAATTTACGAGAAATATCTTGCAGGCAAATGAAAAATAGTGTAATTTCCTGGAAAATCAAATTAGATCTGCGCTATTTCGCGTATTTTACGTCAATTTATGTGTGCGGGAGGCGAGCTTAAAATAACATGACAAAAAAAGGTGAACCCCAATAATTTAATCACTTTTCATATGTATATTATTGGTTGTTATACCATTGGTTAGGTCTAAAATACCATTAGAGTCCATATTTTAATGATTTTTATCCATTAGGCAACAAATTTTACGAACAAAATTAGATTTTCATCAAGTACAATATAATAATTGTCCAATATTTTCAAACGGGGACGTAGATATGTTCAGGAATAGCAATCTCAGACTGATTCACAATCTTCTCTTCATTTGTAGCCGCATTGATCTGCTTCATGGGGCCTTCTGGCTTGATTGGGATCATTCCTTTCTTAAAAGCGCTCGTCAGAACACAACTGACGCTGGCGCCACGATGAGTGATGACCTCACGGACCATTGGGGTCTTCGGGAAGTCCGGAGCACCAACATAAACAGGGATCAGCTAAAATTTAAAAAATAAAATAGAAAATTGCTTACCTAAAACAATATAAATTTAAAGTATCCATGCTTACGTTATCCACATCAAGTTCTTTCTCGCGCTCAGTCATCTCTCTGGGCTTGAGTGGGACTCGCTTCTTCTCCGCAACAGTTTCGGATTCATCCGGAAAATCAGCGGAGTTCACTCTGATCTCAGCCTTGTACACGTTTCCTGCTTCAATTGGAAATACTCCGCGATATTTTCGACCGTCCACCTAAAATGAGCTTTATTGTAGCTTATTACATCTTTCCCTCCAATTTATTTGCTAAACGAAACAATTTGCAGTCGAAAATTTTATATTATACTTGATGATACCTAAAATCAGAAAAATAAAGAAAAAAATTCCAAACTGACCCAATAAAGGCCGTCCACCGGATCGAGTCGCTTGGAAAGGTTGTGTTGCAGCTTGAGAGCATCAAATCCCTCGTCAATGAACTTTACGTTGTTATCCAATTTCACATCGAAACGCTCGGAGCGGCGACTTTTCCCATGTTCGTCCACGTAATCGAGTAGAAACTTGACACTCTGCAAAAAGGTAAATTCATAAAAATCCAGGTAGAATACACCTTCTAGACCAAGAAGGGATAATTTTCAAGCCGTTTATCACCTAAAATCAGAAGAAAATCGCTGGAAACCTACCATTTCGAGAAAAAATCGCCGAGAAAATGAGGAAAATCAGATGAATCGATAGAAAATTGTCGAAATTTGAATGAAACAAGAACAATTGGTGCATTTGAATGTTGCAAATTTACCAAAGTGCCTCGAAATTGTGGAAGAAAAAACAAAAATCCGCAAATTCCACAAATTTTTTCGTTTTATGGATTAAAAACGTCAAATTTTATGGATTTTGACAGATCTCGTTTTCTTCCCTAAAATTCTGGGAAATTGATGCAATTGCAATTGCAATAAGCATGAATCGATGCGATAAGTGTCAGAGACGGGCTAGGATTTTGTTTCCAGTCATTTCAATCGTATTTTTTCTTTGGTTTGATGTATATGGCATTTATAATATAATTTGATGACTAATTTTCAGCTGGAATAGCTGTTGTACCATAGAAAGTCTGATTAGTGTTGTGACACACAGTCTTTGAGGCCTTGCGTAATCAAAAAATCAGAAGGCTAGCTTGTCTGGAGGATGAGTTATGGGATATCCGAATATGGCTACCTAGTCTAATATAATTTGATGGCAAATTTTTAGGTAAGAGATGGCTTGAAAGCTAAAAAATGTTGTTGGTACTCTGATATACAGTCTTAGGGATCAGGCGTTGACAGAATGACGAGGCTAGCTCTTCTGGAAGATAACTTATGGGGTCTTCAAAAATGGCTAGTACAATATAATTTGATGAATATCTTTGTTAAAAGTTTGGCTAGATTTTTGTGTCGTTAGAAAGTAGATCTGCAGGTAGATTGATCAAAAAATGAAGTCATTTTATTTTAAGGAAGATTTCATTGTTAATTTTTCTTGATGACGTTTACTATATCGTCATATAGCCTTGGTCCTTTTTCTGATGGTTCGACGACTTCTTTTTGATGAGAAAACTTTTACACAATTCACAAAAAATCAAAATCCAGCCAAAAATCAGCAGTCAATCAGATTTATTATTCCATCTTTTTCAAATCCGAACCTTCAAATTAAAAACCATCACAAGAAAGAAGAAAAACGTCCGGGCATCTTGACTTTGTAGCCAATTAACGCCGCAATCACGCTTAGAAACGACGGATGGTACGAGCTGGGCAGGGGCAGTAGGCGGCATCGGGACCGGGCTGTCCTGGGCCACCGCTGGATCCGGGGAGACCGTCGGATCCGGGTTGTCCGGGCTGTCCGTTGGGTCCGGCTGGGCCGGGTGGTCCCTGGCCTCCGGGTTGACCGGGCTGTCCGTTGGGGCCGGGCTGACCGGGCGCTCCTGGTGGTCCGTTGGGTCCCTTGGGGCCGGGGACGCTGATGGAGTGGGTGGCGTCCTGTCCTGGGTTTCCGGGTTGTCCGGGGGCTCCGGGCTGTCCGGGGGCACCGGCGTTTCCGGCAGGTCCTGGTGGGCCGGGTGGTCCTTGTCCGGGCGCAACTCCTGGGGCTCCGGGGTTTCCGCTGGGTCCGGGTGGTCCTTGGGGTCCTGGGCGTCCGGGCTGGCCTGGTGGTCCGGCGGGGCACTGGATGCAGCCTTGTTGGGCCTGCACGCAAGGGGCGGCTGGGGCTCCGGGTTGACCGGCCTGGCCGGGCTGTCCGTTGGGGCCGGGTTGACCGGGCTGTCCTGGTGGGCCGGGAGGTCCGGCGGGGCCGGGTGGGCAGGTGAGCTTGGGTGGCGTGCACTGGCACCAGGCTGGGAGGCCACCGTTGGCTTGACGTTTCTGACGGAAGATGGAGTTGAAGGGGTTCTCGCGGGGCTTGGATGGAGGGGTGACTTGGAGTTGGACCTCCATGAGCTGGGTCCAGGCTCCGTCGGTCTCGTCGCGGAACTGTTGGACGCCGATGGCCACACGCTCGTTGAGGGCGCTGATGGTGCTGTAGAGGTTGGGCACCACCACCAACACGGCGATGATGGCGGCGGCCGAGCAGGCCGAAGCGACTCCGACGACAATCTTTGCGTCGTGCATTGTACTGTTCTTGTCTTGAAGAGTAAGAAAAGAACGGCAACTGCGAATTGGGAGTGGCGGGTCTCGGCTTATATACCTGACTCAGGAACGAAGAATCTAGTGGGCGTTGGGAAGTCTTCGGAAAGCCAATAAAAGGCAGTATTGTAAAACAGTTAGAGTTGACGAAATAGCATTGTAAGCGGAGTGGAATGCGGTCAGACGAAAATGTTTACGGAACGGTTTTCTAGCCGATTAAGTTTCTGGTTGCCGGTTTGGTACGCCCGTCCCATTCAAGGTCACTTTTTTTCGCGGGTTTTGAACCGAAAGAAGTAAAACGATTGTAATGACCCGACCGGAGAAAGAACAGGCCGAAAGGAAATTGATTTTGGTTAGCATCTTAGGCGGCTTGTTGGGCTTCAAGAAATTGGTGAAAGTGTAAAACATCAAGATCGAAATTAAGGTACTTTTTATTCGCTTCAATTTTTCCTCGAATCGTCAAACGCCTAAAGAGACCATAAGAACCACATTTGACTCTCGTTTTTACGGCTTGCAAGATGAAACATTACAGATTTTTTCTCTTACAAGGAAAGTACTTCTATGGGGTGTGGAGTTACAGGTCGAGATATATATCAAAAAAATCGCAAAAATTTTCTGATTCAGAATATATAAAAATTAGCTGCCTAATTTTGGTCTGATGACATGTTTTTGTCCTCCGAAGTTTTCTCGCGACACCATGCAAGTGTCTTTTTGACCGTGTTTTTACCAATAAAAAATTTTTATTTTGTGGTAAAATAAATTCTGAGGCCTTGACAAGCCTTAAAATATCAAATTAGATTACAACTACACCTTAGAAGTAGTTCCAATGTAAAAAAATGGGTTCAAGTGTGACAAAACGAATCGAACCCGTTCCCTTCGGATTCCCAATCTAGCGCTCTAACCACTCGGCCACACCGCTCTCTTCCGAAGGAAGAGACCGAGCGCGCTTTTGTTGCCGCAGATTTTTTTCCTCGAGAAATACATTTATTGATAAAACTTGTTGATAGACCAAAATTAGGCAGCTAATTTTTATATATTCCGAATCAGAAAATTTTTGCGAATTTTTTGATATATATCTCGACCTGTAACTCCACACCCCATAGAAGTACTTTCCTTGTTAAAACAAAACAGAAAGGATTTAAAACTGCTGAAAATGTGTTTATTTTACAAGCTATTACATACTTTATTATTTTGAACTATTGCCAGCTCAGTAGTTGTTTTCGAAAAGTGCAATTTTTGTGCAAGATAGGGATCTTTTTGAGCGAGTTTGACAGAGAAAGGCCTCAAAAAATTGCCTTCTGATATCTCGACTTTATGTGGAAAGAATTTTCAGGAATTGATGTATGAAAAAATTTATGGCTTCAAAGGGTTCATTCGTTACTTATTTTCCTACCAGGACCCCCATTTAACTCTTGGTGTTTTATGTTGTAAACTAAGTAAAGTGGTTCTTTTTTATTTTCAATTACAAAATAAAAAAACACACAAATTCCAAACCGTTGGTTTGAAAACAAAACATTTCACAGACTTCTTACCGTATTTTACAAAAAAATTATTGTAGTCTTTATTAATTTTAGTCATGATTTTACAATTATATTATTATGACACAACTCATATTTGAGGCTATTTTTATTATTAATTCGTCTCATTTTTTCAAAATGAAAAAAATCTCACTATTGTTTTTTTTACAAAATTCTTGATATTTGCAAACTTCCATAAAGCCCCAAACTTGATACATGTCTTTCTGATTCCGCTATTAATCAATAAATCGATTGCTTTTCTCCTTTCCAAAAGGGTTCAACGTCTCTTTGAACCGCTAATGATGTTAGCGAACCGGGCGTTAGGTAAGCCCGGTCCTTGTGACCTTCAGGTTTATTATTGATGTTCCAAAGTTCTCGGAAGTAAATTGATGGGGAACATGAAGTAAAGGTTTTATACGAAAAATTGAAGGGACCAAAAAATTGTTTGTTACAGTAAGGTTTCGTTTTGTGGAGGTTTATTTTGGCGTAAATTGATCTTGGAAACTGTAAAAATTTTTTTATAGACAGATTTGGGTCGTATATACGGTCAGGGATTCGACTGTAGTCCCAATGTCAAAAAAGCAACACGATTTATCCTCTGTTTTCCGTATTGCTGAGCAAAATTTTTTTTTGTAAAATACGTCTTCCCCTTCAATGAAAACATCAGAAAGAGAAATTTACTGATCTCGTAACGGCAGCCAAAATTCTGTCCAGCAGCCTCTCTTGCAAGTTGCAACAAAACTTCATAATTTACAATTTGAGAGACCGCAAGAGTCCATTTTCATCACAAATGGACTTCCGTATCATGAGACCCTTCTGTACAGAATATTTTTTGGTACCTTGCGATTCGTTGTGCAGCAGTTTGGCTGTACGTACAGTGAGGGACCGGATCCAATGGCAAAAAACGTCGCATTTTGCATCCCGGAAGAGACCAAAATGTCTCCAAAGCCTTCCCTTCTCTAAGCTAAAAAACCCCTCTTTGAAGAGCCCGCCTTGAAGGAAAGAGCGCGCTTTTCAAAGCGGAGTTTTTTAGCATAGAGAAGGGAAGGGTTTGGAGTCATTTTGGTCCCTTCCAGAATGCAAAACGACACGTTTTTTGCCATTGGATCAGGTCCCTCACTGTATGTACATAAAAAGTCTATCTTAAAGATAATAAGCAAAATGTCGCTGCGCCAATCGCATCGCTGAAATGAAAAGAAATTTTATTTTTTTCGCGATACCTCATTTTCTCAGCGGTGATGCCATTTTCGCTGCGACAGGGTGCTCATTATTTTCCCGACAGACTGATACAGTGGCAGACCTGATCCAGTGGCAAGAAGCGTCCGGAAAGTATTTAAAAAAATGTGGCAAAATGCTTCCCTCCCCAACTAAAAAAACTCCGATTTCAAAAGCGCGCCCTTTTCCTCTCAAAAACAGCGGAGGCGCTTTTGAAATCGGAGTTTTTTTCACATGGAGAGGGAGGTATTTTTCCATATTTTTGATGCTTCCCGGATGCAAAATGGTACGTTTTTTGCCACTGGATCAGGTCCGCCATTGTAGATATACATACTATAACGTCTATATTGCACCTTACTTGCACCCACCCAGTGCAAATGTGGTTTTCTCCTTTCACTATTACTGTTTAATATTGTAACCCACTAAAACTGGTTTCAGTAAGGTTTTCATTTATGGTCATTCACACCGTTCATTTGTCATTCACCACTCCAAACGCTTACCCAAAGAGAATTGAAACGGTTTGGGTGTGGTGAGAACAAGAAGGAAAGGAAAAGCTAAACGGTCAGCAACGTTCCTTGGCGCCATTAAAATGAAATGAGTTATTTACAATCAAGGTCGGATTCCGTTCAAAAGTGTTGTTTACTCTCGAAGAAGATGGGCATTCAGTAATGTTTGAGACGTTAAAGATGCGAAGACGTAAACAGTAAAAGAGAAATATTACAGTAGACTCCACAGGGTCTTAAAAATTGGTCTGCGGTAAAATGGCCGAAATTATAAAGGCTGTATATGTATAACAATATCAGTCTGTCGGGAAAATAAGGTGGATTTGGAGCGCCTTGGAATCGCCTATTAGTGCTTTACAATGTGTAGACATTTGGTGTGACACTGCGACAAGATGAGACATTTTCCTGCGAAAAATCCACATTATTTTCCCGACATACTGATAAGACGATTTTGATGAAACTATGAACAAATCAAGATCAAGTTTTTTCTGTAACAACTGAAGCTTTGGACGTGGGGAAAAAAAGGAAGTGGATGAAAGACAGCTCAAGTTAAGAAAATAATTTTCTAATAACAAAAAATCAGCAAAATTCCAAGCTCTTACTATCAGTCTGTCGGGAAAATAATGAGCACCCTGAACAGGGTCCTTCCGATTTTTACTCGGCCGAAAAGTGATATTTTATTGATGGGTCATTACAATAAAAACACTGTTGAGTCGCACGTTTACGGCTTGGGAAACGAAATATCAAGCTGTCGGGAAAATAATGAGCCAATGTCGCATCGAAAATCGCATCGCGAATGAATTATGTCGCGGAAAAATCAAATTGCTTTTCACCGCAACGACACGATCGGCGCAGCGCAATTGTGCTCATTATTTTCCCGACAGACTGATATGTATAACGATAAGGTGATTTTGATGAAGCTATGGACAAATCAAGATTGAATTTTTCCTCTATCAATTGAAGCCTTGGACGTTGGCTCAGATTTCTATAAAATATAACTTGCTTATCGTTAGAAGTATGCGATATTCCTTTTTTGTAACACCCAGTCTTCATAAATCGCCGGGATTTTTTTAATAATTCGAGAAATTCGACTACTTTTTTTGCTATTTTAAACTTGTAAATTTCACTGTCCGTTACTAGAGAAATGTGTAATCTTTATAGAAAAATCAAAATTTTGCGTGCCAAAACAAAAAAATATGGCCAAAAACAGTTTTTTTTATCTGACCGACTCTCCACTTTTCGCGGGCTCTCTTGCAAGAGCTCTTGAAATGTAGACTCAGCACGCCGTATTTTACAAATTCCTCCCTCCTTTTTCCTCCGCCAACTCCAAACTTTTTTACAACTTTTTCTTATCGACTTCACTTCCGACCAGTCAGTTGTGACATCCGATTTGCGAAAAAAGAAACGATGGAGATGATTTTTATTCGCCTCTTCCGATCGCCGTGCTCTTCATGAAGTCATCTGCCGAACCTGTTTCGAAGCCCATTAAAAACGAATACTCTTGGCGACATCTTCTCCCTTTTTTGATTCCCCTCCAGGGATTTCATTCCTAATCCGCGAAGGAACTTGAAAAACGCTTTCATCAGCTCGTTATCAGCGTCCGTCGATTGACGACCGTCGCCGATTAATTCCAGTTTTATCGGCGTTTCAAGGAGTTGTCGAACAAGGTCTTGGTGGGGGTTCGTACTCAAATTTTGATTTTTTGATGGCATTTTTGGGTAAGATAGTACAATAGCGTTTACTATATGATTTTTCGGAGTTTGCACAAGACTTTTACTTTTTGGATTTTCCGACTTTTCCAGTCGATCTCACAGAGCTAATCGAACGGAACTAACTTCGTCAAATCTTACTGTTTCTCCGAAAACTTACTGCGTAACGTTTATCTTTAAAAATTACTTCGTTATAACTCATATACAAACCTCTCTATAACGACTAATTTTACGTGGTGTCCCCATGAGTCAACCGTAAGCCAAAATGGACCTCTGTACAATAAGTCCCTTCTATAACGAAAAATTTTACTTTTCCCTTACGATTTGTTATACAGAGGTTTGAGGATACTAAATGCGAAGTACTATGTAGTTTGTCGGGAAAATTATGAGCACCCAGTTGCATCGAAAACAACATCACTGCCAAGAAAATGAATTGTGTGGCGGCAAAATCAAATTGCTTCTCACTTCAGCGACGCAAGCGGCGCAGTGAGAATTTGCTCATTATTTTCCCGACATGCTGATAATCTGATTGTAATTTAATTTATAATACATATAGATATCTCACTGTCAGGCATTTCTTACCTTCTGAAATTTGATTTGAAGTTATCATGTAAGATCTGACAACAAAATTGTTATTTTTTTGTGCTGGATACCAGTGAGAGTAATTAACCTTGATATTTTCGGTAAGCGGCGCTGTGGAATTTTCCCTATTTTTCCTCGGACAAAAAGTATGTATATAAATGACTTTGTATTTGCGGCATGGCAGCAAAAACATTTCTTTCACTTCTCGTTTTCCGACCGTGAAAAGCACGATTCAAAAGTAGCCGTACTGACCCTTGTTTGATTTTTATTTTTTTGCAAATTCCTCAGAAACATTGTCTCAAAAACTTTTTTGTTTACGGCTTTTATGCCCTCGCTTTTACCTGTGATCCCTTTCGATTGAGGTCACCGGCTTGCAGGTGAAGGAGAGATCCTTATCGATAGCTGTGGTGAGGGATTCTCGGGTCGTTACCTCATTCCGCGATTTTCTGGAGATTTATCTGCCCTCAAGAATTGAAATGTTTTCCGCTTTGACAGCTCGGTCGACGGATTTTGTTGAGGTGGGGGCAGGTGATTTTTGGTGGGGAGATGATTTTTAAAGTTTACTTTACAAAGTTTTGTGACATGTTTTTTTTTAATTTTGCACTGTGCAAAAAAATTTAACTACCATTTTATCGGTCAGCTGCTTGAAACAACATTTTTTGATTAGTTTTCTGCAATAGATTGACACTTTTTGCGTCATAGCAACAAGTTCTAAGTCATCATCATTTCTAGCTTTTTCAAAAATAAAAAATGAGGTTTTTTGCACAGTGCACACAGTTTACAGGGAGAATTACATTTAATTTTGATTTTTTTGGATTTTAGTCCACGGTACTTGTCCTCAGGGCTTCTGAGATCTGTAGACTTCATTTTTAAGATAATAAAAATTTAAATATTCATGAAATTTACATATTTCTGGGTTTTTAAATTTCTTTTTCCTGCACCGTGCAATTGCTTTAAATTTCCGGAGATTCCAAAAATTTATGTTTTTGACCACTATCTATACTTTTTATAGGGTATATCAAACATGGAGAAGTGTGCCGACTATGAACGGCACCGGCTCGAACGGCATTGTGAGACCCTCAGGCGATACGCCGTAGTTGGAGTTGGAATGTCGATGGTCGCCGCATTTGTTTGCATATTGAGTGTGCCTTTCGTGTACAACTACTTGCAAGAAGTCCAATCGCTATTGCAGAATGAGGCTGACTATTGTAAAGTGAGTTTTGGAAAAGATTTTTTCACAGGGCGAAATTTTTTTGAAAAGTCCAAATTTCCAACCCCAAATTTTCAGACCAGATCCAGCGCTCTGTGGCAACAAATGGCCAAGACGCAGGACATTCGAGGCGTTCAGATAATCCATCGACACATCCGTAATGCCGGCTACGAAACGGTCCCGTTGACCCCCCGGCACGACGGTGGCTACGATCATGCCTCAGCTGGCTTGGAGAACACTCCAGCCACTCAAAAGTCCGCTCCCGAGCAGCCAGCCGCCAGTCAGTGTTGTGGATGCGCGTATGGCGAGCCTGGAGAGCCGGGAATCCCCGGAAACGATGGAGAAGATGGCCAGGACGGAGAGGCGGGACCTGAGGGTCCTCCTGGCGCCGATGCGGAACATGATCAGACTTATGAGAATGATTTCTGCTTCGAGTGTCCACCCGGACCAATTGGACCACGAGGGCCGGAGGGAGAGAAGGGAGCGCCTGGTCCAAGTGGGAGGCCCGGAACCGACGCCGCGCCTGGAGAAGCTGGCCTTCAAGGACCTCCAGGACCAAGAGGACCACCTGTAAGACCTTTTTTATAGCTATTTAATGTCTCTCGGAACTTTCTTACTGTAGTATCGGGCTTTTTTAGTATTCATTGCTATAGTATTGACCTTTTTTATATTCCACTAGTCATCAAATACCTCTTTAATAAAACCATCAAATTTTCAGGGAACCCCCGGTCTTCCAGGCCGCCGCGGTGAGCCCGGAAAGCCTGGCGAGCTCATCGAGCAACACGGTCCACCCGGAGAAGCTGGTATTCCCGGCAAACCAGGACCAAAGGGAGTTCAAGGACCACCCGGAGTGCCTGGCGCACCCGGTCAGCCAGGCCCCAAAGGTCCTCCTGGAGAGCCCGGAACGCCCGGTCCACCCGGAAAAGTTGGTGCGGAAGGTGCTCAAGGACTCAAGGGAGATAAGGGACCACCGGGCAGCTGTGATCATTGTCCACCACCGCGGACAGCGCCCGGATATTAGACATGACATCAATTTTCAACCCTTTCATTACTTTCCATTCTTCTTTTTGATTACTGGTGTTATTGACCTCAAAATTTTTGCAGACTGGACTTGATGTCCTAGACTGGCTGCAGCTTCTTTGGCTAGCGATTGTTTTTAATTTCGAGGTCCCGCGATCTTGTTGAAGTGCAATACTTATTTATTGTATATATTACTATTTATGAAGACGATTACAATATTATTAAGGAACCTTTGAAGTGTTTGATAAGTGACTGAGAGATTTTAAAGACAAATAAATTAGAATTCTAACAAGCGACAGTTTAAGGCACTAAAATAAGTTTAGCAATTTCAAAAAGTAATATGTACAACTATTGGAAGACAAGAAGAAATGATGACAAGATATGAAAAGTAAAGGTAAAAATATTATTTTAGGCTAATTAGAGGCTATTATAAATACTAAGGGGTTTGCAGAGTAATTGAAGGCGATATGTGAGAGAAATGGGCGTTTTGCACCTTATTTTAGGCAAAAATACATGTTTTTTGTCAAAATTTGATTTTTTTCAGATATTTCATGGTATTATGAAATAGCTAAAGCTTCATCACATTCTATTTTGGCTTTGTATGTCATGCTTTGTCAAATATTTCAAAAATTTCATAGATTTTTTTTGAAAAATGGCAAAAAACGGTCAGTTTTGATGACAAATCAAATTTTTTGTTAAAAAATATCAAAAATCGCTGGAATTTTTACCTTTTCAGAGTTGTTAAAGGACTAGTGCATAACGTAGAGCCTTTTAAAATTTTTTGAAACCTAAATTTTTTCAAAAAAAATGTGATTTTTCCAAAAGTCATCATTTTTCCTCATTTTTCCGCAAAAATCTCAATTTCCACCATTTTTCCAACAAGTCCACAAAGCCCAATCCCCTCAAAACACTTCATAATGACTCTAGAACGCATCGCGATTCTGCTGGAACGGCCTGATGGCGAGATCAACCGGTAATTCGAACATAAATTCGTGCAACTTCTCCAACAACGGCCGAATATCCTCACAGCCGGTCCGACAGACATACGACCAGGTCTCGTAGCAGCGGTAAATGACAAAGTCCGAGCGGAAAATGATTCGGATCCATGCGGGAAGACGTTTCGAGTTCAGGGCCGCCGAAACAAACGCCTTCCATTTGGCGTCCAATGAGCGTTTGAGCTTGTCATGGCTGGTCGCAATGTTCTCAATGGTGGCGAGAAGGACCTGGAAATGCGAGGGAGTTGTAATCGGGTAAAATACGATATGGCCATAAAATCGATGCAATTTTTAACAAGAAATTTGAAAAAAATACCAATTTTTTCACAAATTTTTGATTTTTTTGCCTAAAGTAATATAAAAAAGTCGTCGTAAAATGTCATTCAATAAAAAACAAGCCTTTTTCTTTTGCTTACCAATAACCTTGAGGCTCAAAATTTATCAAAAAATATTTTTTTTACGAAAAAATCTCAAAAAATCAAAAAAAATTTTTTTTAATCCGTAAAATTCCCCTAAAAATCCATAAAAATCCTCTTACTTGTTGAGAAGTTGCTTGTTTCCCCGCAACAGAGTCCAAATTGAACGTCTGAGTCAGCTGTCCCACCGCCGCATCTTCTCGTTCCTCAGCTTTTTTCACTTCATAATACAGCTCGATTATGTTCCACACATGAATCAGTTGCTTCCCATCGCTTATCGAGCTCTCTGAAAATGAAAAATGAGCTTTGTTTTTTCGTTGGAAAAAAAATTTTTTGAATGCACAGTGCAGATTTTTGAAATTCTTGCACTGTGCAAAATTTTTATTTTTTCGCACCGTGCAAAATATTTTTTACATCGCACAGTGCAAAAATGCTTTTTTATGCACTGTGCAGAAAATTTTTAAAATTGCACCGTGCAAAAGTTTTATTTTTCCGCACTGTGCAGCATTTTTTATATCGCACTGTGCAAAAAAATTCACGTAGCACCGTGCAAAAACACTTTTTTATGCATTGTGCAGAAAATTCTTAAGATTGCACAGTGCAAAATTTTTATTTTTCCGCACCGTGCAAAACATTTTTTATATTGCACAGTGCAAATAAAATTCACAAAGCACTGTGCAAAAAAATTTTTTACGCACTGTGCAGGAAATTCTCAAAATTGCACCGTGCAAAATTTTTATTTTTCCGCACCGTGCAAAAAATTTTTTATATTGCACTGTGCAAAAAAAATTCTCAAAGCACTGTGCAAAAATACTTTTTTTTACGTACTGTGCAGAAAATTCTCAAAATTGCACCGTGCAAAAAAATTTTTATATTGCACTGTGCAGAAATTTGAAGGATAAAAATTCAAAAAATTGCCACACTTTTATTTCGCACAATGAAAAAATGTAAATTCCCAAAAAAAATCTCAACTCACGTCTTCGCAGTTTCCCTCGACGAGACATGCACCCAAAGCCAAGGTAGTTCAACGCATTGAAAGCGCTTGCATTCTCGACAACTTTTTTCATTCCATGCTCCAGCAATGCTTTTAGGCAGGGAGCTAATTGTTTTCGGACAACTGAGACCACGGCTTCGTCGCTCAGCTCGAAGAGTTGCTAAAAAAATCCTTTATATTTTTGAATCAAAAATATTTTTTTTGCAAAAAAAGTTCTTGTAGGTAAAATACGCGGTTGAAAGATAGAGAAAATTACCTGATTTAGTTCTTCCACAGTCATGTCTTCCCGTTCTGGATGATCAAAAGTCAATAACTGTCGTTGTTTCATGACCTCGATGACTTTGTCCACGGCTAGTTCAAGTTGAGCTCGTTGGTCTCTGAAACGGAGGTCTTCAAAAAAATCAAAAATAAAATATAGTCAGTACTATGCACAAAGAATCGCAAGGTCCCAAAGAAATATTTTTTATTGAAGGTTTTGTTGTACGGAGCCCATATTTTGTCCAAAAAAAGTAAATTTTCCATGAGGACATTACATTTGGCAGGTCAAGAAAATCTCAAATTTATGTGTTATCGGAAAGCCTCAAAAAAATTTTTTTTTAATTATCCACAAACTTTTTTTAAAATATCGATTTTTTCAAAGAATAAGATGAAAATATCCCTTATAAAATTGATAACAAGTCCGAAAAAATCAAAAATTTTTTTCAAAAACGTTCTGACCGATGCACGTCAAACTGAGGAGTCCGGTGACCGGAATAGACTCTTCGTTATCGGTTTTTTACATTTCGTCTTGATTCCCAGAGAAAGAGAGAAAAAAGACACGCAAAAGCGTACTCTCTCGCCCCAAAAATTCCTCGTTTCTTCCCCGACAAAACGTTTTTTCGCGTCTTTTTTTCGCAAATTGCCAATCCATTCACCGGGCTGTTTTAGCTTATCCCAGTTTGACGTGCAAGGCCCACCTAGCTCACGGCGGAATTTTGATGAAACTTGGCACAAATTTAGAATAATTTTTTCTAAGATATATGCGAGAATCCTAGCTCGCGCTTTGCAGAAACAACCGAGATTTTTAGATCGAAACTCGGCGAAAATTTAGGACTTTTTGCCGAATTTCGGCACGAAAAGTTTCATGCCTATTTCTACCGTAAAGGATAATGTTTCTACAAAAAATCAAAATTTTCCGCACGAAACCGCCGAAGTTGTGGCCAAAAAGGCGTTTTTCTCTCTGACCGCTCTCCACGTTTAGCGTGCTCTGTCGGCGGCAAAAATAGTTCGATATCTCGGCGGCGCCTGCAAAGCGCGAGCTAAAACTTTCAGGAGTTGATATTTAGTCTATTCCCGACGTGTGTGCAAAATTTAAAGAAAATCTGTGCGTCGAACTTGGGGTACTTCCCTTGTCAATGTAATTTTTCAACTCACCCATAATGATTTCCCACCGGACTCTTCTTCAGTTCATTTCTCTCGAAATGCCTTGGATTGTACAGTCCGAACATGGACAATATCGAACTCTTCCTCGGCGCTGGCTTATAGGCGGATTCGAAGGATCTGATGGCACTCAAATCGTCCTCCGACCTCGGCTCTTGCTGAAGGAATTGGACGAATCTTTCGAGGTCTGTGATTTGAGTTTGCAATTGGTCCACTAGCTTGTCCTTTTCTTTGATTGGGTTTAGGACCTGAAATGGGGGAAATTAAAATTTTCCAAGAATGCTTTTTTAATCTGACATCCAAAGGTGCTCATTTCGAAAATGACATTCATTTTTTTGATTCTTACTGTTTTTCTTAAGTAGTACTGTAAAGTAGTAATTTTTGACTTTTTTTTGGGGTTTCTGAAGGTGCTGGTCTCGAAAATGATGTTAACTTTCCCTCTAGTACTAATTAGTACTATCTGATACTATATAGTACCAGCACCTTGGAAAACCCCTAATTCACTACTTTTGGAAAATTTTCAAAAAATTACTACTTAACAGTACTACGTAAGAAAAAAAGTAAGAATCAAAAAAATGAATGTCATTTTCGAAATGAGCACCCTCGATTATCCTAATTTCGACATTGCATCGGAGAAAAATAATACTTTTCGGTTTCCCCAATCGTCCAACTCCGAAACAATTATGGCAGCTTGACAATGTGACTGGAACGTCAAGTTGTAAACTTTGCAACCTTAATAGCCATCATATCTCATCGAAATATCGGAAAACATCGACTATTCCCGCCTTCGTATTTTACAAAAAAAAACTTCAAAAAAGCATTTTGAATTACCTTCCCCTCAAAATTTTCTTTTAAAATTCTATATTTTTCAAAAATATATCTCTTTCACTTCCAATTTTAGACTTCAAACCGTTAAATGGCCATTGATTCCCAGAGGCCCTCTCTATTCTAATCAAACAATGACTAATGTCAGACATTCGGAACCCCTTTTTGTTTGTATTTACATTAAAAATAAAATCAAAAACAATTTCTATTTTGAATATTCTAATTCGAGTCAGCAAAAAAATTGGATTTGAAAAAATTTCACTTCCGCGATGTGGCGTAGTGAAATTGCGCTTACAAGGGAAGTACTCCAAGTGCGACGCTCAGATTTTGATGAAACTTGGCATAAATTTGGAATAATGTTTTCTAAGATATATGCGAGAATCCTAGCTCGCGCTTTGCAGAAACAACCGAGATTTTTAGATCGAAAATCGGCGAAAATTTAGGAATGGTAGCGGAATTTTGGCACGAAAAGTTTCATGCCTATTTCTACCGTAAAGAATAATGTTTCTACAAAAAATCAAATTTTTCCGCACGAAACTGCCAAAGTTATGGCCAAAAAACTTTTTTTTCTCTGACCGCTCTCCACGGTTAGCGTGCTCTCTCGGCGGCAAAAATCGCTCTATATCTTGGCGGCTCCCGCAAAGCGCGAGCAAAAACTTTCAGGAATTGTTTATTTAGTTCATGCCCGACATGTGTGCAAAATTTAAAGAAAATCTGAGCGTCGCACTTGGAGTACTTCCCCTGTTAATGACATCGCGCTCATTATTTTCCTAACAGCTTGATATAAAAAATTTATTTTTTGGTCTTGCCTTTATTCTAGTCTTATTTTTACTTTCTAAACATCCAAAAAGGTGAAAAAATCTTTTTTCTTACCTGTTCAATCCCCTCATCCAACGTCTTCCTCAACGATTCCGGATCATTGTCTTCCATATCGATTTTGAGCCGTATTTTCTCCTGCAATTTGTCGAACACCATTTTCTGGCGCAACTTCAATTCCGACATTGGCATTCCTCCATGCCCAAAATCATAGGCGAACTTCTCCAGGTCCTCGGTTTGTTGTCGGAGTTTTTGAATCAAATCGAGGACATGGGCTCTTTTTTCCTTGACTTGAGGGGTCTCCCCATCAGTTTCTTGAAGCTTCTTGAGCTCTTTGGCTTGTGCTCGGACATCTGTTATGTCAATGCAACCTTGAGAGGCAAAATCGAGGAGCTCTTTGAGCATCTCCTGAAATTTTTTTTATAATTATGCAAATTTTTGGGATTGAATTAATTATGGAGAAAAATTTTCTTTTGTAAAATTTTGAGAGAGAAGTAACAAATATGGTAATATTCAAATTTTTTAAAAATATTTTTTTTAGAAAATTTGCATAATTTTAAAAAATTATGCAAATTTTTTGGATTGAAAAAATATGGAAAAAAAATCAAAAATTTCAGGCGAGATGTAGCAAATATGCTAAAAATATTCAAATTTTTTGAAAATAATTTTTTTAGAAAATTTGCATAATTTTAAAAAAAATATGCAAATTTTTGCAGCAAAATAGCAAAAAAATCTCAAAGATATTTTTCAAGAAATTATGCAAATTTTACTCCAAATTATTATTTTTTTTTTAAATATGCAAGTTTTCCAAACTCCCCTAAAATAAAAAAAACGTCTATAAACTTCCCAAACTTACATCTCGATTTTCATTCGGCGCTGCATTTATTTGTTGAAGTCGGAACTGAATGTGGGCAAAATGCGTGCTCAAAGTCAATACAGACTCTGACAATCGACTATGCTCTTCTTCAAGTTCTTTCACTTTCTCGGAACCACTGAAAGAAATGATTTTTTATTGGTCGAAAGGTAAAATACGCGCCGGACAGCTAATAAAGAAAATTTAAGCGTCCGGAAAAAAATTCTGGCCAAAATTTTTACGGCATCTTTGATTTTTTTTCTTTTTTTTTATAATTTTATACAAATATCTGAAAATGGAGGTCAATTTGTAACGCCAAAAATCTGGATATTTACTGAAAAAAGATCCAAACATTTTTTTTAATATTTAAAAAAATTTAAAAAAAAAATGTTACAAATATTTTTTTTTCAATTTTCCCCGAATTTTCTCAAAAATATTGAAAATTATCGTCGCAAATACCATAAACTCACTTCACTTGCGACGAGGAGTCCTCAATCGAGCTCGATGCCCATCGATCCACATCACAAGCCGAATCCTCATCCGATTGCAAGACACTGTTCAGAAAGTTCGAAGGGGAGATTGATTTCTCATTCGAGCAGATATTGGCTTGTGTATTCAGTCCCAGCTCCTTGAAAATGTCATCAGAGTTGGTGGTTTCCGTTGGTGTCATCATTTTTAACCTTAAAAAATTAAGCAAATGTTTAAAATACGTTGTAAAAAAATATAAAATAAATATTCACGCAGTTTGAATGATCGGATACCTATCTAATTCTTTCGCAAAGTCGCTGAAGTGATTTCGGTGTCCTCCGTTTTGCCCACGTCTTCAAGCTAGGCCATAAGATATAAATTTCTGAAAATTTTAGCTCCTGTTTTGAAAGCCATTCAACGATTTTTAATCATGGAAAATAAGGACCCAAAAAGAAAGAAATTTTTTAAACCATATTTGTTATTTTCTTACGGAAACAAAAAGCTTTTAGTGAACGTATTTTACCCCTCATATATATCAAAAACATGGGCTATTTTTTTATTTTTGAGAATCATCAAAATCTACTCAACATTTTTGACGATTTATGACCTAAAAATAAGTTTTTTTTGCGCAAAAAACTGTTTAGATGACAAAAAATCTTATTAGAAAGTTTGAAGACACTAAAAAAATAATAATTTCCAAAGTTTCAAGAAAAAAAATCCCTGCCAAAAAAGTGTTAAAAACCTCCAAAGTCCAATAATTTTCCCACCGTATTACTGTCTAGAATATCCACAGTTCTCCAGCAAAAAAGTTATAAACCAAACTCCCTCCCACGTCGTCTCCAACGGCCTCTATTCCAGGTCAACAATCAATAAATTCCCTCCAAAACCCCCGTCGCTTTCGGCCTTCAGAAGGCCTTCCCTTGGCCGTACTCTCCTCTCGGGCCGGGGCAAAAAAATGCAAGCCATAAAACCAGCCTCCGCTCTCGTTCCTTTTTCGGTGCCCTCGGGCACTATGGCATCATGCGAGCGAGGAGAGAGAGTGTGCAAAAAGAGGAGGGAAGGGAGGGAAAAAATCGGAAGCAATTACGTCATTCTGGGCTGTTTTCTGGTTTTTTCGCGAATGCATAGAAATGCCGGCCGAAGCGGGACTAATGCCGAAGGGAACGCGATAATTATGGTGGAAAGAAATGTTGTCGACAAATTTTAGAGGACTTCGAAGTAATTTAAGAATGAAAAAAAAACAAACATGAAAAAAAAGTTTTATATGAGGGATGCTTAAAATGCATCACTCAGAAATCCCAAAAATTTTGTTTACACTATGTATCAGTCTGTCTGGAAAATAATGAGCAAATTATCGCTACGCCAAGCGCGTCGCTGAAGCGAAAAGCAATTTGATTTTGTCGAGACAATTCATTTTAAGCTATGCGATTTTTGAATTTTTTGAATGCGACAGAGTGCTTATTATTTTCCCGACAAACTCATACATACAGTTTCAAAGGCCCCACGGTAAATTTTACAATTTGTGAGGGCCATAAAAAGTTAATGGAATCTGCATAAAACAAAGCCTTTTATAGCAAACAAATTTGATCATTATTTTCCCGACATACTGAAATCTACACCAACAATTTATTTTTGAAAAATTTTGGCATTTTACTTGCACAACAGCTGAGATATTTCAACGAAGTTTGCTGCTGACAAAGACTGGACTTTTTTATGCGCAAACTCTCGAAAACGTTTGAAATTTCTTTCAAAATTCCGGCTAAATATTTCCGTTGTTTTTTCAAAGCCCGAGGAAAAATTTTCCCATATTTCGTAGAAAATAATTATGTAATTCTTTGCCACATCTGATCAAAATTAAGGCCTTCCATTTCAAGAATTTCCCCTGTGAACAAAATGTCTCGCTACAGTAACCTCGAGATTTTTTAATCTCATTGAATTCGCGGGTTAAAAAAATAATATATTTTTTATAGGGCCTAAGTTTAGACTACTAGACAAACAATAATCGAGTGTAAAGTAGGTATTAATATTTTCTATGGAAAAACAAAACCAGCTGGCAAGGGATTAGTTTCGTATATAGCAAAATTTACGGAGCATGGCAAATTTATTTTTGGAAATGATAGTTGCAAACGCAATGATATTGAAGTCAAAAATTAATCAGCTTTGCAAGCAAAGACTTATTCATCCGGTGTTCGAAATGCTTTTATAGCGAGAAGATTCACAATGTTCATTGTTCATGAATAAAGAGCTCGCAAAGATTATATTTTACGTCTAGAGCCAATTTAAGCGCTAGAAGGGAGAAATAAGCCAGGTGCAATCACCAACCTGTCTACTGGGTAATTTAGCCAGAGCTTCCAATTTTATTTCAAGTATTTCTCTGCGAATAATGCACCAATTTCTATAAAATTTACATCAAATTGAAGCCGATGTACCCCATTTTTGCCCACTAAATATGACGGCCTAAAGTTCACGGCGGCTCCCGTATTGGTCGACAATAGTTCAGGTGAACACAAAATCGATCCACGCGAGGCCAAGGCCAGACGGAGACCAAAAAAAGGTGGTAGGAGGTGCTTACAAGCAGAGATTGCCACGGCTCCGGAGCCGGCTCTTGGCTCCGGCTCTGAGCGGCTCTGGCTCCGAGCCGGGAGCCAGAGCCGGAGCCGGAAATTTTGGGGTCGGCTCCGGCTCCCGAGCTGTTAAACCAAATTGCTTGAAAAACACTGCGGAGGATGTGACTTGACTGCAGAAACGTTGGCTGCATGATTTCTGGCACTAATAACGTTTATTTTTGGAAAAATATTTTTAAAAAAACATTTTGCATAGGAGCCGGGATTCGGAAGCCAGAGGCCTTTTTAAATTTTGCAGGGAGACAAGAGCCGGAGCCGGAGCTGAAAATTTGGCCTCGGCTCCGGCTCTGGGAGCTAAGAGCCGGAGCCGAAATTTTGACCGTGGCAATCTCTGATGGCCACCTTTTCTCTCTTTACCTATTGCTAACCCTAATTTTCTTATCCTGAGTTATAGTCGCATGGAGAAGGCCAAAAATTTATTCCAAAAAACAAAGATCCGTTGGTTTTATCTATGAAGGTATTATTGCAGTAATACATACAAAATACCTCAGAATAGGTGATAAACTCTCCTAGGACCTGATCAATGTATTATAATTATATGTTTATAAAAACTAAGCCTTCTCCAAGCCTTCTCCATGCATACAACGATAAATTGAGGCACCCCACAGTATCGTCAACTCGAACTGTCGTTGAACGGAAAAGTCATAGCGTCTGGCATTTTCACTCCAAATTTTGGAGAGCAAAATCGGTGAAACTCGGAACATTTTTGCAATGATTATCAATCGAGTTCGAATAATGAATCTATGCATAACAAAACCGTTCTAAAGCCACAAAATTTTAGATCTCCAAATATTCGTTGGACAGAGGTGCTCTGACTACAATAACATATAAATTATCAAAACGATGTGGTCGCAAATAAAATTTTCCTTTCAAATCCCGAATTCATCATCCCAATTCCGAACGGGCCCCGCGAAACAATGAGGCCGCACAATGGGAAAAGAGGGAATAATCGAGAAAGGGAGCGGCCAGCTGATCCATTTCCAACCCTCCTTTCTCCAACAATATCCCCATAACGGACCGCGAGGATTTGCATAATTTGATTTGGCGAAGGGAATCTGTGTAGCAGGTAATTGGAATTCAACACAATTGTACTATCGGGATCGCTACGTGGCTTGGAGAATTTGCAGAATTTGAATTGGAAGTGAACATGTTTGTAGGGCAGTCTGGGAAATGATGATTTTGAATATAAATTTGGAAGGGAATGGTAATATGGGAGATTTCCCAGAAAACAGAAACGTTGAAGTCTAAAAAAGTTAGTTTCTTACCGAAAAAAGTCCAAGCTTCGTTATGAACTGATCAAGGAATACCGAGAGAAACTGACCATTTTAGATGCGGAAAATGTTTTATGTAATTTGGGACAAAATGAGCCAAATCTCAAGACCAAGAGGAGAAAAGGCCTATGCAACACTGTTAAATCGAGAAGAGGACCTTCAATTTTTCTCTTTGAAGATAGCTTGAGCTGTTTTGCGTTCGTTCCTTAGCTGACATTGGATGGCTCACTCTTTTTTAGACTGTTACGTCAATACGAGCTTGATGGCGACCTTGTTTTTCTTTGATACAACACGACCCTTTCTTCCAACCGTCGTCAGCGCAAGTCCTTCGAGTTGCAGACAACATGATCAGAGTCTTTGAATATGACAGCCATTTGATCAAAATTGTGTCCGAGCAAACGGTTCATTCAAATGAACTGTTAACTTGTAGTCATGTACTATTTTTGATAAACATCATAAATTTTTGATGTGCGCCTCCGCGACTACGATATTGTTTTTATGTGTCGCGACACATCAAAACAACATCGAGAAAAGTTTAACGTGAACTAAGTTGCACTCTATTTGCCACCCAACGAGCTCCAGCTCTCTCAACCGGCCACAGGACTCCGTGTCAAAGGTTAACCTACAAAAATTCAATTGTGAAGCGTAGTTTTTTCTGGTGGAGAAATTTGAATGTAATTTGAAGCTACTGAGAAAGCAAAAATCACTCCAGAGGCTTTGCGAACGGTTAAGTACTTTTTTATAATAACGATTTTTCCTCAATTCCAGACATCCGTTTTATGATTTGAAAAAAACTTCCTCAACTTCTGATAACTTCCAGACCGCACATCAAGTGAGTAGCTCTCTAAAAATCCCTTGGGAGACTATTTTTTCTTTTATTCTTTATTACTGTAAGTTTTTTGTTGCATTAGTTAAAGGACCCCACCAACTACATTTGAATCGAGTTTTTACGGCTTGGAGGTGCGCCTCGCCAAAAGTTGCGAAAATCCCGCGAAAAAAATAAATACAAAAAATAATCGAGAATTTTTCTCGAAAATACAAAATTGAAGAAAGTTTGAGCTAGTTCATGTTCCAAAGTTGCTGAAAACGCTTCTTGTTCACGTGGATCCTGCCGACACTCATTCGGATGCTCTTGGGGAAAGTCTCATGTAAGTTCTTCTTGGGTTTTGCATGGTTTTTCACGTTTAGGTAGGAGTGAAGTATCTTGCACAATATTTCGGCTTTTCTTTTGAAAAACGGCTCGAACGAAATGTTGAGGAGCAAGTTTTGGACTCAAGGCTTGTGTGTATTCCATTTTCTTGCCTTGTTATTGCTGTGTTTGCCCATTTAGAGATATTTTATATTATTTTAGTCAAGTCTTTCAATTTCAGAGTTGTTCAATCGCCGAGAACGCGATGCATGAAGAAGAATTCTCTTCATTCAAATTCCTTGGCAACAAGATTCGAGTCAGGGACGTTATCTATGGGATATTCATGTAAGATAATGTGTTATTTACTTTTTTGCTAAAATTTTCGGTACGTAATTTCTCAGCCCCTATGCATTTAGTTTCAGACTGGGACTTGTCTTCGCGAATCAATGGCTCTGCGAGGGAAACGACGGGTTGTACACCAGCATATTGAACAAAAACTTCACGATTAATATGTTTTATTGATGTATTATGTAATAAAAGATATATTACAAGATTAATTATATTCATTTTGAAACATATTTAGATATAATTACAGATGCATGTCGACACGCTGGTTACTTCATCTCCATGGATCGTGTTCCAGGCGATTGAACAACTCTGAAATTGAAAGCTTGACTAAAACAACATATAAAACACCTCTAAATGGGCAAAAACAGCCCGAACAAGCAAGAACATGGACACAACACGAGCCTTGAGTCCAACACTTGCTCCTCAAGGCTGCTCATGTGCTGCTTTTTGGAAGAACCGCATAAATATTGTACATGATCCTTCACTACTACCTAAACGTGAAAAACCAAGCAAAAACCAAGAAAAACTTACATGAGACTTTCCCCAAGAGCATCCGAATGAGTGTCGGCAGGATCCACGTGAACAAGAAGCGTTTTCAGCAACTTTGGAACATGAACTAGCTCAAACTTTCTTCAATTTTGTATTTTCGAGAAAAATTCTCGATTATTTTTTGTATTTATTTTTTTCGCGGGATTTTCGCAACTTTTGGCGAGGCGCACCTCCAAGCCGTAAAAACTCGATTCAAATGTAGTTGGTGGGGTCCTTTAATCAAGTTTCACCCAAAAAAATTTTTTTCTTCCGTTCCTGCGAGTTTTTTTAAAATTTTTAACCAAATTATAAAACTTTTTTTAATTAAATTTTTTATTTTTCGATTTTTTTTCGAAATTTAAACTTTGCCGGAGGCAAAAAACTTTCGAAAAATCGAAGTGGAGGTCATAAATAAAAGTAGTTTTGATAACCATGTTGAATGTTCGTTTTTTGTCCCGAAATGTGTTCCAATAAAATCAAATTGATACTGCCTCAGGGCGGAAAGGGAAAAGTTTGAGAACGCTGGATGGAAATGCAATTTAAATCCGGTTTTTTGGCGATTTAACTGAGGAAATGGTACAAGGAAGCTTGTACAAACTGACGTTTCTTGTTTTGATAGAATCAAAAGGAAGATCCGGGTTCATGTGGGGGCTGAAATTGGATGATGTTTGTACTAGTCCGTTCGGAAAGTAGCTGGCGTGATTTTTGGCGCTTGCACTGTGCGAAAAAAGTGAGGGTGATTGTGACAGCCCAAAAAAGTCCTTTGCACTGTGCAAGAAGCCGGAAATTGCAGTGCAAAGTAAATCTTTGTTTTTTTCATAGTACATGTCGTAGAAATTACTTCAGAGACTTTGCTAACGGACCATCAGTTAGTGGGCACTTTGTCGCATCGAAAATCGCATCGCCGCCGATAAAATGAATTGTGTGGCGAAAAAAAAAATTTAACTCATGTTTTGCAAGCAATAAGGAAGCTAAAAATTTGACCTGAATTTGTTGGATGGGGCACTCTGCGAAGCGTGTGCTGTCATAACTGCCACATAAGAGTCTGAGAAAATTGTAACGAAATTTTAATCATGATTTGTCCCAAATTTTTATCAAAATTTGGTGCCTCCACCATGAGTTTTCTTTGTAAAAATCCTAACGTCACAGGTTTTTTCAGGCGTCGAGGACTTTTATGTGTCTATTTTTCATTACTAGTCCATTCGCAAACTCGCTGGAGTGATTTCGGCGACATGCACTGTGCGAAAACAAAAGTTTACTTTGTGCCTATTGTACGGTGCAAGAAGCAAATTTCTTGTTTCTTGCACCGTACAATAGGCTTTTTTTAGCCGTCGCTTGCACCCTGACTTTTCTTGCACAGTGCAAACGGCAAAAATAATTTCAGCGACTTTATGAACGGACTAGAATTTTCCGAGTTTTTCTTACTGTATTTTGCTCTCAAGTGAACTTTATGAACTCACATATCACTGCTCCTGACGTAATGATCTGTCACCTTACTATTTTTCGTGCTTTCCGATGCCACTTTGGCTATTTCCGCTATCAATAACACTCATTACTCGCTCCCTCGGGTCTCATCATCCAATTTTATTAACTTCCGCATAACGGCACGTTTTATATAAACCTGCGTTCAATTTGAGACATTCACTGAGGCGCCCGATTAATCTCGCCTGCGGGCGTTTTTATATTAAAAAGAGTTCCTTTGTTTCAAAAAATGCCGATCGGGCCTCAATTAATTTCCGTTCGAACTTTGCCATCGGGCGAGAGAAATAGAGAGCCTTTGAACCGGCTGGGGCCATTCTTTTTGACGTTAAAAATACTGTGGAAATGGGGCTGTTGATTTCCAGTTTTTGGGGGATTTTTCGGGATTGCTTTTTTGTTTGCAACAAGGATATGATATAGTGTGTATTATATAAGTCTGTCGGGAAAATAGTGAGCATTCTGTTGCATCGAAAATCGCATCGCCGCCGAGAAAATGAATTATGTCGCGGAAAAATAAATCGCTTTTACTTCAGCAACGCGATTGGTGCAGCTGCATTGTGCTCATTATTTTCCCGACAGACATATATAATTGTAGGAATAATTGATAGGAGCAAACTAAGCGTTCTTTAACTCCGTCAAAATTCAAAACGGCCGCTGAGTTAACACTGCTTTAACTTTATTTACAAACCATATTTTTCACATTTCTTCTTTTTGTTTTATTTCAATTCAGTGTGTTTATTCTGTCCTATTTTAAGTGTTCGAGAAATCTCCTTTCTAATACTTCAATTAGTACTTCAATTTAGTAAATACTTCAAGCCTTCGTTTTTATTAATCCAATTTTTTTGGAACGTTTTTATTATAATTCAATTTTTTTCCTTCTGCTTACAGGCTCAGTTCGTTTGGCCGTTGAATATCTTAGCGGCTATTTAGCACCCATAATTATTATTGCGACAGCTTGCAGCGGCTGGATATTTGATGCGCGTCTGCAATGAAGCCAAGTCTTTTGCTGTGACAGATCCACATTATTTTCCCGACAGATTGATATATATAATAAACATATCAAAAATATATCAAGAAAAATTGAGCGTCTCACCTCTATGCCTTCTCTATATTCTATGTTCTCTACTGTGCCCTTTACAGCTACAGTAACCTTAGCTTTTAAACTGTTTGTAGAATTCTGATGTGAGAATGGATTCTGAATGTTTGCTTAGCCATTTTTATATTACATAGTACGGAGTGGTCTGGTGTAACATTAAACCGAAGGAAAGTTTAAAGAGCGGAGAGTTTGGAAATGTTTATTCTTCCGGGACTGAATGTAGGACCGGTAAAAGAATGTTGGTAGTAAGAAAGTGCAAGACAGCCCTCTTTTTAACCTGAACTTGGAGTACTTTACCTGTAAATGCACGTGTTTTACACCTAATTTTATGTGGGATTCATTAAAACGACCTATTCACAAGATCTATATATTATTTTTACCATCCCATAACCTCGAAAAGAACTAAAAAATTATCGTTTTTCACATGTCTCCCATTACTCTTTTAGAGCTCAGTTTTAACGACAATTAGGTTTAAATTGGCCGGCATAAAACTAAAATTTTCTAAATTTAAGTTTTCGCTGACTTTTTCGCTTGCACTTTGAAAACTTTTTTCTATCCCAATTTCCATTTGATAGTCTTAAAGTACACACAATTCATCCATGATCATCTAACACATCTGTGTGCTTGTTGAAATGCCAAGATCTCTCTGGTTTTTATGATATCCTTGAAGCAATCAAAAGAAACTTTTGAAATTTATGGCTGGACAAAGAATCGGTCTTATCCCGGTTTATGATCCATTCTCTATGCAATATAGTCGTTCAAACTTTGTCTTTACACCGTCTGAAGAGGTTGTTAAGGTTTTTGTAGGGTGAAAAAAAATAAAATAAAAAACGCTTTCTTGTTAGGCATAGAAGTCCAGCTGCGTTGTTTACATTTTTTTGCAGGTAGAAAATCTTTTTTGCAATTTTTGTTCAGATCACCTGAAAGAGGATTGAAAATGCTATCTATTGATATGTGTTTTGTATAGTTAAACTTATCGTAACGATTTTTATGACGGTTCAAAGATGACCAACTTCGTCCCGGGAAAATGTCATAATTTGGGAAATTTTACTTACAGGGGAAGTACTCCAAGTGCGACGCTCAGTATTTGATGAAACTTGGCACAAATTTAGAGTAATTTTTTCTAAGATATATGCGAGAATCCTAGCTCGCGCTTTGCAGAAACAACCGAGATTTTTAGATCGAAAGTCGACGAAAATTTAGATGGCCAAAAAGCGTTTCTCTCTCTGACAGCTCTCCACGTTTAGCGTGCTCTCTCGGCGGCAAAGATCGTTCGATATCTCGGCGGCGCCCGCAAAGCGCGAGCTAAAACTTTCAGGAATTCATACTTAGTCCATGCCCGACGTGTGTGCAAAATTTAAAGAAAATCTGAGCGTCGCACTTGGAGTACTTCCCCTGTTAATATGAGTAAAAGCGCCGTTGTTAAAAATAACCTCAAAGCCAATTAAAACTCCCTCCAAACTTTTCTCAATTCCCCACTCTTATCTTCCCACCATCTTCAATATTACTTTCCGTACCATACTGTATCCTCTTCCCTCCACGAAGATGACAATTTCTCCGAGAAATTCGGCGAAATTCCTGTCTAAGTTTAGTGAAATTAGAAATGAAACCCTCCTGCTCATTTCTCTTGTCAAAACATTTCAAACCCTCGGGCAATTGAGGCGGCTCCGAACCAAGGATATTCATTAATTTCCTGTGCCGAGAATTTCTCGCTTATTTTTCGGGGCCAAAGTCTAGGATTTTTGGGAAAGTTTTGGGGGTTTAACATAGCTGAAGATGTGATTAAATATTTTTTATTTTGACGTGGTTCTAAATGCATGTAATATATTAAATTTTGCATAAAATTTGCTTAAAAAAATTTTTTTTTTTATTTTTTTTTTCAAAATCGGAATAATTTTGAGAAAAAATAACATATCTTTTTTTAAATTTTTTCAAAAAATTTGCATAAGTTTGCGTGAAAATTTTAAATTCAAGAAAATTTAATCTTTTTTTTGTTTTTTTTCGCGATTTTTCAACTTTTTGACGTTCGATCCCCATTGTCTTTACAGCGTGGGCATCAAACCACTTGTAAGAAGTGAAGAACGCATCCTCCCGCGCGGGGACATGAGTTCAATCACCGAGTCCACACTGGCTTCGCCCAGTTCCGTCCCGGATTCTGTTAGAGCGCAAAAGGTAAGAGCAAGTGCTGTTAAAGGGAGTAAATTTTTTGATATTTAAGGAGGTAAAGGACTATCTATTTATAAAAAAACTTTGAAATTTAAAAAATTTAATTTTTGTTCCAAATTTATCCAAAATTTCGTCAAAAATTTAGCGTCATCTCTTGCAAAAAATCCTGTTTTTGTTTGAACTTTAAAGGGTAATGCAATTTTTTGGAAAACGCACATCACCTTTACCCATTTATTTTTCAAATTTTAGCAGCCAAACACCTCTTAGTACAAGCCCTCAAAAATTCTGGCCAAAACTGTTTTTTCCGCAAATTTCCGGAAAATTTAAAAATTCGAAATTTTCAAAAACTCTATTTCCAATTATTTACCAGGTCACATAGGTGGCATTCTCTTCCCATTTTTTCGCAATTTAGCCATTAGTTGCCCCGGGAAGTTGGTTAGCGATTCTTTTGTTCGTGAAGGTTCTTTGGGTATGAATAAGATATAAATATACATAAATTGGCGGTTGTTTAGCTTTGCGGACCCATGAAAGGACTTTTTTCTTACGTTAGATGGGTTTGTGCCAGTTTTTTTTGTAATGGAATTTGAGATTTTTTTAAAATTTTGATTATTTTTCAGCATCACAGCCAATTAATGCACCGGATCGGAATGTGCGTCGATAATGTGAGTTTTCATATTTTTAATCATGTGTTTCATGGCTGCAAATTTATTTTGAAAAACAACTTTTTTAATTTTTTATTTTTTTTTTCCGCACTGTGCGAAAAAATTGAAAAAATCGCACGGTGCAAAACAAAAAATTTTAAGGTAAAAAGTTGCCCTATATAGCAGAATTAAAAATTAAAAGTGGTATATTTAGATAGTAAATTAGACATGTAGAACATATGCATAGTAATTTTGCAATTTTTTAAAATCCGCTTTACTATACAGTAAATTTTTAAAAATTTCTTGCACTGTGCAAAAAAAATTTTTTTATTGAAAAACTGGATTACAAAAAATCAAGGCGGTAAATTTAGATTGTAAATAGCACACTGACATTATTTAAGAACGATTCTGAAATTTTCAACCAGTAATTTTGACAAAAAATCATTTTTTCAAAAATCTGGTGCACTGTGCAAAAAACTTAAAATTCGATTTTTTGAAGTGTCAGAAAATATTACAAATGTACGATATCGTATTTTACAACAGCTTTTTTATAGTTTTTACAACCCTTTTTCCACTTTTGAACTAAAATTTTCGTCCGCACCGTGCAAATTTAAGCGAAAAAAAGAATATGTTTTTCCCGTTCCTCCGCCCGGTGCAATCAAACCTCTTTGTGTTGTCGGAGATTCCCACAATCCGACCGTTATTTTATTGCACAACCAAGTGTTCTCTCGATTAATCTTCCCCCCGAAACTCTCGAGTTTCAACGCAATTAGTCACTCAAATGACGTTCCCCTTCTTCAAACTCGACCTCATTAATCTCGGAAAAGCTGTGCACTTTCCCAAGTTTCAACTGTTAAATTTGAACGGGGGAGAGCGTCAAAATATTGGGGAGAGAAATTTTCGAGCAGAACGAACGTTTTTGAAACAAAATAAAAAGAATAAAGAAATCAAAAAGTATACCTTGAAGGTATCAAAAAAATGAAAAATGAAATTTTTTAGTGGTCTTGGTTACATTTCTTCAACAAAAAAATATTTTTTAGACAAAAAAATTGTAAAAAATTAAATCTGGCAAAAAAAAGTTTTTACATTTTCACATAAATTTACATGTGTAATTTGCTCACAGGGGAAGTACTCCAAGTGCGACGCTCAGATTTTGATGAAACTTGGCACAAATTTAGAATAATTTTTTCTAAGATATATGCGAGAGTCCTAGCTCGCGCTTTGCAGAAACAACCGAGATTTTTAGATCGAATGTCGGCCAAAATTTAAGACTTTTTGCCGAATTTTGGCACGAAAAGTTTCATGCCTATTTCTACCGTAAAGGATAAATTTTCCACAAAAAATTAATTTTTTCCGCACGAAACTGCCAAAGTTATGGCCAAAAAGCGTTTTTCTCTCTGACCGCTATCCACGTTTAGCGTGCTCTCTTGGCGGAATAAAACGTTCGATATCTCGGCGGCGCCCGCAAAGCGCGAGCTAAAACTTTCAGGAATTGATATTTAGTCCATATCCAACGTGCATGCAAAATTTAAAGAAAATCTGAGCGTCGCACTTGACGTACTTCCCCTGTCAGATATAGCCAAAAAATTTTTGTTCTTTTTTCCTATCAAGCAGCACAAAATTTCCACAAAGAAATTGGTTTTTTACCTCATAAAATCATCAAAAATATGGCCAGAAATAGTTTTTTCTTTGACCATCTCTCCTCATTTTCCATAGTCTCTCGGCGGTCCCGATTGTTGAATATCTCGGCTGTAACTGCAGATAGCAAACTAAAATTTTACAGACCTTCTGTATGACCTACACAGATCAAAGATTCGAAATTTCAATAAAATCAAAATATTTTTTTCGATCAAAAATTCGGTTCAAAAATTTCATTTTTTTCCAAATTTGCAACAAACAAACTCCCCATTTTTTATATTTTCAACATTTTTTCGTCTGTTCTTTAGTTCTTCCGCTTCTTTTGCTTGGAAAAAACAAATCAGACCCGGCGGAACGGAGAGGGGATGGATAACTCATGGCCGGGGCGCGGATGACCTTTTTTGTGGCCATAATCGCTCGTCAAATATTTTTTCTCGCCCGGTTTATTGTCACATAAAAGGAAAAGTTTTGGGGCCCACAAAAAATCGCGCCTTTGGGACTGCAAGAACGCCACATCATGGTGTTTTCCAGGGCCGAGTTTGGGTGGTATACAATCTTTGACTGGACAAATTTGTAAATGAAACTTTTTAAAATACGAAATAGTCTTTTTCCTGTTGTTTTGAGAGCTAAATAATTTATAAATTCAACAGTGAAATTTCGCTTGAATATTTGAAGCGGCGATTAGGACCTCCTCGGAATCCCATTAAATAAAAGTTATGGCGTTCGAGGAATTCGTGCCAAAGATAGGAAACACGCTGCAGAAAAAAGTTGCGAGGTCAAGGAATGGAGTTTTTTTTCTTTTTGAATGACAGCGTCAAAATAGGGAGTATCCAAACGAAGTAATTTTGGTAAAAAATTTAATTTACAGGGGAAGTACCCCAAGTGCGACGCTTAGATTTTCTGTAAATTTTGCACACTCGTCTGGTATGGATTAAGTATAAATTCCTGAAAGTTTTAGCTCGCGCTTTGCGGGCGCCGAGATATCGAACGATTTTTGCCGCCGAGAGAGCACGCTAAACGTGGTGAGCGGTTAGAGACAAAAGCGCTTTTTGGCCATAATTTTCGCCGACTTTTGATCTAAAAATCTCGGTTGTTTCTGCAAAGCGCAAGCTAGAATTCTCGCATATATCTTAGAAAAAATTATTAAAAATTTGTGCCAAGTTTCATCAAAATCTGAGCGTCGCACTTGTGGTACTTCCCCTGATACATTATTTTTTGCCAAGATATATACGAGATTCCTAACTCGCGTTTTGCAGAAACAACCGACATTTTTATATAAAATGTCTTCAAAAATGCGAGACTTTTTTTGCGAGAATTTTCAAAAGAGTGACAAGATATGAGAAAAACAACTCAAAAATATTGCAAGATTATATATATCAAAAAAACAAAAAAAAAGTCTAGCCTTCCTCCATAAGAAGCAGAATAGAATTTCCGGAGTTTCTTGACAACCAAAATAATCTGGCTAGGACGTTTTTTCAGAGGATGAAAATTTCAAAATCAGTAAATTAGACAAGAAATTTTAGCCGGGCATGGCTTTCCAAGCGTGGGATTGGGAATTTCAGCGTAGGTTTGCTGACAAGAGAAGATAATTTTTTTGCAGAGCAATCCTTAGTGGTGACAGTGGATGTTGAAGGCTTCAGGTAGTGTAAAAAGTACATGTCTGGCTTCCAAAAATGTTTACGGGCCAAGGAAATGTTATTTCAGTGGGATTTTTTGCGCGAATTTTGATGAGCCATAACTTTGCCTTCAGGGCCCGTAAACACCTTTAAAAACCAGGTACTTTTCACACTGTCTGAGGCCTTCAACGTCCTCTAGATCATCAGTATGGATCGATCTGCAAAAAAAGTTCCTTCCCCAGTGAGAACTTCAACTCGAGAATTTTATTATATTATATTAATACTTGCAATCTTTGTTTATTCCCAGAGATGATGAGTTATTTTTCTTGAATATTTTTTCTGTTTATTCGACGCACTTTTCTTTATAATCTGTACTTATCCTTCAAAATTGACGTCTCCCTCCCGAATCGTCCGACTTCCTCCGTCCACTTATTTATTTACCAACAATCGTCTGTGCCGCTCACATTTCCGAATTGCTTCGTTTCGCTAATCAACCGCACCAAACGTCTGCGCAAACCGTACGAAAAAAGAAAGATGAGATTATTTTAATTGTCTCGCGAGCCGGCGGAAAACAATACCATATAAGGAAGAAGGGGGAGATGGGAACGTACTTGATGGACTTAATCGTAGACCTGAGGGCATTTATTTGAGTTAAACGGAAAAAAATAATAAAAAAAGAAATTTAGTCCGAATAGAAGGAAGTTGGAAAATATTGAAAAACTGATATTGGAATTGATGGAGGGAAATTTGAGCTTTTCGAGGGAACGATTGATTCTTTTGGAAAAACTTTTTGGAAAAAATTTACAGGGGAAGTACCCCAAGTGCGACGCTCAGATTTTCTTTAAATTTTCCACACACGTCGGGTATGGACTAAATATCAATTCCTGAAAGTTTTAGCTCGCACTTTGCGGGCGCCGTCGAGGTACCGAACGATTGGAAGTTTCGTGCGGAAAAATTTGATTTTTTGGAGAAACATTATCCTTTACGGTAGAAATAGGCATGAAACTTTTCGCGCCGAAATTCGGCAAAAAGTCTTAAATTTTCGCCGACTTTCGATCTAAAAATCTCGGTTGTTTCTGAATAGCGCAAGCTAGGATTTTTGCATATATCTTCTAAATTTGTACCAAGTATCATCAAAATCTGAGCGTCGCACTTGGAGTACTTCCCCTGTTAGGAGAATTTTTACCGATTATGCTAAGCACTGTGGATTTTTGCTTTTGCGCACCGTGCAAACCTCGAAAAAGCCGATTGCACTGTGCACATGTTTGATCAAAACCGCAGCGGCGCAGTTGAGAAAAGCTTGCGTCGCAGCGATGTTTCAGATGCACAGTGCAAGACCAAAAAAAGGTCAATGCACGGTGCAAAAAATCGCGGGCTTTGTGCACAGTGCGGACCGCGGACAAATGTCCAGGCACAATTGTGAAAATGCTAATAGGCAAAGTACAGTGAGGGACGGGATCCAATGGCAAAAAACGACTTTTTTTGCATCCCGGAAGGGACCAAAATGTCTCCAAACCCTTCCCTTCTCTAAACTAAAAAACCCCGATTTGAAGAGCCCGCCTTGAAGGAAAGGGCGCGCTTTTCAAAGCGGAGTTTTTTAGCTTAGAGACGGGAAGGGTTTGGAGTCATTTTGGCCCCTTCCGGGATGCAAAAGGAGACGTTTTTTGCCATTGGATCAGGTCCCTCACTGTATCAGTCTGTCGGAAAAATAATGAGCTCTCTGTCGCATCGAAAGTCGCATCGCCGCCGAGAAAATGAATTGTGTCGCGGCAAAATCAAATTGCTCTTCACCTCCGCGAGACTATCAGTACAGCGCCATTCACTCATTATTTTCCCGACAGAATGTTATACAATTTCTGGTCATTTCGTTTCCCAAGCCGTAAACGTGCAGTTCCACAGTATTCGTACTGGCCCTTCAATAAAATGTCATTCTTTGGACGAGTAAAAATCGGAAGGACTCTATCCGCTTGTTACGTCACAAATTTTTTACGCGCCAAACATTTGACGAAAACCTCAGCATCGGACTTTGGGCCTTTCGTCTTTAAAATTCTAAATTCAAATTTTCTCTGACGAATTTGACCTTATAAAAAAACGCTCATCTACACTATGGGGATAAAGTCTGTAGCTGCGGAAGTAACCGTCGCAACGTAGTTTATATCTCTGATTTCTTTTAAAATTTTTTATTTGCCCTCCGGCCTTTGACATTCAAAAACAGGAAAGGAGAATTTTTTGGAGAATTTTTAAATATTTTTTAATTAAAAAATACGAATTTTTACGTGGAAAAGTCCAAAAATTTTTTCGAATTCACTGTGTTTCAGTACTCAATTTCGCTTACAATCTTATTTTTTCTAATCTTTTCAATTTCCGAAATCAAATTTACCGCGCTTTTTCTCGTACTCAAAATAGCGGAAACAGTTTGTAACTCGCTTAACTATGCAATGAAAAAAAGTGGATGAACCCCGTTTGAAACATCTTAAAACCCATTAGCGGCACTGGTGGGAGAACGCCTAAGGGGAGGAGACTTAAGTTATAGTCACGGTATGTGACTGGAAATGGGCTGGGATTGGGAACGGCTATTTTTTGAAATGCTTTTTGTAAGAGTTCGGAGAGATCTGAAAAGGGAAGTGTAATATATTTTACAAGGAAAGTACTTCTATGGGGTATGGAGTTACAGGTCGAGTCATACATCAAAAAAATCGCAAATTTTTTCAGATTCAGATTATGTAAAAATTAGCTGCCTAATTTTGGTTTGTAATGGTGAAAGAATCCTCTGAACTTTTCTCGCAACACCATGGAAATGCGCCTTTTTTACATTGCAACTACCAATTAAGGTGTAGTATAAATCAAATTTGATATTTTAAGGCTTGTCAAGATACCAGAGTTTACTTTTGCTCAAAAGTTTGCGAGAAAAGTTCAGAGGATTTTTTTCACCCTTACAAAACAAAATTAGGCAGCTAACTTTTACATATTCTGAATCAGAAAAATTTTGCGATTTTTTTTGATATATGACTCACCCTGTAACTCCATACCCCATTGAAGTACTTTCCTTGTTATATGTGACGGAAACAGAGTTGGATGAAAATCTGCTCAAATCTAGAGAATAATTTTTCAAGGCATGAGAAAATCATAGCTTGCGTTTTCCAGAAACCACAGAAACTTCGTTTATCGGAAGATATGAAAAAGTTGCACTTTTTTCTCTCAAAAACAAGATCATTGAATATTTGAATATCTCGGGCGCTATTAGAAAGCGCGAAGTTTTCAGAAATTGATTTATAGCGTTTTTAGAAGCAGCATGCAAAATTAGAAGTGCTTCAAGGAGCGAAAATTCTCGCCTGGGGTTATAAGGTCTTATAAAAATTCAAAATTAAACTTGCTTTTTGAAATATTGACAAGTCAAAATTATGAGCTTTGGAGCTCCTGAAGAATGCTTTTCATTGTCGCTCAAACGTTTTTTTCAATCAAATTTTTGATAGAAACGGCTTATTTTGCGCTTATAGCTCGATTAGGCATTGTGTCAATGTCTGAAAATTGAGTATAAGATTGACTTGCTGGGATTAAACAGTCAATGATGACAGCAGCGAAAGACGCGTTTTGGGAGCATCTTTGGCTATTTTCGAGAGCAAAAAATCTAGTCTTTAATTTTTTTTTGAATCGTAAACTTTGGGGAAGTCTTGACAGAAAAACTTCAAACCACCTTCCTACAGCCGTGATCGTATTTTACCATTAAAAAATTTATACAATCATGCCAAACTTCGCGAAAATTTTTGAATAATGACTAATTTAATACTGAGAACCTCGACTGTTTCTACAAAGCGCGAGCTTGGAATCTCATATACATCGCTACTTTTTTCCCTCGAAAAAGAATAATTGTTGAATATCTCGGGCGCTACTGGAATGCGCGAGCTAAAACTTTCAGTAATTGATTTATAGCGTTCTTAAAAGCAGCGTTCACAAGCCCAAGGAAATCTGAGTGCCTCAGGGATGTTCAGACCTCTTTGTAGAAGTAACAGTGCGCAAAATGCGGAGAGCCCTCGGGGAAACAACTTTCATTCCCCGTATCTCCGCAATTTTGCAGTACAGACTCTCCATTTCTGCAATGTAGAGAGGGCATACATCCAAACAACAAACTAAAGGCGTGGTTATTCTCCAGCCGACCCCTTTTTATGAAGAGAAATGTCAAAAGAATGGACACATTCTTTGAAAAGTTCATCCACATGGGATGAGAGATGAGATTTTCCGGATACTTTTATGTTGTTTTTGAGTAATTTTTTGACTTTATATATGTTGCAACTGTATATGAGTATATTTTAACTGTAATTTTAACCTTATTGTTGCGCTTTGTCGTATTTTAAAAACTCTTGAGAAACTAAAAAATATCCTTTTAGCATTCATGGTGGCCAATCGTCGGCATATTCATTTTTTCAGCCATGAAACTAACAAGGTAACTGAAACTTACTCTGATTTTTAAAATACGCATTTTATAGGATTGCTATTATATTTTTCGGGAAAGTAAGGAGAGATACTAAATTTTTTAAAAAACTTGAGCGTTCACCATTTTGAAAAATAGTAGTGAAACCTCGGTACAACGAGCAACAAAGCTTGTCTATTGCCTACAATTTCGAAGGTCCCACGGCTCAATCTTTGCGATTTTCATGGGCTATAGGACTCTAAAAGGGCTTCCATACAACAAATCCTTTTCATAACAAAAGAATTTGATATCAATTTGTCGGGAAAATAGTGAGCACTCTGTGGCATCTAAAATCGCATCACCGCCGGGAAAATGAATTGTGTTGCGGCAAAATCAAATTGCATTTCACTTCAGCGACGCGATTGACGCGGCGCACGGCATTCTGTACTTTTGGGACACAACCGATCTCCGCGACTTTTTCTATTTTTTTCGAAATGCGCTTGCTTTCTCTCTCCATATCTCGCTAGCCGTTTGAGCTAGAAGGCTAAAATTTGGCATGGCAGTAGAGTAAAAAGCCGGCTTTCAGAAAATATGAATATTGTAAGGAACCCCATCGTATAAACTTCGCAATGACCATTAAAAAAATTTCATTCTTTAAACTTCTGCAATCCGCCGCGGCGGTATTGCTCTCATTATTTTCCCGATAGACTGATAATCAAATATGATTAATTTGCTGTACAGAGGTGTCACTGTAACTAAGGGGTCATTCAAGCAAAGTGAAGAAAAAAATCTTCTTAAAAAACTCTGTAAAATTTTGCAAAACTTTTTACTGTAAGTTAGTCCTTTTTTTGTTGTTATTTTACAATCCATCAAAACACTAGATTTATCATTTTTCTGGATCGCACCGACCGGATTACCATGTTTTTCGAGGACGTTCGGATTCTCTCAGCATTTCCATTTTATCTGACCGTCCAATCTTTCGCCGGAGTGACGAGGAAGAAGTTTTTTGGGACCGGAAAAGAGGAAAAAAACAACTACAATAAATAGGAAATTACTTTCGGAGTTGTGAAAAAGGCCTTGAAACGTGAGAAATGAACGGGAACAAAGAACTAGAGTACAAAGCGGACATCAGGATATTATTTTAGATGCCTTGAGGCATCAAAAAAATTTGGAAAAAATTAAAACAAAAAAAAATTTTCTTATTTTTTTGTGATGATTTTCTTCAAATTTAACATACGTACATTGTATGTGCCATATATTAATTTCTGAAAGTTTTAGCCCAAGATTTCCATCCGCGGTGGAGATATCAGTCTGTCGGGAAAATAATAAGCTCCCTTTCGCATTAAAAACCGCATCGAATTTCACTCCTTTTTGCGGATTTTTTTACAAAAAATTATAGCGAATACCGAGGCATAAGCTCAACTTTTTGGCCAAAGAAAATTTCGCTGACCGTCTTTCGTCCGCGCTCCTGGCCTGGGGTTTTTAAAAAGGTCTTATCAGTCTGTCGGGGAAATAATGAGCACCCTGTCGCATGGAAAATCGCATCAATGCCGAGAAAATGAATTGTGTTGCGGCAAAATCAAGTTCTTTTCACTTTAGTGACGTGATCGGCGCAGCGACAGTGCTCATTATTTTTCCGACAGACTAACAAAAAAAATTACAAATTTATTATATCAGTCATATATTTTCAGAGAGAGTGCGCAAAATGAGGAGAGTCAGGCAGAGAAAAATAGTTTTTTTTTTGTTATTTGACTGTATCCATGCGAATTGGCTTGGAAAAAGTCGATTTTTTGTTGGAAAATTTTTACATTACATTTGTGATATACACGCCAATTTTCAAAATGGCAAAATCGAAAAATTTTTTTTTTTCACATTTAAGCCAAAAAATCCCACACATATATTTTTTATCCCGCATTTTCCACCAAAACTGTTCTCTGGCATATAAACAATATTTTTTACATGCCATGTTGCATACATTCAGACAGTTATTGTTTACCCAAATGGCCGAGATTTCCTCATTTTTTGGCCGTTTTATCAAAAAGATTTTTGACATTTTTTTATTTCACTTCCTGACTGACAATAAAGTTTCTTGGCGCGCAAACAGAATTCTCGGAGGAGTAGAGAGTGCGTAAATATTAGACATGCGTATCAGAAAGACCAAAGTGCAAAAATGTGGGTATAAAAAATGGTGGGAGGATCTATGAAGTTTTGAGGACAATTTTTTTTTGTTTCCGGGTTGAAATGATTTTTTAAAAAGGTTATTGAAAAGCTAAAATTTATAAAAAATTTTTTTTTTTTTTTTTTTTTTTTTTTTGAAAAATGCAATTCAAAATTTTTTTAAAAAGTTTGAAATCTCAAAAAAGATACAACTTTTTTTATAACAAAAAAAATAATTCGGAGCATTATTTTTGTTTATTTTATGGCCAAGATGAGGCCAAAAGACTAAAAAAATCAAAAAAAGTAAAAAAAAGAAAACAAAAAATCCCAAAATTAAAAAAAAACTAATAATTTTAAAAAATTTACAGCCATGACTGACCCAAAAATTAATGTAAAAGAAAACTAAAGTCATTAGTTTTTATATTTTTCCAGATCAAGCCCTACATTCTTCATTTTGTTATGGTGCTCGGCGTCACTGCCTACGTCTTCATTGGGGCCTATACAATCCGACATATTGAAGCGACAAAAACTGGATTCATAACGAAAGCCGATCGAATTTTGGAGAATGTCGGGAGAACCCGGCATCACGATCAACCGCCGCCGCAGTACGAACGAGTCACGGAGAGATTCAAGAGAAAGACGAATTGTGAGTTTGGAGGGAAAAAAATTAAAAATAAAATTTTTGAGGAGGTAATTACTACAGTCTATGAAAATTTAAAGAAAATCTGTCATTTTGGTAACCTCCTTCTTGAAACATTGTATGGACCTATAGTCGTATTTTACCATGAAAAAATAAATTTTTTTCGAAAAAATTAAAATTCTTTTTTAGTGCATCGTGCCCGAAAATGTGTTCAGATTGCGATGAAACGCTTGGCCAGTGGAGAATGCGATCCCAACAACCTTATCAGCCCTACTCACCCCGTGTTCTTGGAGCTGGATGAGTGTTACAAAAGAGATGTCCAGGAAAAAGTGAAAAGAGCCATGAATGACGCCGAAGCCGAGACTGCGACTCCAATTGGTAAGGAATGATTTTATTTGCTCTGTACTATAAAATCTGTTGATAACGAACAATTTTGGAGGCTTAAAAAAGTCAATTTTTATCTATAAAAGCCTTTGTATAACGAAGTCTTTCTACAACAAATAAAATGCTAGATCCTGTGAAATTTACTGTACATGTTTTTGACAGTAATTTCACTTACTATCTATAAAAAATCAAGTAATTTTTTACATTTTTTCAACTTTCAGTTGAGCCTTTGCAATCCAAAAATTCGACAACGACAGAATGGGAGTATTGGTCATTGAAAGACTCAATTTTATTTTGTTTCACGGTTATCACTACAATTGGTAAGTTAACTAAAGCTAGTGTCAATTAATCGTCCCATAGGTTATGGAAATGTGGCTCCGCAAACATTCAACGGCCAGTTATTTGTCATCATTTACGGGCTGATCGGAGTTCCATTTGCAATGTTGGTCATTGCGAATCTTGGCAAATTTTTGGCCGAGCTGTTGAAAGCAATCAACAAGAAGATGTATAAATGTGCGAGGTAAGTCAAAATATCAAGTATTAATGAAACTTTTTGAAAAAGAGAAAAATTTCTTTGAAATTTCTAAGTCCGGTTCTCGAAATTTCATATCAGTCCGTCGGAAAAATAGTGAGCGCTCTGTGACATCGATAAATCGCATCGCCGCCGAGAAAATGATTTATTATCAGTCTGTCGGGAAAATAACGGCGGATCGTCGAGGCAAGATGTTTCGCCTCGTCGCTATCGCGCACCAAATTCCCAGCCGCGGCTTGCAGTCGCAAAGCGATGATGGGCGATTCCGAGGCGCGACGATCCGCCGTTATTTTCCCGACAGACTGATATGCCGTTACAAAATCAATTTGCTTTTAGCTTCTGCGACGTGATCGGCGTAGCAACATTGCAAAATATGTAAAAAATATAAGAAAAAAGTCATGTTTTTTCGTGATGACATCGTGAGGTCACCTCAGGTGATACTTTTCTATCTTCTTTAAATTTGGCATACATATTTTGTATGTGCCATATACTAGGTTCTGGATGCTTTAGCCCAAAATTTACACTCGCGGCGGAGATATCAGCCTGTCGGGAAAATAATAAGTCATATGACGCATCGAAAATCGCAAGAGAAAATGAATTCTGTCGCGACAAAATCAAATTTGTTTCACTTCAGCAACTTGATCGGCACAGCGATTGTGCTCATTATTTTCATGACACATATGTAGATAATTATTTAAATCAAGAGTCATATTTTTTGAAACATCCCAAAAATCCTCATGCCTCACCGTTTTCAGAGCGTTCTTTTGCTGTCGTCGAGCCTCCAAACAAACGCTTCTTCCCAAAATCGACGAAAACGCCAATGAATGCTCTGAAGAAGTGGAAGAAACCGTTCAATCCGGCGCCATCGGGCTGTTCTTGGCCTTTATCATCTACAACATCCTCGGCTCAATCATAATCTCCTCTTATGAGCCGGAGATGGACTTTTTCAAGGCCATTTACTTCAATTTTGTGACTTTGACCACGATTGGTCTGGGTGATATCATCCCGCAAAGCGGGGAGTACCTCGCTTTCACACTGCTCTACGTTGCACTTGGGCTTGCATTGACTTCGATTGCCATCGAAATTGCGGCGGATTACTTGAAGAAACTGCATTATTTCGGACGGAAAATCGACAATGTTGCGCAGGTCACGATTTGGTTTGGCTCGCAGAAATTGACAATGAAACAGTTGGTGAGGAATCTGGGAGATCAATTCAATTTACCGGTCAACGAAATGGATGAGTTAAACTTGGAGAAGTTTGTGGATGACGCCATCAAAGTGGAGACGGGGGAAATTCCGACGCTCAGGGTGAGCAGACTTTAACAGACCTTTTCTTAAAAGCTAACAGGGGAAGTGTACATGGCAAAATTTTGAGAAAATTTTTTTAACCGAGGAGAAGCAGGAATCAAATATAGTGGCTGACAAAATTTTCTTTCCACCTCTATCTCGGGAACCGTTGGGCCTGGAACCTCCAAATTCGGCATAGAAACATTATGGGGCAATCTAACATCACACCCAAAAAATCATATCAGTTGATGCACTTTCAGTGCACTTTTTATGCAAACGGCAAAAACGTGATGACAAAATTTTCTTTCCACCGCTTGTAAATTATAAGCCAGAGGGCGCTATGGCATGATTGTGGTGTCGTTGTGATCGCGAAGAAGTCCTCTTTCGATCCGTGGCACAATTTTGCAGGACCTTTTGTTTGTTCGCCCTTGGGCGTCTGCCCATCGTTGCCTTGTCAGTTTTCTGCCAAATTCGTGGCCGAGAAGCTCGCAGAAGGCCCAAGGAGATGAAACTGACGTTAAAAAATCTGCTATTTATGTTTGCAACATTGTTTACACCGGCAGTAAAATTAGATTCAATTTAAGTGTAAAATGTGCACTTCCAGGGTTCGCGAAACCAGAAAATCGCTTATGTACAGAATGAAAAAGTCCAAATAACATGCGTTTACTAGACATATAGCGCATTTTAGGTATTATACGACAGTCTGTGTTGAAATCTACTACCTTATCTTACCCCCCTCTGGTCTATGTCGTCTTTAGTAACGCAAGTTGTTGCATTATATGACAGGGAGGAATTGGCATTACTTAAGCTTGACACATTGGAACTTTTGACTACCAGACTGCCTTAATACATTGACTTTGTCCTGCCTTTAACGTTTTTGGCACGACAAGTTGCTTGCGCGGGAAGCTTAGGGTTGCAAATTTTGCACATGGGACATGCGGAATCTTTCTTCTGCTCAAACCTAAACGCGACATCCGAGACTAAAATTGTCACTATTTTTTAAGGCTGTAGTATCGTAGAAAACATATCAGCAAAAAAAGTTACTTGAATTGCCTGCAGTGTTCCTATAATAACGTAATTTTCTGGTAACGAGAACCCTGGAAGTGCACATTTTCCTATGCAACACGCTTAAATTAAATGTAATTCTACTGCCGGAGTAAACAATGTTGCAACCATAAATACCAGATTTAATAAGGGCAGTTTCGTCTCCTTAGGCCTACTGCGAGCTTTTCTGGCCAAGAGTTTAGCTGAAAACGGACAAGGCGACGATGAACAGACGCCCAAGGGCGAACAAACGAAAACTATTGTAAAATTGTGACACGGATCAAGAGAGGACTCCTTCGCGAACACAACGATACCACAATCATGCCTTAGCGCCTTCTGGCTTATGATTTACAAGCGTTTTTCCAAAGTGGAAAGAAAATTTTGTCATCCCGTTTTTTGCCTTTTGGATAAAAAGTGCACTGAAAGTGCATCAAATGATATGATTTTTTGGTTATGGTGTTAGATTGTCCCAGGATGTTTCTATGCCGAATTTGGAGGTTCTAGGCCCAGCGGTTCCCGAGATACAAGGTGGAAAGAAATTTTTGTCAGCCACTATAGGAGTAAACGAAGTACATTTAATTTTTGGTCTTTCGAGCCAATACCCATCTATTTATACACAGGTTGAACAAAGTTATGGCAAAAAGAAATTTATATCGTACATGATGAAACGTAAGAGAAGTTTCTCTTAGATTTTCTTTAAATTTTGCACACAACTCTGTCATGGATCAAATATCAATTCCTGAAAGTTTTAGCTTGCGCTTTGCAGGGAGAGCCGAGAGATTGAACGACCTTTGCGGCCGAGAGAGTACGCAAAACGCGGAGAGCGGTCACAAAAAAGTACTTTTAGTCATATCTTTGCCAGTTTCGTGCGGAAAAAATTAATTTTTTGTGAAAACATTACCCTCTGCGGTAGAAATAGGTATGAAATTTTTGAAGCCAAAATTCGCCAAAAAAAATTTCGATTTTTTCAACTTTCGACCAAAAATCTCGGTCGTTTCAGCAACGCGTTGCCTTGGAATCGCGCATGTATCTTAGAAAAAAAGTTGTCTAAATTTGTACCAAGTTTCATCAAAATCTGAGCGACTCGAGGTACTTCCTTTGTAATATTTAGAGCCTAATTTTTCTATAGATTCCCGTGAATTCAGGTTACATTTTTCACAGAAATTTGCAAGATTTTTTACCATGCCTAATCCTAATCTCAATTTTTCAGAATCCCAATGCGATACGTCCCATTTTCATCACCGATTTCAAGAACCCCTTCAAACAAGGCCGTGTCCTCTATGTGGACGAAGATGACCGCTCCTCCTCTGGCATTTACACCGCTGATGTGAACTCGCTGAGTCGCCATCAGAACGCCGACGACGATCCTCATTACCAGTATCAGCCGTTAGTTTAAAATGCCGATATCAACGAATGTTTGTACATAGTCACTGTCATATTTGAGATGAATAAAATTTCTTACATTTGAAGTGTTTCGTTTTCAGGGGTTATGCATTGAAAAATTTTTATAATTTCATGTAGCGACGGACCTGATCCAGTGTCAAAAAACGTATCATTTTGCATCCGGAAAGTATCAAAAAACGTCGCAAAATACCACCCTTTCAAACTAAAAAAACTTGGTTTTGAAGGGCCCTAACAAAAAGAGCGGGCGGGCTTTTGAAATCAAAGTTTTTTCACTTGGAGGGGGAGGTATTTTGCTAAATTTTTGATACTTCCCGGATACAAAATGGTGCGTTTTTGCCATTGGTCCGTCACTGTAGCTTGGCCAACTTGCTAATAACCCGAGGTTAGAGCTATAGAATAAAGGGAAAGTAAGGAGAGAGAAAAAAAGGGGAAAACGGGGAAATAGCTGAAGATAGCCGCGCCGCGTAATGAGCGTAACAAATTGAGCTTCAAACTGTAAAAAAAAGGTTTTACTTTCCATAGTCGTCTTTCTATAGTGGGTTAGTCTTGTTAGCTTGGCGGATGTTTCGCTCATTGGCTGATGCACTGCGGAAATTTTTTCTCCGGCGGAGGCCGTTTTGAGTTCTTGGCTTTCGTGAATCGGACTGCAGGGCATTCCGCATAACAACAGAAACAAAAAACCACTGAATTAGTCTTTTCAATGCTGTTATACTTGTTAAATTTATTTCTAATAAATAATAACGATTCAAAAACCTTGAAAACCAAGTTAATCTTAAGTTAGGTTCAATTGGCACTTCAACAATCCCCTATTCACATTTCCCATTACAATCCGATTGTCGGGTATTCTCATGGCCGTGACCACTCCTCGTATTGTGGCGCCGTCATTGCAGTAAAACTGAGTGAATTGCCAGGTCTTGTTCTTCCGTTGCTTTACTCGGATCACATTGCTCGGAGAGAGAAATTCTTCGGGATAAGCTTGAAAGGCGAGAAATCGAAGTTTCAGCGGATGAGTTGAGACTGTCAGCGCGCTTTGACGCAGCTCCATGGCGATGGAGAATGGCGCGGAGAGCAGATTGATCGTCTGTAAAAGGATTTTATTTTTGCTCCAAATAAGAATAAGGCTTTTTATGGATCGATATAAAGATGGTCACATACAATGGTGGACCTGATCCAGTGGCGGAGAACGTACCATTTTGCATCCGGGAAGTGACGGAAATGTAGCAAAATATACAATTCTCCCCAAGAGAAAAGGCTCCAATTTCAAAATCTTTTTGCAAATGATAGGGCGTACCCTTCAAAACGGAATTTTTTTATTTGGAAAGGGAAGTATTTTGCTGCATTTTTGATACTTTCAGGATGCAAAATAGTACGTTTTTTGCCACTGGATCAGGTCCACCAACGCGAGATTTCCGAGGATAAAGTTCAGCTTCATGTAAATAACAAAGCACTTTTATAGAAGTCGCGACACTTGCGAGCAACCACCTTGCGGGACGTCGTCATTGTAAGTCCTCGACTTTTATTTTTGCTGTTTGTCGAAATTCAGTAAAAAAATGTCGGCGCTGGATTTTACACTTCGTTGCCAAAAAAGCTCAAAAATTTGGGAAAAACCCGCTGCAGACTGTGTAAAATCGCCGCAGGACGAAAATTAAAGTGTCTACTGATTTTTCAAAATCAATTTCAACCCATTTTTGCAACTAACAGCAAAAATAAAAGCCGAGAACTTCTGTGGCCACCTTTATATGTGTTCATTTTAATTTTATTTCCCTTACCTCAAGATGACGCGGCGTTTTGAAGTCGTTGATATCGTAGATTTGAATGGCATTCCCTCCAAATTCAGCGACATAGAGCTTGCTGAAAAAACATGATTACAAATGTCATCATAGCAAAAAGAACCAAATTTTTTTTGCCAACTTACTTTCCATCCCTCGCCATTCCAGCTGGCTGTTTTAATTTCTTTATTGCAGGATGAATCAACCTTCCATCAAAGTAATAGACAGCCCCAGATTTGAAGTGGCCTCCAAATTCGATCCATTGCATATAAGGGTTACGATAGATGTACTGGTTGGATGCGTAGAACTCGGTGGAGCTTAGGCCGACCACATTCACTAAGCTAAAAGAAAGGGGAGATTATTGAAACTGATAACCTTTTAGCGTTAATGAGAGTCCTGAAGACGGACTCCGTCGGTAAAAAAAGTCTCCGCTGGGCCTTCGCCGATGTTTGAAACATCCGAAAATCTAGCGAAACTTAAAAGTCAAATCCTACCAAATGGAACAAGCCTAATTTCATCTGTAGGTGAGCTTTCTGGGCTTTGTAACGAGACGTAATTTCCAAAAAAGACGTCAAATGTCTCCGCCGAAAGTTGGTCTCTCCGCCGATGCAAGAAAAAATTCTTTTTCATATTCTCAAATCGCCCGTCGTCGAATTTTAAAATCAATTTAAACTTCTTGGATAGCTGCAAAGACCACAAAGATATTCACAAAAAGTTTCAGTCGTATTTCTTGAAACACCCTGTAAATCAAGCTTTACAGTTGTTTTCATAACTAGATTATTACAAATTTCTGTTAACAGAACAGCTTAACAAAGTTTAAACATTAAGATCTCCCCTATCTCACCTCGTAAAATGCTTTGACGCCACTGGTTTCCGTTTCCTCCGCAACCTCCCATCTTTTATCTCCAAGACTTCCACAGAATCCGTTTCCACTCTCCCTCGCCGACTGTTGATTACAAATACCGTCGAAGCAAACACCGATATTCCATATGGATTGAAGGTTGGAGGGGTTTTTCCGGAAAACGACAATTCATTTGCCATTCCATCATTAACCCGCCAAACTGAGAGCGCTCCGGCTGTAGCGTTCGAAGCGTTATTGAGATCTGATCCTGAAGTTTTTTATTATGAAGTCTCTTCATAGGAATTTATTTTGAAACACAATTATGAAAGCTCTATTAACAAAGGAAGTACCCTGAGTTTCTAATTTTGAACTCATATGCCTCATATCAACTCCTGAAAGTTTGAGCTTGCGCTTTGCAGGCGCAGCCGAGATATTGAACGATTTTTACGGCCGACAGAATACGCAAACGGCGGAACGCGGTGAGGAACGAAATCTCGGTGGTTTCTGCAAAGCGCGAGCCAGGAATCACGCATATATCATATAAAAATTATCTTACAAGTACTTTTATGGGGGCTCCTACTTTTTGACGGGACATATCTCAAAAAATCAGAAAAAATGTGCTGATCAAAGATATATAAATCTTAGCTGCCCATTTTAGGTTTTTATGGGTGAAAATGCCCAAAAACTAGCTTAATTTCCCTACAAAAGGCGCAGGCATTCGAAACGATAAAAAGCGCAGTCGGTCTCTTCCTTCGGAAGAGAGCGGTGTGGCCGAGTGGCTAGTGCCGTAGTCTAGGAATCAAGAGGGGGAATGCCGCACGGGTTCGACATCACTTTTGGGCCGAATCAACTTTTTTTGAAGATGAAGGTCGGAAAAAAAAATTTTTGTGCCAAGACTGATTTATTACGTTTTAGAAACTCAACAAACATCATTTTAAGCCAAAATAAAAATTGTAAACCTGTGAAAAATTAGGCGAAAAGGGGTTCATAAAGGACTTTAAGTCAACTTCCAACTGAGTTTTCACCCCTAAAAACCTAAAATGGGCAGCTAACATTTATATATCCCTGATCAGCACATTTTTTCTGATTTTTTGAGATATGTCCCGTCAAAAAGTAGGAGCCCCCATAAAAGTACTTTCCTTGTTAAATTTGTACCGGCTTTCATCAAAATCTGAGCGTCGTACTTGTAGTATGCTATATCCTATAGTGAAATGCTTGTACAAGGAATTTCTCTATAACAAAAACTCTCTGTAAAAAACAATTTCAGCGGCCCCAAGTCTCAATTTTATAAAAAAGTGAACTTCATAAAATAAAGCATTTCTATAACGAATGAATTTATTGGTCTGTTGCGATTCGCTGCATAGGGACTTGACCGTATATTTAACGTTTTTTCTATCGCTCAAAAGTTGCTTACCTGTGGAAATAATGACCGTTTCATTATTCAGCCATGCCAGGTCCACCGCGCCTTTTTCCAAGCCCCCCACGAAGCTGCATTCACCCGGAACATGATTGTAAACCCGTTTGTCCATGTCGAGAAATCGTCTGTAACAATAAAAAATATTTTTTTTTGAGATCTCTACGAAAATCAGAATTGTCCGTATTTTAAAAACCAAACTTACAAATAATGCTGAAAAAGGTATAAAAATAGGGAAGCCAGAGGTACGGAGATGACATAACTGTGGTTAAAAATGCTCGTCCAGGATTTTCTCTCATGTTTTGGGAGATTCGGATGGAATCGGACCTGTTTGTGCTCCAGTTTTGGCGATTTTTGAGGTCGAACCGTGGTTAAGGGACGAGTTGTCGACCTGGTCATTGTTTTCACGTCTCTAAAATTAGCATAGCTCATTTTTATAAGAAAAATTAATTTTTAAAAGGTCAAAATAAATGCTCAGTTTTTTCTAGTCGGTCGATGAAAAAAAATTTTCTGTGGGTACCCCAAAATTAACAGGGGAAGTACTCCAAGTGCGACGCTCAGATTTTGATGAAACTTGGCACAAATTTAGAACAACTTTTTCTATGATATATGCGAGGATCCTAGCTCGCGCTTTGCAGAAACAACCGAGATTTTTAGAACAAAAGTCGGCCAAAATTTAGGACTTTTTGTCGAATTTCGGCACGAAAAGTTTCATGCCTATACTGCCCGACAATTAAAAGTGAAGTCTCGATTCTGAGCCCGATATTGCCCTGAGGCACAAGATGTTCCCCCAGGCTTCTTCGGTACCCTACGCCGATACAGAGTGCCAATTTTCATACATGTGCACTTAAAACGCACTGTGCAACGGGCGATTGAAAAATTTTTGGGCGACAATTAAAAGTGAAGTTTTTAATTTTTGGACTTACCTGACCTTTTGAGGGATCTGTTGGGACGGAAACCGTGCAGAGACATAGTCAAGGTTACAATGAAGAGCCCTAGACACAATTTACGAAAATTGTCCGAATTTTATGGTACCATTTCCCGGCATCAAGACGCGGGGTTTAGGTGCCACAAAACGGGGCCTGTAGGCACTATTTGTTGTAAGACTGGTAATTTTATGATGCTGAGTGCATCTTGTGACATTGTTCGTCCAAACAATGCTGCGAGTATGTCAAGTTTTGGTGCGCTTCAAAGCGTTCTTGTTGATATGGATAACGGCTAGGTGCCTATTTTGACTTATACCGTAGCAGGAACCAGTACCCCTCTCGGTTTGATAGTAGGATCGGGGTGGATAGACATCCTTCTTTCCTATAAACCTTTACTTTTTATGTTATCGCTCCTTTTAGAGACAACAATAGCGGGTATCACAACGGTTTCCTAAAGTTGCTGAAATTTACCGTCCATAACCGAAGTGTAACGCCATGGTTTGGGTTTTAATGGCCCAAAACCCCTTCACATGATTTTTCTGGATATAAATTAGTCAAAAACAACATCATTAATTTCAATTTCGCTGCATCGAGTTATGCGAAAAATGCGTATATACCAAGTTAAGTAAAGTGTATCGTAAAACGGGGTATGTACGCACCTCCAAGTAAACAACGCTGCTTTTAGCTGCTAAGAGGGTAATCGAAAAGTACAAGACAAAATTTGCGCTGATTTTGCATCTCATCTTTCGAAATTGCATCGATATTCTCCTTGACTAGTACCGTTGTCGATAAGCACGCTTTGAAGCGGGCCAAAATTTGACAAACTCGCAGCATTATTTGTTTAAAGATAGTCAGCAAATGCACTCAGCATCATAAAATTACCAGTCTTACAACAAATAGTGCCTAAAGGCCCTGTTTTGTGGCACCTAAACCCCGCGTCTTGATGCCGGGAAATGGTACCATAAAATTCGGAACAATTTTCGTAAATTGTGTCTAGGGCTCTTCACTGTAACCTTGACTATGTCTCTGCACGGTTTCCGTCCCAACAGATCTCTCAAAAGGTCAGGTAAGTCCAAAAATTAAAAACTTCACTTTTAATTGTCGCCCAAAAATTTTTCAATCGCCCGTTGCACAGTGCGTTTTAAGTGCACATGTATGAAAATTGGCACTCTGTATCGGCGTAGGGTACCGAAGAGGCCTGGGGGAATACCTTGTGCCTCAGGGCAATATCGGGCTCAGAATCGAGACTTCACTTTTAATTGTCGGGCAGTATATTTCTACCGTAGAGAGTAATATTTCCACAAAAAATCAAATTTTTCCGCACGAAACTGTCAAAGTTATGGCCAAAAGCGTTTTTCTCTCTGACCGCTCTACACGTTTAGCGTGCTCTCTCGGCGGCAAAAATCTTTCGATATCTCGGCGGCGCCCGCAAAGCGCGAGCTAAAACTTTCAGGAATTGATATTTGTCCATACTCAACGTGTGTGCAAAATTTCAAGAAAATCTGAGCGTCGCACTTGGAGTACTTCCCCTGCAAAATTCTTTCGATTTTCTTGAAATTTGGGATAGATGGTCTACATTAAAGGCAAATGAATGTCTCAAAATCTTAATTCGCTCTTTGCTCGCGTTGCCGAGATACACTCCATTTCAAAATGATAGACACGCCTATAAAATTTTCGATTGCGGTGTCGGGGTTCAGTTGACGGATACGAAACCTTAACAGGTTGAGAGAGGAGGTTTGAAAACCTACACCTACAAATAAATTTTCTCATTGCACTGTAATTGCACTTTACACAAAAGATTTTCCGAATTTTGGGTGTTTCAAAATGATAGACACGGTTGCTATTTTTGCTAAAAACTTGGGAATATGGGCCCCATAGGGCCTGAAATTCTTAGTATGACTGTATTGCAACGGTCTGGACTTTACTGAGCTCAAAAAGCCCAAATTTTTATGCAATTGTCCCGGAATTGCACATATACCTCCATTTTGTGCAATCTGGCCTGCATCTGTCAGAAGTCCACTTTCCATGGGCACAGACAGTGCAGATGCGACCTATGGTATGTAGTGGAGTAGATCCAGTCAGTTTTCCCCAGTATGCGACAAAAAAATGCGTGGCATTTGCAACAAAAACTGCTTCCGCTGCGACATAGTCAGCTTTGAAGGCTACCCTACGTTTCGAAACAAGGTAGATGCGAAGAAAAACTTCTAGGCTGGAATGTTTAGGTTTTTGTAAATACGTTTAGCACGGTAGCATCTGCAGCATTGCTTCAGCAGGTCCGCAGTGCACCATTCTTTTGTGAATCTGTGCAAAGTAGGCTTAAAAATGGGTCAAAAAGGGCTTTTTGGAAACTTGACGTTTTCTGGCGTTGGCCCGACTGAACCTGGACATATAGATTATGTAATAACGTTTGTATGTGGTTTTTCAAGATAGTTCAGAGCTTTTTTGGTTGTGCAAACCACAGGCACCTGCTTGAGAAGCTTTAGAAGTGACGACTTTCGCTGCGGAATCAGTTTTCGTTGCAATTTCCACGCATTTTTGTGTTGCATACTGGTGAAAACTGACTGGATCTACTCCATTACATACCATTGGTCGCATCTGCACTGTCTGTGCCCACGGAAAGTGGACTTCTGACAGATGCAGGCCAGATTGCACCAAATGGAGGTATATGTGCAATTCCGGGACAATTGCATAAAAATTTGGGCTTTTTGAGCTCAGTAAAGTCCAGACCGTTGCAATACAGTCATACTAAGAATTTCAGGCACTATGGGGCCCATATTCCCAAGTTTTTAGCAAAAATAGCAACCGTGTCTATCATTTTGAAACACCCAAAATTCGGAAAATCTTTTGTGTAAAGTGCAATTACAGTGCAATGAGAAAATTTATTTGTAGGTGTAGGTTTTCAAACCTCCTCTCTCAACCTGTTAAGGTTTCGTATCCGTCAACTGAACCCCGACACCGCAATTGAAAATTTTATAGGCGTGTCTATCATTTTGAAATGGAGTGTATTACCCTGACTAGAGACGGCCTTTTCTAGAGAGAGAGCACGTAAAATGAGGAGAGCTGGTCAGACAAAAAAAATTCTACTTTTTTGGCTACAGAGCCTCTTGGAGCTTACAACGTTATTAATTTCTAGGAAATTTTTTAATTTTCTAACAAAATTTTTCTACGAAAAATGCGAAAAAATTTTAAAAAATCTTTTCATCCATTATCTCTCGGCCTAAATTGTCCTCTTCCTTGGCTCTATTGTCCTTCAGAGTTTTCCCAATGCCACAAAAATCCTTTTTCTTCCCAAAAAATAATTGCTTTACTCTTTTTTCTCCCCAAAAAACCCAAGATACTCAGAAAAAATCTCACACTTCTTACCGTTTTCTCAAAGTCTCGCCTTTTTGAATAGCCATTTTTTCCCCGGCAAAAACGTGGGGATAGAGCCGTCCAGAATCGGCCGTCGAAATGCGGCGATCCAAGTTCTACCAACGCGTTTCAGAAGCCCATTTCCAATGGCGACCCGAAAGGTTTGGAAACGGCCGGGGGGAACATTTTTTGGGGGCCGCCAAACGACGAATGACTTTTTTTGGGGGGTCTTTGCCACGAGGACGTTTTTTTTGGCGGCCCGACATTTATCGTTGTTATGTATTCCGCTCGGAATGGTCATTCCGAGGACGTATGCAAATTTGATTGCCTCCGGCTCAAGAAAGAAAGAGCAATTAAGTGGAGGGTTAAAAAGGGAGCTGGAGCTGTTGGGGTCGTTTTTAGTGGATTATGATAAAAAATCTTTACAGGGGAATGACTCCAATTGCGACGCTCAGATTTTGATGAAACTAGGAACATATTTAGAATATTTTTTTCTAAGATATATGCGAGACTTCTAGCTCGCGATTTTCAGAAACGACCAAGTTTTTAAATCAAAAATTCGAAAAATTAGACATTTTTTTTGCAAATTTTGGCATGAAAATTTTCATATCTATTTCTACTGTAGAGTGTAATGTCTCCACGAAAAATAAATTTTTTCCATGCGAGACAGGCAAAGATATGGCCAAAAATGTTTTTTCTCTGACCGAACTCCGCGTTTTGCCTACTCTCTCGGCCACAAAGATCGTTGAATATCTCGGCTGCGCCTGCAAGGGGCAAGCTAAAACTTTCAGGAATTGACATGTGACCCATGCCCAATATGTGTTCAAAATTTAAAGAAAATCTGAGCGTCGTACTTGGAGTACCTTCCTTATAAGATAGAAAATTTTTTGATTAGAATAATTTTTTAGGACACCATTTCCAAGAGAAAAAAATTATGTCCTATGTGCCAATGAGCAAAAAAATGTCAAAAAAAAACAAGAATTCACATCAAATTTTATTTCTTCACTTCAAAAAACATGATTTTAGGCTTTCATCCTTCAATTGGTGATCTGGAAATCTTCGGCGGTGAGAACTTTGACCGGCTCTCCAACTACAGCCAAGCGAGCATGGCTAATGTCGGCCTCAAATCATTTTACACCCATTACTAACCAGAAAATATCAAAAAAATATCTTATATTACACCTCTATCAAGTGTAATATAAATTTTCCAAAAATTTCCTACCGTTTCATCATCATCTCCGATGGTCTTGCAATAGGGGAAACGGTAGAGCTGATGGCCATGATGTTCGATGACATTGATAGAATGGAGAAGCCATGTGGCGCCAGGCTTCTTTCTTTGATGCCAAACATCCACATACTTCAGATTCGAGAGTTGATTTTGATCTACCAGAAGGAAAAGGTCACTCTGAAAACAAAATTTATGTAATTTTTGTGACTATTTAACTTACAGGGAAAGTACTCCAAGTGCGACGCTCAGATTTTCTTTAAATTTTGCACACACATCGGGTAGGGACTAAATATCAATTCCTGAAAGTTTTAGCTCGCGCTTTGCGGGCGCCGCCGAGATATCGAACGATTTTTGCTGCCGAGAAAGCACGCTAAGCGTGGAGAGCGGTCAGAAAAGCGTTTTTTGGCCATAACTTTGGCAGTTTCGTGCGGAAAAATTTGATTTTTTGTAGAAACATTATTCTTTACGGTTGAAGTAGGCATGAAACTTTTCATGCCAAAATTCGGCAAAAAGTCCTAAATTTTCGCCGACTTTCGATCTAAAAATCTCGGTTGTTTCTGCAAAGCGCGAGCTAGGATTCTCGCATATATCTTAGAACAAATTATTCTAAATTTGTGCCAAGTGTCATCAAAATCTGAGCGTCGCACTTGTAGTACTTCCCTGTTAGTAAAAGAAGTGAAAATAAACGTACATGACCACGTCGGAATTTTTGGCGATGAGTAATCGAACATTTGAGACGCAACTTGTCCGTTTGAACACCATCTTCATCGGTCAGCTGAAAAAATGGATATTTTAGGACTTTTTTCAATTTATCGTATATAGACTATGTTGGCGATGCATATATCACTTTGCTCCACCAGATATTCAATCATCTTTTTTCCGAGAGAGCGCGCAAAATGCGGAGCGCGGTCAGAGAGAAAAACACTTTTTTGCCCAAATCTTCTGTAATTTCGTATAGAAAAAATTGATTTTTTGTGGAAACATTACCCTCTACGGTGGAAATATGCAGACACGGCCATGTTTAGTCAAAGAAAAAAAAAACTCGGAAAACCCTAAAAAATTTCAAATTTTTTGAAAATTTGGAGCATGTGTTTTTAAATATTCTTAAAACCAAAATTTCCCTCCAAAAATGTTTTTCGCTTTTTCAAATAATTTGGGCCAGATTCCGTCAAAAAACTCGGAAAATCCAAAAAAATTCCAAATTTTTTGAAAATTTTAACGACCGGGTTTTTAATATTTTTAACACGAAAATTTCCCTTCGAAAACTTTTTTTTATTTTTTTCAAATCATTTTTTTATCAATTTTTTTATCTTTCCTCTTTTTCAACTTCTTTTATCCCAAAACTCACCTGAACAAAGACGTTGGCATTGGTCCCGGCCTTGGGTTCTTTGGAGGTTCGCACCACAATCGAATAAGAGCAATTCTCGGTGTGTTTCCAATCCTTCGAACTGCTGCTGCTCGACCTCTTCGAGCGGGTACGAACCGAATTGTCAGAGCTGGAATGAAGAGGGGAGATGCTGGCTTCGCTCGAGGCTAGATTGGCAGCATCACCAAGGGCCGCAGGAGATGCGGCCGGGGAAGCGGTGAGGAGATCTGAAATGAAAAATTGGATAGGAAAAATAAACAAAATCAAAACTCCAACGAGGAATAATAAAAAAACAATACAGGGTGGGCCACTAAACCTTCCGTTCTCTTTTTTTAGATTTCTCCGCGGAGACTCCGCCGATTTTCATGAAATTTAGGTTTTTCTGGAGCTGAGATGCGCCATTTTCAACAGGTTGAATTTGAAAAAAAAAATATCCTGAATTGACCTTTCTATGCCTTTCCAAAGTTTTTGAAAATTATTTTCGAGCCGAAACCGCTAAAACTTCGGAAATTTTTGGAATGATTTTGAAAACTCGGTCATTTTTTCGGGTTTTTGGGTGAAATCTTACTTGGTTTGCCTCATATATTTGCAAAATACTGTTGTAAAAAGTAATCTTTTTAACAATTTGATTATTAATATTTCTATCTGATTTCGACGTGTCCACCTCCTTTTGCAGCACGAACTTGTAGGGGCTTTGAAAGTTAAGAACAGCTCGAATTGCGGATCTTGAGCATGGTTTAACTTCAATCGAGCCTGGCTCCAAGCCTCAATGCGCCAAGCCATGACTCGTAGCCTTAATGTGGACTTTTTCACTCTTGTTGAAAAAAAATTTTTTTTCAACATTCATACCCTAACGGTAATGCAGACAACACTTTTTTGGTTTTAACTTACAAATTTTAACTTACTTCCTTTAACTTACAAACTTACAAACAAAGTTTAGAGAAAGCGTACGGAAATTTTTACTCCACGATTTTACCAAAAAAGCCCGAAATTTTCCAAGTCCGAGAAAGGCAATTGAAAATCATTCCAAAAATTTTCAAAGTTTTAGCGGTTTCGGCTCGAAAATAATTTTCAAAACTTTGGGAAGGCATAGTAAAGTAAATTCAGAATGTTTTTTCCTGAAATTCAATCGGTTGAAAATGGCGAATCTCTGCTCCAGAAAAACCTAAATTTCATGAAAATCGGCGGAGTCTCCGCGGAGAAACCTAAAAAAAGAGGACGGAAGGTTTTAGTGGCCCACCCTGTAAAATATCAAATTAATTTTTAAAATTTTTGAAAAAGTGGGGTAACCTGTAATTTGACCGTTGAATTTTAAATTTCATATTGACCGTTTGTGAAATAAACTAGAAAAAAGCTTTCGGGGTGTCAAAAAATGTATTGTTATTCGAAAAAGGTCGATTATATGGACCAAGAGGAAGACTTGACTCGATTGGGTCAAGTGTTGCCCTTGGTGGGGCAAAGTTCTCGGATCTCGATAAAACTGGGTGACAATTGTAAATTAGAATTTTTTAGGGCATACGTGAGATTTTTAGGTTGAAATTCTTCGGAAAAAACTGTAGTTTTGGACAAAAAAATCAAAAAAATATTTTTTTTTACATTTTCCTTAAAAATCAGCAAATTTAAAGCCAAAATCTCAAAAAATTCTCATCCAAGCTTCCTCAATATCTGGGAATCAAAATTTTTCAAAAAAAGTACCCCTACAGGCTCCTCATATTCTCCTACCTTGTCCGGCACTCTCATTTTTCGTCTCTTTTTCGGCCTCTTGTCCTCTCAAACTCTCTGGACCCTCCGAGGGGAATGTTTCCGGCGCAGGTTCCAATCCAGTCACAACATCGGGATTGGGAAGGGTCGGAATTTCCGGAGGGTTCGAACTCGCCTCCGCTTGGGCTGGCTGGCCCAAATTCGAAGCCGGGCTTGCCGGAGCCGAGCCAGTTTCGGACTGCTGAAGGGATGCAGCGCTCGGATTTGCAGCTGGCGCGACTGGAATACCTTCGGGTTGACCTGAAATTAATCATTATATTATGTACGTGATACGTTACACCTATTACCTTCCTCTGGTTTGGGTGGTGGGGGTCCCTCAAGATTGTTGTTCAAGTCGATCTGCGGTGGATCGGAGCCGGCTGGCGGACCATTGCTGGGATTTTCGGACATTTCCGGGCTTCAAAAGGCGACCAAATTCGAGATGAGACTTTTGGATAATGAGGGTTTTCATTTTCTCGGACCAATTTTATACATTTTCATGCAAATTTTTGCAAAATTTGCATGAAAATCGAATTTTCGCTCATTCGGCGGCATTTTCATCCCGGGGGAAGGTTGGTTGATCGCTCTCCGAGAGCTCTGAAAATCCAAATTTCTAAACATTTTGAACTTTTTTTTATTTGCATAATCAAAATTTTTTTTCAATTTGCATAATCAAAAATTTTTTTTAATTTGCATAAGCAAAAATTTTTTTTAATTTGCATAATCAAAAATTTTTTTATTTGCATAATCAAAAATTTTTTTAATTTGCATAATCAAAAATTTCTTTTATTTGCATAATCAAAAAATTTTTTAATTTGCATAATCAAAGTTTTTTTCAATTTGTCAAAAATTTTTTTTAATTTGCATAATCAAAAATTTTTTTTATTTGCATAATCAAAATTTAGAACCATGGGAATTTCTAATTTTCAGAGGTTGCCCTCCAAACTTCCCAAAATTTCAATAAATATCACATTTATTCATTTTCAATCCAAAAAAATCAATAAATAGCTGCTGTTTTTTCACTCTAGTCCAAAGTAATTATTCAAGATTTTCACGACGAACAAGATGAGTGGCTGCCATGCGACTAGGTAGCGGCACCAATCGAGGAGTTTCCCGTAGAATAGGTGAGGTTTTTCCCATGGGTTTTTGAACATTCGCTGGAGATCGACCTTTTCCTTGCAGTAGGGGCAGGTCTGTTGTTTGCCGATCACCACCCAGCCGCGAATGCAACGTTCGTGGAAGCGGTGGCCACAACTGAGGGTGTAGGTGGGTTCGTCCAGCTCGTCGGCGACTTCCATTTCTTTTGGCGCCGGTCGGACAACATCTCCGCAAACTGCGCACACATTCGGCTCGAGGGTCTTTTTCGGGAGGCCTTCGTTGGTAAAGTACTGAAATTGAGGATGTTACAGTGAGATAGATTTACAAGAGTAGATTGAAAAGAATAAATTAAATTCTTCATGAGCTCCTATATCAATCTGGCAAAAATAGGACTTCAAAAACAGCTATTTTTTTCTTTAATTTTGATTATATTACACATGATACCAAGTCCGGTAAAAATCACAAAAAATTTAATTTTACAGTAACCCAACTTACATAAAAACCCCTCGAATTAAATCCCTAAGCCTTACAGATACTAGTTACACACCTAACATTCAAAAAATATAGATTATTTATCATATCTTGACTATATTATCCATGAGACCTAGTGGAAGAAAAAATCACTAAAAACTCAAGTTTACAGTAACCAAACATAAATAAAAACCCCTCAAATTCCATCCCAAAGCCTTGTAGACACTAGTTATATTCCAAGCCTTCAAAAAAATACAGATTTTTTATCATATCTTGACTATATTATCCATGAGACCTAGTGGAAGAAAAAACCTTCCAAAAACAATTTTACAGTTATCCAAAGTCTAATATTCCCTCCTATCGACCCCATTTGATATTTGGAAGCTGATAAGATAATAAACCTCCAAAAAAATAGCAAAACTTCATTACTTTTTTACCACATTATCTAAAGTCATCCACTCAGAGAAACCCCATAAAACCTGAAAGTTACAGTAATCCTCACTGCATAAATCTTTTCAAATCTCATCCTCAGAGCTACTAACGCCTTTCCCTTATCATTTCAATCAATAAAAGCATAATTTATCCCGATTTTTTTCGATATTATCCATGACACTTACCCCAATTTTGCAAGCCAGCCGATCCGTGCAGATATGAGCAAAGTCCCGGCCGAGAACTCCATAGTAAATCCCGTAGAACATTAGCAACAATCCCAGATCCATAAATGTTGAGGTTTTCACACCAAACATAAAATTGATTCCGAACAATGCACCAAGTATGATCATGTATCCAACAATGCCGAGGACGTACGAAAGGACGTGAAGAGCCATTAAGAAATTGTACACAAATCTGTAAAAAAGCTCTTAGTAGCATTTTTAATGTCTATTTGTTCTTCTACAGCACATGGCATATCTTTATATTATTTTAGGTACAAAAATTTCCCAAACTCCAGTTTTCTTCATATTTCTTTCCTAAAAACAGAACAATATCAATTTAAAAAACGTATTTTACCTTGGCGTCTTGCCGCTGATGTGATCCGCCGTGGAAATCTTGAAGATATAGCCAGATATTGCACTAAACGCCACCCAAGTGAACAGAAACCGGTAGAATTCCTTGGAGATCGAGACAATCGGCGGGATCAGCCATAATCCAATCAAGGTGCACACTTGATAACTTCGGAAATGCTTTCGTTTCCAGATCACCAACAAAACTTGAGAGATGATCATTACAACAATGAAGACAATGAAGATCTCGGCGTGCATGACATCGTGGCCTTGATGTTTCCGATGCTCTTCTTCATGTTTCTTATGCCATTCTTGCTCATCACGCTGCTGAAAAAAAGGGTTTTCAGATCTTAGGTATGTTATCCATGCGATAGATAGAGATGAAGGAATTTGTAATTTAGCCAGTCGAAACCTACTTAAAAAGCGGTAGAATGTCTTCCTGAAGGTATGTCGCAACTTCCTATACGATCTCTATCAAATACTTGACAAAATTTATGTGTTTTTATGTTACACTAGATCGACTTCCCCAAGAAAATCGCTCAAAAATAAGATAGTAAGCCGTATTTCCACTTCCAAAAGGCAGCAAAACCCTTACGAAAGGTGTTTACTATGTTGTGAAACCGCCAAAACAACAATATTCGCACATCTAGCGCCTCCAACCTCAAGTTCAATATCACCTTGGAATTGCTCTAAAAACCGAAAACAAACAAACATAAAGCCTTGCTTACCTCCTCTTCCATCAATTCCTTCACACTCTTCATGCTAAAACTGGGTCAACGACGAATTTTCGTCGTGTTTTGCCACCGACTTGTCAAGTATTTCAAGAAAAAATAAGATTTGTTGCTGGGAAAATAATAGGGCTTCGAAAAACAAAATAAGTTAGAAAAGATGGGTAGAGTCCACTAGAAACACATCAATTTATGCTGAAGATGGACGAGAAATCCACGAAAAGAAGGCGCCAACCGCACAAAAATGAAAAAATAATTGTTGCGTCAACTGTTCGCCTTACGTGTCAAGTGTGACTCTCTACCTCCAAACTGTCGGAATTGTAATGAATCTCATATAAAGTCAAAATTTATGGGTCGATGGAAGATTGTCCATTAATTTCAAGTCCAAAAATCCAACTCAATACTGTTTATTTGCCAACAACACATCTATATTACACATGCCGGCTAATTATTCGGTTTCTCTCGTCTATAACGCCGCGGATTCCGTGACACACTCTTGGTCTTGCAGAACGGGCAAATTGGTGCGTTCCGGTGGATGAGTTGACTGCAGTTTAGACATTTCTAAAAAAAATTATGTTGTAGTAGGTCTCATAGGGGTTACTTTGCTTTTTGACGGGTCTTCTCCAATTCGCCTCGGGGTGATTCCTGGGTATTGTAAAGCAGCCGTCCTTTGGAGGCTAATTAGCATTGGATTCATGCCAAGTAAATGGCTTGCGCCTTGTGGCATGAGCATTTGGAAAATATTTTGATTTGTCATTGCCTGAGGGTCTACTGATGTAGATTGCTTGTCCTTGAGCCTGAAGGGAAGAAATGGTCGGTAATATCATTTACAGTTTTTTCAAAATGAAGAGATTGCTCTTTTGCGAATTTTTCGATTTTTTTTTGATTGCATTGTGCAAAAAATTTCAAATTTTATTTTGACACAGTGCAAGGAAAAGAAATCAAAATTGGAATCAAAGATAAGGAAAGCAAAACTGCTAAGGTTTAAAATATATATGTCTCAAAAATCTTACCATTTCGGTGCCTCAAGCACATCAATTTTTTCGTTTTCTAAATTAACATCAGCCAGTCGCTGATTGGCCGATTTCTGATCCTTCCGCAGCTTCTCAAACTTTTCTTTCAACACTCCTCTGTCGGTAATCTGCTTTGATTTGACTGTCTTCACCAAATCCTCCAAATGATTTATATCCTGAAGTTAAGATTTTGTGTTAAAAATACAATTTTTTTATCTTAAGTACTCGAAGTGCGACGCTCAGATTTTCTTTAAATTTTGCAAACACGTCGGGTATGAACTAAATATCAATTCCTGAAAGTTTTAGCTCGCGCTTTGCGGGCGCCGCCAAGATATCGAACGATTTTTGCCGCCGAGAGAGCACGCCAAACGTGGAGGGCGGTCAGAGAAAAAACCGCTTTTTGGCCATAACTTTGGCAGTTTCGAGCGGAAAATTTTGATTTTTTGTAGAAACATTAGCCTTTACGGTTGAAATAGGCATGAAACTTTTTGTGCCGAAATTCGGCAAAAAGTCCTAAATTTCGGCCGACTTTCGATCTAAAAATCTTGGTTGTTTCTGCAAAGCGCGAGCTAAGATTCTTATATCTTAGAAAAAATTATTCTAAATTTGTGCCAAGTTTCATAAAAAACTGAGCGCCTCACTTGGGGTACTTCCCTTGTTAAAGGGCCTGTACAGCTACTTTGAAAAGCGATTTTCTCGGCTTGGGGTGGCTTTCTGATATATCGTTTGTTTTCGTGGCGAGACGCACTGACAAACTCGGTGCGATTTTTTTGGATCCAAGATGAAGAATATTACGTGTATAACGTACATTGTTCAACGAAATATGGCGCCAATTTGTAGTTTTTGTGTGGAGAATGGGTAAGTTGTCGTTTTGAAAAATTTTTGAGTTGATTTTTAGGCATTTTTGATGTTGGGGATGCTTTTTGAAAACTTTGGGATAAATTATAAGGTAAAATAGGTTTTATGAAGTGGAAGAAGGATAAACTTGTCCTAGAAGGTTTTGTTTCTGAGTGGGTGAAGTTATTTTGAAAACTACATTGTTTTTGACAGATTCATGAATTTTTGATATTATTTTAGGTAGAAATAAGTGGAAAATGCGTCGTAATGTTGCGTATATGCCTTTCCGTTCACAATTAGATCATTTTATAGACTCAATCGTCTCCTAAAGAAGAAGGCAAGATGCTAAATGGTCCAGAACCCCTGTGGTTTCCAGCAAAGTTGCACCACCGAACCTGAATCATGAGCTTCAGACGATGCCTTGTTTGCCCTCTTGCATCTTGGATTGAGGAGATTCACCTTTTTTCTATTATGTTGACCTTTTTCAAGAATTTATCCATAAATTATTCAAGTTTAATGTGGGATAATAACGAGATCAATCAACGGTTATGAAGCGGTGTTCCTCGGGGTTATCACGGCAGTTGGGGTGGTTAGAAGTAGAATTGACACTTCTGAAACGACATGTGTAATATAAGTTAACATCAAAAAAGTTATGTGCTTCTTCAAACTTATCACGAAGTTCCTAAAAGCCAAAGAAAAATGTCAAATGAACTTACAATGTGATGCGTTTTTCGGCTAATATTCCACCTTCCTCGTTGTCTTTCTTCAAGAGAAAGAGTTTTTGAACACCTTTCTGGTTAGCGGGCCCTCGTTGGCCCGGCGTGTCTTGAACTCCTGCTTGGTCTGCTGTTGTTCAGCCTTCCACTAACCAAGAGTGCGCTTTGGGGGCTTCTTCACTTCCGCAACAACCAGTTTTACCTAAAATAATATCAAACATCCATGAATCTGTCAAAAACAATGTAGAGTATTCGAAATAACTTCACCCACTCAGAAACAAAACCTTCTAGGACAAGTTTATCCTTCTTCCACTTCATAAAACCTATTTTACCTTATAATTTATCCCAAAGTTTTCAAAAAGCATCCCCAACATCAAAAATGCCTAAAAATCAACTCAAAAATTTTTCAAAACAACAACTTACCCATTCTCCACACAAAAACAACAAATTGGCGCCATATTTCGTTGAACAATGTACGTTATACACGTAATATTCTTCATCTTGGATCCAAAAAATCGCACCGAGTTTGTCAGTGCGTCCCGCCACGAAAACAAACGATATATCAGAAAGCCACCCCAAGCCGAGAAAATCGCTTTTTAAAGTAGCTGTACAGGCCCTTTAATAAAAGTCACTCAAAATCATTTCCGCTTACTTGGTTAATCAATCTCAATTCCTCGGTGTGAGTTTTGTGTTCAATGTTCAAATGTGATTTCGTTTCTTCGCATCGTTCCAAAAACTTGGAATTTGTGGCTTTTTCCAAATGCAGATGGTCAACGTCACAGAGTTCTGTCTTCAACGCTTTTATAACTTGGCTGAAAAGACAAGGCGTTAAAAATTAGCCTAGCAATTTTAAAAAGGAGGTTTTTCAAATTAGGAATTCCTCCTTTTTTTTTACAAATTTTGATGAAACTATTTGGATGAAACTTGGGGACAAATTTAGATTACTTTTTTTAAGTCCAAAGCGGAAGCTAAAGATTTTGTAAATGACCGGAAAAGATCAGGCTTAAATTAGACTTATAGGGTACCTCAAAATACCCCAAGTGTGACTAGACATGGCTGGGGGGCCGGGCCGGGCCGAAAATCGCGGCCCGGCCCGGGGGCCGGAAGAGGTCGGCCCGGCCCCGGCCCCCTTCAAATTTTCTCGGCCCGGCCCGGCCCCGGCCCCCTGGGGGCCGGGCCGGGCCGGGGGCCGACCGGGGGCCGAACTGTAAATATAAAATCTGCATTCATTACGAGATATAACACATTTTTTTGGGCTTTGGTAGTTCAGCCCCCCACGAAAGGTAGTTCAAACCCCCACTGTTTTGTCCATTTCACACCCCCCATAATTCAAAAATTAGAATTATACAAAAAATGCAAATTAGAGCAAAATGACCCCCGGCGTTTTAGCTCAAACCCTCAGTTACCGTCCAAATTCGTCCTTGTGGTTCAGGCAACGATGATCGTAGCCGAGAGAACCCAATCCCAAGTAGGCGGTTCAGATTGGATGATGGGTTTTATACTGGGTCTAGGGGGGGCTGAACTGGACTGGGGGGTTGTACTACCTTAGCCCCCATTTTTTTGTTATAACAATCGAAAAAAAATTTTTGAAACAAAAAATTACCAACCATTGCCCAAAGTTACTTCAAAAAACCCTATCGGTTCTTGGCTCTGCGTTTTATTTTTATTGGCATCCCTAATTTTCGCTTCGAGACTGAGAATTTTAGTCATTGGGGGCCGATTGGGGGCCTGGCGGGGGCCCCCGGTCAGGCCCGGCCCGGGGGCCGGAAGAGGTCGGCCCGGCCCCGGGGCCTTTAAAACTCGTTCGGCCCGGCCCAGCCCGGCCCCCCACTAGCCATGTCTAAGTGTGACGCTCAGATTTTGCTGAAACAAAATTTACACTTTTTTGCGAATTTTGGCATGAAAAGTTTCGTCCCTCTTTCTACCGGAGAGAGAAATGTTCTCACTAAAAATCAATTTTTTCCGCGCGGAACTGGCAAAGATATGACAAAAAAATGTGTTTTACCGAGATTTTTAGATCGAAAGTCGGCCAAAATTTACGACTTTTTGCCGAATTTCGACACGAAAAGTTTCATGCCTATTTCTACTGTAAAGAGTAATGTTTCTACAAAAAATCAATTTTTTCCGCGCGGAACTGGCAAAGATAGGTCAAAAAATGTGTATTTTCCTCTGACCGCTCTCCGCGTTTCGCGTACTCTCTCGGCCGCAAAGACCGTTCAATATCTCGGCTGCCCCTGGAAAGCGCGAGCTAAAAATTCAGAGATTGATATGTGGCCTATCCCCGAAATGTGCGCAAAATTTAAAGGAAATCTGAACGTTGTATAGAGGTCATATTTTATACGTATAAAAGTAGTAGACTTACTTTAATTCAGAAATTTGAAAAATTTTGGTTGCAAATTCTTCCAGTGAAATTGTCATGGTCTTGAGCTATAGCTGAAATATTTATAAATAAAAAAATTTTTAACAAATTTCCTTTGCAAAGTACGAAAGCCTCTCAAATTCGGTTACAAAGCCGTAAATCCCTCGATTTCCCTCGCCAGTTAATCGATTTGTAAATCATTTATTTGAGTTGGTCGCTGTATTTGCCTCTTTTTTCTCTTCTCATCCCATTTAAAGCGTCATTTACTTTTCTGAATTGCTTAAACACGAGAAATAAACGATCCACAGGAGAAGCGAAAAGGTCTCGCTGTCTATAATTTGGATACCGTATTTTTGGGGGGATAGGAAAAAAGTTTTTTTAGGCTAAAAATGAAGGAATAAAAATAATAAAAATAACGGGAAAGCAAATATTATTTTTTTAGATTTTGCGGTCACAAATTACAAGAGAAGTGGCCAAAGTGCGACGCTAAAATTTTGATGAAAGTTGGCATAAATTTACATAGGAAGTACTCCAAGTGCGACGCTCAGATTTTGATGAAAATTGGAACAAATTTGGAATAATTTTTTCTAAGATACATGCGAGACTCCTAACTCGCGCTTTGCAGAAACGAGCGAGATTTTTAGATCGAAAGTCGTTAAAAATGAGACATTTTTGGCTTTTTTTAGGATAAATGTCGTTTCAAAATGAGACATTTTTGCTTTTTTTGCATAAAGTGTTATACGTATTTCTACTGTAGATGGTTATGTTTCCACAAAAGAATAATTTTTTCCGATCGAAACTGGCCAAGAAATGACCAAAAAGTGTTTTATCTCTAACCGCCCTCCGCGTTTTGCATGCTCTCTCTCAGCGGCAAAGATCGTTCAATTTCTCGGCTAAAGCCTTGTGGAAAAACAACCCGGCAGTTATATCTAACGTCAAAAATCAAAAAAAAAATCACTAGCTACCCACAAAAGTCCCAAAATGGCCGTATCCGCACAAAAAACCCCTATCTTACTCAGTGGGCGTCCCGAAAATCAAGAAGTGGATCCGCTAATCCCCCAATAAAGCGCCTACTTGAAAGGCACTTAACTCACAAAGAACATGACAACGAGGGGCGAAGACATTAAAGGGAAACGGCAAAGATTTCCGAAATCGTGATACGACCTTGTTTACTTTTGACTAAAATAAGGGAGCATCTCTTATTTTAGCCAAAGACTGCTTCTTGATTTTGTACACGCATTGTGATGAGTCTATCAACTCCTAAAAATTTCCGCTTTCGTCTTGCAACCAACAAACTTTGAAGACGACGAGTTCACAAAATGCGGAGAGCGGCCAAAGAGAGAACGCTTTTTGGCAGCATCTTCGTTAATTGTGCGGGGAAACAAATTATTTTTTGTATAATCACTTCTTCCCTATATGGTAAAAAATAGGTTTGAAACTTTGAATACCAAAATTAGCAAAAAAATGTCGAATTTTTTTCCAACTTTCGACCCAAAAGACTCGTTTGATCAGCGCTATGGGGTTGTTTTTGGAAAGTGCAAGAAAAAAAGCTGATAAATGTACTTATAATACTTTATATTTTCGCAAAGCTTTGTTAAAATTCGCGCGTCATATTTCACTTTGCCTGTAAAGCTTATTCAACTCTTCAAAAATCAAATCGCAATTTCATTACAAGCAAAATTGTTCTCTGTACAGCGAATTTCAAGGCACCAAAAATAAATTTATTAATTTTTTTTTACAAGGGAAGTACTCCAAGTGCGACGCTCAGATTTTCTTTAAATTTTGCACACGCGTCGGGTATGGACTAAATATCAATTCCTGAAAGTTTTAGCTCGCGCTTTGCGGGTGCCGCCGAGATATCGGACGATTTTTGCCGCCGAGAGAGCACGCTAAACGTGGAGAGCGGTCAGAGAGAAGTCGCTTTTTTGGCCATAACTTTAGCAGTTTCGTGCGGAAAAATTTGATTTTTTTTAGAAACATTATCCTTTACGGTTGAAATAGGCATGAAACTTTTCGTGCCGAAATTCGGCGAAAAGTCCTAAATTTTCGCAGACTTTCGATCTAAAAATCTTGATTGTTTCTGCAAAGCGCGAGCTAGGATTCTCGTATATATCTTAGAAAAAATTATTCTAAATTTGTGCCAAGTTTCATCAAAATCTTTCGCACTTGGAGTGCTTCCCCTGTTAGTTGTATAGAAACTCATTTTTGGTGCCGGAGGTCCCAAAAATTTACTGTTTGAAATCTCCGAAATTCTTCGTTATAGACAGCTTTTAATGCAAGCGAATTTGTAGTGCCGAAGTTCCACTCTAGACTTTGGAGCCCATTATTGTAACTAACAAGGAAAGAAACAAATAGGACCGAAAAAGAAGCGCGTGTCAGTCAAATTCGCATTCTGATTCTTGCCCGTTTTTTTTTTGATGAATAATGTATATGAGGTGAGTCTAATGTTGTGCAAAAAAAAGAAACTCACCCCTCGCCGCGGACAATATGCTAATTGGCTGTCTTCTTACTAACGAATCGATTGCCGATTTAAATTTTAAAAAACTTTAAATTTTTTAAAATCCAAGGAAATTTTATGGTCAAAAAAATTAAAAAATTCATCGCAAAAAAAATTTTTTTTTTTGAAATTTTCAAAATCCAAAAAATCTTTTATTACATTTCCACAAGGGCATCAACAATAACATCAACAAGAAAAAGGTCAAATACAACTCAAAGAAGGTCCACAAAACCCCGAATTACAATCGATCAGCCATTCTGGAGGACAAATTCCGGAGATTTCCGTAGACTTTGCTCGGAGGTCGGCCAAGAATAAGAGAGCAGAGGGTGTGACGGGCCAAACGGAGATTCTGGAAGGATCCCATTGTGTGGATCTTCTGATCCTGAAGGACAATTCGAGTTCTGGTCACGTTTTCGATGGTGTGTTTGGTTCTTCCGTCTTTTCCGGCGATTCTACCAATAGCGCGGGAAAGATGTTCTCCGTAGAGGGGTTTGACTAAAAATACACCCAATCATAACCTATAAAAACATCAAAAAATTGGTCTAATCACCTACTACAACATCAAAAAAAAAGGTCGATAAATTCAATCCAAACCCTCTCTGACCCCGAAAAATCATTTAGATATTCTAATTCCACCTGAATTTAGTCAAAAAACCAAGATCCTCCCTAAAATTCGAGCCAAAAATAAAAAATCTCTTACCATCCTGAACTTCGAAGCTCTCCAAGAAGATGTGGTCCAATCTGATCAAAGCAATGGCGTCCTGGACATCAAATCCGAGGGCAAAAGCGTGAACAAAGTCTTCAGCTTTTTGGAGGAAAGTCAAATTTGGAGTCTGATTCTTGGGTGCTCTAATCTCAACTTTTCTGGTTTTCAGGTTGAATCTGGAAATAAAATCAGGTCAAACTAGCCGTAATAGTCATAACAACCCTTGGAAAACATCATTACACCACATCTTCTATGAATCACCGTATTTTTGGAAATTTTTTTACAAGGAAAGTACTTTTATGGGGTATGGAGTTTACAGGTCGAGACATGTATCAAAAAATTCACAAAATTTTTCAGATTCAGAATTTGTAAAAATTAGCTGCCCAATTTTGGTTTGTAAAGGTGAAAAAATCCTCAAAACTTCTCTCGCAACACCACGCAAATGCCCGTTTTTACAATGGAACTATTATTAAGATGTAGTACGAATCAAATTTGATGTTTTAAGGCTTGTCGGGATGCTAGGGTTTACTTTAGTTCAAAAAAAATTTTTTACCAAATCAAAAGCTTTTTTTTGAGCTAAAGTAAACCATGGCGTCTTGACAAGCCTTAAAATATCAAATTTGATTAATACTACACCTTAATTAATAGTTCCAATGTAAAGAAGGGGCATTTGCGTGGTGTTGCGAGAGAAGTTCTGAGGGTTTTTTCGCCCTTCCAAACCAAAATTGAGCAGCTAATTTTTACATATTCTGAATCAGATAAAATTTGCGATTTTTTGATATATATCTCGACTGTAACTCCATACCCCATGGGAGTACTTTCTTTGTAAAAAAAATTCCAAAACGAGGCAATTGATAGAAAATGGCGTAGAGTGATGTTTTTTTAAGGGTTTGCGAGTTTTTTCCATATATGTCTCGACCTGTAACTCCATACCCATAGAAGTACTTTCTTTGTAAAACAAAATTCCTCTACCTTTGCCTAAAACGATATAAAAATTCTCTACTATTCACAAAAATCACCTCAATTTCCTTCCTTTCCGACTTCCACTTACCTAACCTGCAATTTCAATTGCTGTACAATCGGTTCCACGATCTTGTTCCACTCCGACTTCAGTCTGGAATAGCGATGACGTGGGATTGGGACTCTTCTCACATCCGTCTCCACCGTCATTTTTCCCTCTCTCTTTTTCTTCAACTTTTCTTCCTGCTTCTTATCAAACGCCTCTTGATCCATCGGTTCGTCTTTTTCGGACGTCTTTTGAACTTCTGTTTCTTCTTCCTCACCATCCTCCATAATCACGTCCAAACTCTTGTTGGCCTTTCTTTTGCCCTTCTTTCTTGAAACCACAGTCATTTCCGGCTCCTGCTCGGCTTCTGGCTCCTCGGCGACATCAAGTTCTGGAAGTTCGGTGACCAAATCTTCGTCTTCCAATGGGACAAGGTCTGGGAGATCCTCCATTTCGACGTCTTCCACCTTCTTCTTCTGCTGCTTCTTGGTCTTCTTCACTTTGGAGACCATTTTGGGACCAGTTTCTGCAAAAACAAATGATCAAAGCATCAACAACAAAAACCTCAATATTGAAAAAATCTTGAAATTTTAAAATTTTTTCACAAATTTCCAACGAAAAAAACAAAACAAAAAAGTCTCAAGACCCATTAAAATCAACTTTTCAGCCTTAATTCATCTAAAAACCACCCAAAAAATATCAAATTCCACCATAATCATCAAAAATCTACCTAAAACAATATAAAAAACGTCCGAATCTCGAATAAAAATCAGATATTTCTCTCGAATCAACGAGTAATCACCTCCTGTTTCAACAAAATACATCTTATTTTCATAACAAACAAATCAACAAGTAATAACAACAACAAAATAAATCAGAGAGCGCTCATCCTGCTGGTGATGTAATTGACGAATGAAACATTTTCCTTCATGGTCTGGAGGCGTTCGAAATGCCTTCTCGTATATGGTAGAAGGGCTTCAAGTTGAGTTGTGAAATTGGGAAGTGTTTCGAGCTGTTTTCTTGGGACTGTTCGGAAAATTGCGTTGAGGGCGATTTGAGCCGTCTGAAAGGGGAAAATTTGATGATTTTTTTGCAAAAATAAAAGTTTACGGAAATTTTAATGTAAAGAAAATACAATAAGACAGTCTAAACTTCTTGGAAACAACAGAAAATCCAACAAAATTCGAGTGAAAACGACCAAAAATCATAAAAATCATCTAAAATTATATAAATTTACCCATTTTACCACAAAAAAGCCTTAAAATCCCCTCCAAAACCAATCCCCCACTTCTTTACCTGATAACTCCTAGTGTTTGTATTCCACTGAGTTGCAAATTCAATCAACTTTGACCTGTTATCATCATTCAATTCTGCAATCAACGGCTCCAGCTGTTCCTTTCCTTTTTCAATAATTTTATTGAGCACTTTGTAGCATTGGAATGGATGATCCAAGTCCAAAGTCAACTTCAGGGCTTCTGAAAACTTTTCTAGCCTTAGGAAGTTCTCCAAGGTTTGGATTTGCGCTCTTCTTTCGGCTTCTTTTCGGGCATTTTCTGCGGCAATTTCGTCGGTAACATCGGCCCAGACAATTATTTTCCCGTCCGAGCCCACGGAGACGTATCTTTCATATTCCTCTGGTCTGAAAAAGAGGAAAATTAGTGGATGACATCAAATTTTTTTCTAAAATAGGGGCTGAGATACAAGTTTATGCCGAAAATAAGGTCGTAAAACCCATTTCCTGGCCAAATCAAGGATCCAAACTCCAAAATTCTCATCATTCAACCTAAAAACCAACAAAATAATCGAAAAAACTTGCCTCAATTCCACATTTCCATCTCCACCTTTCTCCAAATCCTCTCTTTTCCTTAAATCCAAGGCTTCCAAAGCTTCCGGCGATGGGGGAATCGACTCAATCGCCCAGACTTTATCCGTATGTATTTCCTCCGTCTTCTCACATACTCCGGTCTTCGTATCCCAAACTTTTAGTAATCCATTTGAATCACAGCTCAAAATTTGTTGTTCATTTTTGATAAAAGATACTGTTAGGACTGCAAAAGTGTGGCCTTCAAAGGTTCGTTGACATGAGAGATCAAGGAGGGAGAAAAGTTTCAGCGTGTAGTCACCGCTTCCAGTCAAAACACTCTGAAAAATTGAGAAAATTAGACGTAAATTAATATAAATTTCGATTAAAAATTTAACAAAAAATATAATTTTAAGTCCAAGCCATCTAAAAAATTCATCAAAAATCCAAATTTTCCTTCAAAATTTTGATTTTTTTTCTATGAAAAATCTAAAACAATATAACTTTTGCTCTAAAAATCATAAATTTCTCTTCCAGTATAACTCACCTGCGTTGTTTTTGCAAATTTGACAGCCCACACTCCTCTTCGATGTCCGGAAAGAGTGCCAGCAATTCCAAACTTCATTGTTTCTTTGTCCACATGCCATAATTTTACAGTTTTATCCAAGGAACCTGTGGCACAAAGTTGATCATTTTGACTGACCTCAACCGCCGTGATATCCTTCTGATGTGCCACTATTGTCGAGTCAGCAGTTAGTTTCACAATCCTAAACTTTCAAAAATAATACTCAAACTTTTACTCACGATTCTTTCTTCTTGCCGAAAATTCCTTTCAGAGCCCACAATTTGAGTGTTGAGTCGTTGGAAACCGTAACACAGAAGGCGTTGTTCTTGTGGGAACTAAACCTCACACCAGTTACACTATTTGTATGGCCAGTAGCGCTGGCAATCTTTTCAATTCGCGGCTTTTTATTCTCTTTCGCATCTTCTTTCGAACGGACCTTCCAAATAATCGTCGAGTTGCCTTTTGAAGCCGAAGCCAGCAAATTTGAATCCCAAGATGGCGCGTCGACCGACATGATAGTATCAGTATGCCCTGAAAAGCAAACATATTGCCATCTGACTCCAGAAAACTTCAAATTTTGACTTCCAATATATTACACATGACCTAAACCAAAAAAAACTCAAAAAAGATCCTTACCTTCAGCCAGAGTGCAATTAAAGTCGCCCAAGTCGTATAACCTCAGTTGAGGCGAGTTTGTAGCAACAGCAATCAAATTTGTTTCTCTTGAGACGTATTTAACATCCAGAATTTCATCATTAGATCCACTCAGGGTCTTGACCAATTTCTTCGTTTCAAGGTCAAAAAATAGTAAATTCTGATCTTCCGAAGCCATCAGAAGTTGATTTCTCTTCTTGTTGTACAAGATAGACTCCAACGATTTACTGAAATCATTGTTTCTTTATTTTCCAGATGATTTACCTAAATTCAGAAGAAAAAAAATAAAAATCTTACGTTGTAATCCGATATTGAGCTTGCAAAACTGCTTTCGTAGGATGCCAAAACTTCAAGATACCTTCAGTGCCAATTGTGAGCAATGTATCAATCTTTTTTACATAAACTGCGGATTCAATTGGCTCGAAAAGTGGGAGGAGATTGGATGCTTGCCCAGATTCAATATCAATCTTGGTCATAGTCTGATCTCGACTTAAAATGAGAGCCAGGTTCTGTCCTTCTGACTTCTTCTTGATAATAGAAGTGATTCGACTGAAAAAAATCCATTAAACTTCTAATTTTCGGGATAACTTATATTATTCATGACAAATTTTACCTTGAATGGTTAGTCCAACCTTTGACATGCTTCCCACCTCTTTCACTAATATCAAACATCCTCACTTGACCTTCTCCATAACCAACAAGGACTTTTTCTTCGTCCAAAAATTCAATTGCAGATACAATCGAAGGCCCTTTCAAAGTGTGCGTGCAAACATTCAATTGGAGATTCCAAACTTTCGTGGTAAAATCAGAGGAACCAGTGAGAAGAATGGACCCTTGAACCGCACAGACCATTACCGGACCATTATGTGTTGTTCTGAATTGATGGACTAAAGAAGGGGCATCTGGCTTGATAAATCTGAATTTCTTGATGACATCGTTCGAATACGCGACCACAAGCTGTTTGTCGTCGTCAAACAGCTTAAAACTCGTGATCTTAGCAGGATCTTCTTCGTCTCCAATCGAGAATCTAAAAGTTTAAGGCATTTTTATTTCATACTAGGTAAATGATCCGTTGAAAACCAGTAAGATTGTATCCTAAACTCAAGAAAAACGTAACCGATTCAAAAACCATACCGCTCACTTCCATCTTCAACATTCAGAGCCTTCAAAATGTTTCCACAGGTTGAGAATAAGGTATCTCCATCTTGCGTGAACTGAAGATCTCCACCAGTGAAGAACACCTCTAAAACCCGTTGTTTTCTCAATTCAAATATTCCACTCATGTTGACATCCGTCTAAAGAAAAACAAACATCATTCTGAGCACAATTTCAATGTAAAATAAACTAAATTCCGCGAAGATACCCAGGATAACATGGAAATGGCAAAAACAATTAACAATGCACTGATAAAAGGCAATAAGCTGACTAAAGACATCTCTTGTCTGCTATTTCATCTTGCTTTACAACTATACAATCAAATTTTCCACAAAATTAGGAAGAATAACAAAAAGAGAATAGTTGACACATAGGACGAGAAATGCGTCAAGTTTCTCTCTCATTTTCCTCTCTCGCCACGAAAAATTTTGTTTGGCATTGTGCAATTTGCAATCAATCTTTTGGCACCGACCAAAGTCGGCCCTTCTCCATCGAAAGGGCGCTTGTCTACGTAATATACGCAATGTTGCGCATGAGATCTGATCTACGCTAATATTACACTTGTCTACCTTGATATTTGGACAAATTATCATTAAGAATTAGTGCGAAGAGTGGAGAAATGTTAGAAATTTAATAACAAAATTTGTTGCAATCTTTTGTGGTTAGTTTTTGTACAGTTTTTGAAGAGATTGTGGACATTAAGTCATGGATGACATTTATATCTCTGCTGGGCCTTCTAATGGTAAGTTGATGAGGTAAAATTTTAGGAGAAGGTTTACGGAGGGAGGACAAGTCTTTAGAAAGTGGGGTGTCTTTTCAGTATGTTGGTAATGTCTTTATTTTGACCATTTTATATTGATTTAGGCAAATTTTTGATGTTATCCATGAGAGCCCCAAAAATGTTGAAAAAATTTGGCCGCCCTCTCCAAAAGTTATTGTAATATCTACTTTACTGTCTCTTCCACCATTTAAATGAATTTCAGCCCCATCCTACGCCCCGTCTTTGTCCATGGACGATCCTTCCGAGATGGAGTCGGATCTGACGATCCAAACTTTGGCCCGAACTTTTTCCAATTTTGAACGGATGCGTCGAAACTCCCAGTTGTGCGACGTGAAAATCAAATGTGAGAACTCGTTTTTCTTGGCACACCGATGCATTTTGGCCGCGGCAATTCCGTTTTTCAACGCAATGTTTAACACCGAGTTCGTGGAGTCGAAAATGCAGGAATGTGAGATAAATCGTAGGTAATTTGAGCTGAAATTGGTGTCCAAAGCTTGTAGAAATGAATTTAAAATACGTCTTCTGTTTTTTACGGAGATTAATAAAAAAAATCATCGAAAAATTGATAAAAATTGTGATTTTTTATATTTGGTCACCTAAAATAATATAAACTGGAATTTATGTCAAAATAATTGAATGAAAATCAAAATTAATGCACGGATCGCTTTCAGAAATGTCCTCGGACTCTTTGGAAGCCATCATCGACTTCGTTTACACCGGAAAAATCCATCTAACCATCCAAAATGTGACCGATCTTCTTGTGGCCGCCGACTATTTCCAACTCGACATTCTGAGTGCGGAATGCGCCAGTTTCCTGGAAGTCAAGATAACCCACTCAAATGTGATGGAGGTCCGACAAATCGCCCTCAGGCACAATTGTAAAAAAGCCGTCAAAGCGGCCGATCGCTTCATTCAACGACATTTTGTCGCGCTCTCCGCAACCCGTAGCTTTTTGCGGTTGGACTTGGAATCGGTCTGCGAATTCTTCGCTATGGACGAATTACATGTCGAAAGTGAGGAGGAAATTTATCATGCTGCAATGCGATGGGTGAATTATGATGAAGAAAGAAAAAAGAGCGCAGCAGAGTGAGTTTTAGTTGTTGAAATTAATTTTTGGACCAAAAAAATTTTCACATGGAAAGTACTTCTATGGGGTATTGAGTTTACAGGTCGAAGCATATAGCAAAAAAGTCGCAAAATTTTTTTGATTCAGGATATGTAAAAATTAGCTGCCCAATTTTGGTTTGTAAGGGCGAAAAAAAACCTCAGAACTTTTCTCGCAACACCACGCAAATGCCTCTTCTTATATATTGGAATTACTAATTTTAATAGGTGTAGTATTAATCGAATTTGATATTATAAGGCTTGTCAAGGTTCCAGGGATTACATTAGCTCAAAACAAAGTTTTTGGTTTCTTGACAAGCCTTAAAATATCAAATTTGATTAACACTACACCTTAATTAGTAGTTCCAATGTAAAAAAGAAGCATTTGCGTGGTGTTGCGAGAAAAGTTCTGAGGATTTTTTTTTCACCCTTACAAACCAAGATTGAGCAGCTAATTTTTACATATTCTGAATCACAAAAGTTTTGTGATTTTTTTGATATATATCTCGACGGGTAACCTCATACCCCACAGAAGTACTTTCCTTGTCAAAAAAAATTCAAAAAAAAAATCCTGCTTCAAAAAGTTTCTTTCAGAATCCTCCGCCACGTCCGCCTCACTTTGCTGGATAAAGCCTTCCTGATCGACGAAGTTGCGACCAATCCAATTGTCCACGACTCGATCAGCTGCAGAGACTTGTTCGATGAAGTGAAGGAATTCCACTTGGTCCCGGAGAGACGCCCGAAAATGATGAAATTTCGGTTGGAATCGAGACATTGCTCGGAAATCCCGGGAATTATCTACGCATGTGGAGGTTTGGGGATGAATACTGACTACAGACCGGCTAGTAAGGTAGGAAAATGGAGTTTTTTTGTTTGGAGTAATTTTTGGATGGGATGGGAAGTTTTTGAATTTTTTCGCACCGTGCAATCAAAAAAAAATTTTTGCACCGTGCAATCAAAAAAAATTTTCGATTTGCACTGTGCGCCAAGGGTTTTTGGATGATTTGCACTGTGCAGTTTGAAGAATATTGGACGCTTCGATAATTTTTATCACCATTTTTTGATGGATTTCTTTTTTTTTTTGCACCGTGCAATGAAAAAAAATTTTTGTTTGCACTGTGCGATTTTTGATGGACTTTTTTTTTTTGCACTGTGCGGCAAGAGTTTTTGGATGGTTTGCACTGTGCAGTTTGAAGAACTTTGAACGTTTCAATATTTTTTATCACCATTTTTTGATGGATTCCTTTTTTGCACAGTGCACTCGTTCAATTTTTTGGTGCACTGTGCAATTTTGTAATTTTTTATAAATTTCTGCACGGTGCGCCGACAAATTTTTCGGAAACAAAAACCTTTAATATTCCCCAATTTCCAGGCCGAAATGTACGACCCTCTGGCGAAGAAATGGATGCCAGTCAGCTCGATGAACTCGGTCCGGACCAGGGTTGGAGTGGCCGCTTTCAACGGCAAGCTTTACGTGATGGGCGGCTATAATGGACAGGTTCGGCTGGACCTGGTCGAAGTATTCGATCCCAATCGAAATCAATGGACCCATAGTCAGCCTCTACTGACCAAACGTTCCGCCATGGCGACTGTAGTATACAGAGACAAGATCTATGTGATTGGAGGCTTTGATGGGCAGTCCATCGCGGAAGTGGAAACGTACTCCCCGATAACTGGAGAACGACGATTTATCTCCCCAATGCTTTGTCCTAGATCAGCGGCAGGAGCGGTTGTGTTGAAAGGATGCATTTATGGTGAGTTGGGATATTGTAGTAGACAAAAGTTGGAAAAAGTAGATTTTATCTGAGAGTAAAATACGGAAAAGACTTTTATTAATTTTTTTGATGCTGAATAGGTATTTACAAACTTTTAGCAGTGAAATTTTGACTTTAGTTTTGAATTTTGGTTAAGTCGAATATAACACTAGACAAAAAATTGAAGCGTAAGAGTGGATTTGAAGTAAAATACGAGATAATTGCCCTTTGTGGTATAAATTGGCTTTATTTAGAGTTTAAGGAGAAAATATTTGTTTGCAGCAAAATTTTGAGGAATTCTGATATTACACTAGGCAAAAATATGTCAAAAATCAGTTAGATTGATAAAGAAAAGCACTTCCGATAAATTTTTAAAGTGATTCTGACCGTTTTATAACAAAATTTTTCTTTTTTGACGCAGATTTTTTAACAAATCGGCGAAATTAAACTTGACCCCTAGTACAATATCGATTTTAGTGACTGGAGGACACAACAGTTTCGCAATTTACCCAACAGTGGAGAAATACGACTTTGCAAAGGCTCAGTGGACCTATCAAAAGCCAATGAACAAGGCCCGATGTCGCCACGCGGCCGTGGTTTACGACGAAAAAATTTACGCGATTGGTGGCTACGATGGGCGGGAATTCCTCCGGTGCACGGAGGTCTATGATCCAGAGACCGACTCGTGGCAGTACGGACCCGAATTGAACCTCCGCCGAGGCAGAGTCAGCGCCTGCGTGAACGGCAGTGCGATTTACGCGATCGGCGGATATCTGGGCGAAATCAAGCACTGCTCCATGGAAATCCTGCAAATGCACCCCGAACCCTTTGACCTAACCGGACGATACGTCGCCCCGAACAAGAAAATGACCAAACACGAACTAATTTGGAGAATTGGACCCAAAATGAAACTTCATGAAGGTGGTGTCAGCATTGGAGTCATCCCCATCTCGCCGAAAAAGCTCTGCCGCATAAGCCAATGCGAGGAAGACGAAGATGATGTCATAAGCGCCGTAAAAAGTATCAGTCTGGACGATTCCGGAAGCGAGGATATACCGAGATACTCGGAATAGCCTAGTGTAATATAATAATTTTTTGCTTTACTATGATTTCGCATTTTTTATTGTCTTTCAATGTTGTTTATTTAATTTAGAACGCATATTATCGCATTTACTAACCAACATTCCATGGAATTTCCTTGATCTAGTGAATCTTGATGAAAACTGGTCTTTTTGAAGAAAATTGTAAATATTTTAAGTGGATTTAGTTTTAAATTGTTGAAATATTTCCTAGCAAATGCATTTTTATCATCTCTATCAATAAATTGTTTCAATTAAAGTTACTGTAACATTTTTGCGAGATTTGAATTCGCAGCTTGCAAGGTCTAGGGCGCAGCTCAAAACGAAAAAATGTAATTTCACCGAAATTGACGGCCGAAAGATGCAAAATTGCACGACATGCCGACCTTTGACTGTCCACCACCATTCGACGAGTATTACTGCCTCAACGGCGGGCGTTGCTTGGCCGATTCCACCAGCGAAGGAGGGTTCGCACCGTTCTGTCAATGTCAAGTCAACTTCTCCGGCCCGCGATGTCAGAACACGTTGAATCCCAACGTCTACGGGTTCGCAACAGTCGGATTGGACTCACCAGTTAGACAGTACATGGTATTGTCGATGTTGTTGGTCGCGTTTATAATCGTCTCGATGGGGTGCCTTTGGTATTTATGTAGAAGGTAAGTTTTTGATGTTTTTCTGTTGATTTTTAGGTGGAAGCATGGAGTAAGAGGGCTACAGAGGAAAGAAGAGGGTGTGTTCTTTTAGCTACGGTGGTTTTTGGCAGTAATTTTGAGAAAAGAAAAATCCTTTCCCAAATTTTTGAGTATTGTACCTAAAATAAGATGAAAATTGTTGAATACATCAAACATGTGCTCTTTTTTGCCGGTTTTTTGTTTGATTCAGCTGTAACATTCTCTTTTCTTCCTTTGACAACTATTTTGACTTACGTTTCATTTTGATTTTCCCTCAATTTACCTTCTTCTTGCAGCAGAGATCGACAAGACAACGAGACAGTAACATTCATCAGTACCCGGCCGTTGTCCACGGATGGATCAGCTCAAACGTCGAGGTCGTCAGTTTTTACGGTATAACTCTCACTCACACTTTGAATTTTTAACATTACTTTACGTTTTATCTAATATTTTCTTATCTACCTCATTTTTATAGCTAATACAATTAATTATTACTGTTACATAAATGTTTATAGCAGTAGACGGACGTATTATTGTGTAATATAATCCTCTCACAGCTTGATGGAACATATTTCCACCCTTTTCAGCCAGTTTTCTCCGAAAAATTGGGTAATCGAGGTGAAAAACACTTGAAATCCGGGTTTTTTTGTTTTTTATTATAATAATTCTTCAAGCGTATTCAAAGGTACATCTTTGGGGTTGTTTGTAATTTGCTTTGGAGTGGGTATTGTCAGAAATTTTGGGGGGTTTGAGTGGAAAGACCTTATTTTAGGTGACTTTAGATGCTGTTTGTTTTTTGGCTGTTGTGTGGTAACTATTGGATAATATTTTTGGTGATTACGGTTTTAATGGAGTTTAAGAGTCGTAGAATACAGTGTTATTATCTGTTTTGCCAGTAGGGATTGCTATGGTTGAGAGAATCGACCTTATTTTAGGCTAGGTTTAGTACCAGTTGGCCGTAAAAAAGTGTTCGTTATGGAAAAATTAATGTCTGGAGAGAGAAATTCACCCCTCAAATAAAATTCCCTATCTAGTAATAGTCTGTTGTCTGATTTTTTGACCGCTTAGACCCCCAGACATCACTCAGTAAATCATTATTTTTATACGTTTCAACTTTAGCACTTTCTTCCCCAAAAAATTCAATTCCATTTCTTGCAGCTGATTGCCCCGCAACTATTGCGCGAGTTTACTCAAAGGCAATTTGAAACAAGGTAAAATTGTCATAAGATAATTGTGCAGTTCGTTCTGAGTGCACTTCAAGGTGAAGGTCCGAATCCCGAAACTTCTTTACGTTTTATTGTTTTGTAAGCTGTTTTGCTCCTGGGAATTGTTTCGCAATGGTTGATGGAGGTTGTTTTTGAAGAGGGTCTCGGGTGGGTTACTGGGTCTGGAGGCTCGGGTTATATCGTAATGGAACGGGGTGAGTCAAAGGAAATTTTTTTGGGGGGAGGGGGGGGGGAATAAAATTGGAACGGGGCTTTGAGGATGATTTTTATTGCGTTTAAAATCGGGTGTAGCCTTTGGATAAAGTCTGAGAAATTATTTGGAAGTCATGGAAATATGAGAACGTCTTACAAGGAAAGTACTTTTATGAGGGCTCTACTTTTTGACGGGACATATCTCAAAAAATCAGAAAAAATGTGCTGATCAAGGATATATCAAATCTTAGCTGCCCATTTTAGGGTTTTAGGGGTGAAAATGCCCAAACAATGGCAAAATTTCCTTAGCTGCCACAAAATTTGACTCATAGATTTGTCAAAAACTTTCTACAAATCTATATTTCAACCGAGGAGTAATAGATTTTTCCACAAAAAGAATCTGTATAAAGTTTGAGAAGTGATTTGTAAGCCATTAAAAAATTAGAATAGCTTAAATAAGGATTTATTTTTTTAAGGGAGCTACCTCAAAATTTGACTCATAGATTTGTACAAAAGTTTCTAAAAATCTATTTCAACCGAAGAGTAATAAAAATTTCCACAAAAAAAAACAATTTTTTTCTAGCTAAACGCATAATCTTACTGCCAAAATTCGTTTGTCATCGGTCCAATTATTCAAAATTACGGTCTCTCTCGCTAAAATGATCGTCAAATATCAGTCTGTCGCGAAAATAATGAGCACAATGTCGCTACGCTGACCGTGTCGCCGAGGTGAAAAGCAATTTGATTTTGCCGCGACACAATTCGTTCTCTCGGTGGCGATGCGATTTTCGATGCGACAGTGTGCTCGTTATTTTCCCGACAGACTCATGTCTAGACCATCGATTTATTTGTGGAAATTTTAGCATTTTGCTTACAGAACAGCTGAGATATTCAACAATGTTCACCGGCAAGAAAGGCTGCATCTTTTCATGTAATTTTCGATGAGAAAAAGTGCTCGTTACTTTCCCGACAGGCTGATATCTTGGCTGCTCCTGCAAAAAGCTGTATACATCAAAGTTTGCTGAATGAATTCATGAATAGTAGCTCAAATTTCAAAAGAAAAACAAAAGATTTTGATTTGTAAAATACGGCTGCTATTTTTGGACTCATTTATTTCTAAAACCTAAAAAATTAAAAAAAGACAGTCCACAATAACCCTAAAATAACTTTTTTTGTAATTGACTTTCTTCCTTCGATAGACACTGTTTACAATCCTCAAAATTATTGAGCCCGTTCTTTGCTGTTTTCTCCCTTGTCTTACTGTATCTATAGCCCTAACTTTGTCGTGAAGAAATTCTCTATTCACTTCCCGGTTACAGAAAAGTGAAAACAGAAGGAATTCGGGCAATTCATCATTCCAATTCTTCGTGATGACTTAATTTACAGTAAGAAAGGGCTATGAAGCGAAGGCTAATGATTGGACCGTTGGGATGGAAACTCTACCGTGTCTTGTCGAATAGGAAGGCTATATTTAGTTCAAGCTGGGAGAGTAGTCGTTGTAGGCATAAAACATACAGGGTGGTCCCCGGAGTCCCCGCTAGCTTGTTGGTGGAACAACTTGGGATTAGCTCCGAAAAAAACTCTTAAAATTACAATTTTGTAGCCTTGGGGTTCTAGAAAAAATCTCGTACTGTCTTGTAAAATTTTTTGCTGCCCGAAAATTTTTATATAAGCAGGCATAACTACCGGGCGGGGCGTGAAGTACCTCGGGGCCCAAAGCCCTGCCCGATGAAAAGTAGGCTTGGCCGGTTTTCAAAATTGCCGAAGCTCGGCCCGATAGTTTGACGTCATTTTTTAAACATAATTTTTTCAAACAAAGTACTGTTTATGTAATGAAAAAAACTGAACTAACAGGGGAAGTACTCGAAGTGCGACGCTCAGATTTTGATGAAACTTGGCACAAATTTAGAATAATTTTTTCTAAGATATATGCGAGAATCCTAGCTCGCGCTTTGCAGAAACAACCGAGATTTTTAGATCGAGATTTGGCGAAAATTTAGGACTTTTTGCCGAATTTCGGCGCGAAAAGTTTGACGCCTATTTCAAGGATAATGTTTCTACAAAAAATCAAATTTTTCCGCACGAAACTGCCAAAGTTATGGCCAAAACGCGCTTTTCTCTCTGACCGCTCTCCACGTTTAGCGTGCTCTTTCGGCGGCAAAAATCGTTCGATATCTCGGTGGCGCCCGCAAAGCGCGAGCTAAAACTTTCAGGAATTGATATTTAGTCCATACCCGACGTGTGTGCAAAATTTAAAGAAAATCTGAGCGTCGCACTTGGGGTACTTCCCCTGTAAGTATATAAGAAATTCGGTATTTCCGTTTGATGAGTCCTTTTTGTAGCGCCTAACAATAAGCCGCATTACAATTTCTGAAAATTGTGGCTCACATTTGAACGTCGAGGTATTCGAAGGTGTTTGCTGATGGGAGAGTAGGCGAAATGGGATTTATTGCCAGAGAGAAAAACGCGATTTGCCGCAGGTCCACAAATTTCATGCGGAAAAGTAGATTATTTGCAAAAATGTCGCCGTCAGAAGCAAGGATGACATTTTTTACGGATTCGCAAAATTTTCAACTTTCCTAACAAAAGAAAGTTTACAGGGTGCGGCAATTTTTCGGCCGGATTTGAATTGGCTATAACTTTTTTAGTTTTTATCTGAATGTTAAAATTCTTTTTTTCCCTGAATCCTCAGACAACCCCATTTTGTTTAATACCAAATATGTTATAAATACAGGGACCTAGTTCATAGTTATTGGCCTTTCGGCCGTTTTCTCTGCTTTTTCGGCGTGTGTGAAAATCGCCAGAAAAAACGACTTTTTTGACGAATTTTGTCGTACAAAGTTTCATGCCTGTTCATGCCATGGAGAATACCGTTTCCACAAAATCTCCGCACAAAACTAGCGAAGATATAGCCAAAAAGTTTTTCTGTGTGACCACTCATGTGCCCTCCTGACCGCAAAGAATCGTTGAATATCTTGGTCGCCCCTGAAAGGTGCGGGCTGAAACTTTCAGGAATTGATGTGTGGCCTATGTCCGGCCCATGTGCAAAATTTAAAGAAAATCTGAGAGTCGCACTAGGGGTAATTCCATTGTCAGCTATGAAAATTAGAGCTTTTTCTTTGTCTTGAATTTTTACTGTAGTCTAATAAACGGGTATAACATATTTGGTATTAAACAAAATGGGGTTGACTATGGATTCAGGGAAAAAAAGAATTTTAACATTTGCCCAAACACTTAAAAAAGTTATGGCCAATTAAAATCCGGCCGAAAAATTGCCGCACCCTGTATTTTTGAGCTGGTTTCGGACGAAAAATCTCGGTTGATTTTGCAATACGCATGATATCCGTTTACAAAGTCTAGTCTTAATTTTTTCCAAGACCAATCAAAATCTTAGCGTCGGTATTGGGGGCCAAAAAAGTAAAAAAAACAAAAAAGAGGTTGTTTTTTGCACAGATCCTAGGTAAAATAGTAAAATACGGTCTTCTTATGGTACAAGTTACTTACAGTTAAAATTTAATCACTTCAAAAAAGTTTCAAAAGTACTTTTTCAAAAACTGCACGTCATCCCGCAGAGATTGCGCAATGAAATTCTCTGAAATGACTGGTAACTTCTCCACCACAACAATTCCTATGTTTTGGTTTGTGTTTTCGAAAAGGGCCGTCGCTTGAACTCTGGTTCCGTCGATGAAATCGGCCTTGTTAAAAAATTTGGCTGTAATCACAAACTACCCGCAATGGCCTTTTTTCGAAAACAGATCACTGCGAATCGAAGTTGAATTCGTTCCCCAACTTTTATTGCCTTTTACGGAGTCGTCGTTTCCTCGGCGTTTTGAGTCATTGGAAGCGGGGGGAAGAGTGGGGACGGTTGGACGGAGAGTAACTGAACGATGAGTAATTGGCCTATGGTTTTAAAGTAAAAATAGGTGTTTGGAATGTTGTGGAATGTTCGCGTTGATTTGTCATCTTGTGACGAACTTTTTG